TTTTTTTTTTTTTTTTTTTTTTTTTTTTTTTTTTCTTTCTTTCTTACTTTCTTACTTTCTTTCCTTCCTTTTCTTTTCCCTTTTTATTTTTTATTATTTTTTAAAAAAAAAGGAAAAAAAAAACACCGCATTAATAATCCGCATTAATAAGTGATACATAATATGATAAAACAAAAGACGTCATTTGATTCTCTTATTGTAGATTCACATTCTGGTAAAGGAAAATTTTCACTTCCAACTTTACGAAGATATTCTTCTACAACAAATTTACATCAACAAGAAAATGTTAATACACCACAAATACTTCAAAGAAGTCTTTCATCAATATTTAGAAAAATACCGAAAAATTCTAACGAAAAAAGAGAAAATGATACCAATTCAATAGATGATGATAATGCATCTATAACTTCATCGGATTCATCATTAGATGAAAATGATACTAAATATAATAATAAATTGATTTCAATATTTAGTGGTGCTTTTAATAATAAGGGTAATAATAATTTAAATAATAATCATAATAAAAAGAAAAGATATAATTTTAATGAAATAATAGTAAGTAATGAAATAATAATTACTACTACTGATTCAAAAGATTTTAAAGATGATGAAAATTATGGTTATATAAATCCTACCCTTACTACTTATGAAACTCATTTACATACTCCTACTCATAATTATTCTTTTTATTATCCTTGTCGAAGTAAATCCGTTCCTCTTTTACCTAAATTAAGTGAAGAATATTCTCAACTTTCTCGTCATACTTCTATTAATGAAAGAGAATTACCTACTATACCTGATGATAAAATTGTTTCTACTTCTACTACTACTACCACTACTTCATCTCCTAAATCCTCTTTAACTATAAACGTTTCTCATGTTGAACCAACTTTATCTTTGGAAATTTTACGTTATTCTGTTTCAACTTCCCCTCTTATTTCTCCGAAACTTTCTTTACATTCTTCTTCTTCTCCTTCTCCTCCAAATTCTACTTCTCTTTTACCTTCATCATCATCTTCTCCTCCTTTACCTCCTTTACTTCCTTTATCATCTAAACCATCTACACCAGGATTATTGATAATACCCAATAATAACAATAATAATTGTAATAATAATATCAAAACTATTACAAACATTGTTACCACACCTACCACACCTACAGAAATATCGGAATCATGGCCTTTCGCTCGTTATCCATTGAGATCAACATTTTATAATTTATCCGATTTACCTCCTTCTAATCCTTCACCACGTTCTTTCAATAATTCAAAAATTTCTGTTACCCCACCTTTAAAACATTCCCAATCTAAAAGTTCAACTCGATCATCTCGTTCAAAATCTGTATCACGTTCACTTTCTAAAAGTTCACTTCGTTCAAAATCATTATCACGTACTCATTCTAAAGGATCTCTTAGACGTTCAAAATCTGAATTATTTCCACCAACTATAAAAAAATCTTATGATCCAAATCATTGTTTTTATGGATTATGTGAAAAATGTAAACAACCTCGTACAGGTATTTTATGGTGTCAATCTTGTTATACAACAATTTTTAGAAAAGATTTTGATAATTGGACAAGTGGAGATTATAATATTGATGAATTTATTAAGAAAACTCAAATAAATTCTAATAATATATGTGAATTACTTGAATGGATACCTTTTGAAAAATTTAGGGATTTACAATTAATAGGAGAAGGAGGTTATAGTATAGTTTATTTAGCAAAATGGATTGATGGAAGAATATTAGATTTAAATGAAGATGGTAAATGGGAAAGAACAGGAGAAAATGATGTTATATTAAAAGTATTTTTTAATTCAAAAGAACTTAGTGAAGATTATTTAAATGAACTTGACATTTATCATAAAAGTACACCAAAATTAAATCATGTATTAAGATGTTATGGAATATCAAAAGATCCTTTTGCAAAGAATACTATTATGGTAATGGAATATGCTAAAGATGGAAATTTAAAAAATCATTTAAAAAATAATTTTAATAATATTACATGGATTAAACGTATATCAATGATTAATGATATAACAAAATCATTAAAATCAATTCATTCATCTGGTTTAATTCATAAAGATTTACATTCAAGTAATATATTAATACATGATGATTATACTTTTATTGATGATTTAGGTTTATGTACACCAAAAATTCAAAATAATAATAATAATGATTCAAATTTATTATATGGAGTTATGCCTTATGTAGCTCCTGAAGTATTAAAAGGAAATCAATTTACCATGAAATCAGATATTTATAGTTTTGGTATGATAATGTATGAAATTATAACTTCTTTACCTCCTTATCATGATTATAATTGGGATGAAAATTTATTACGAGATATTTGTGATGGGATTAGACCGAAAATTCCTGAAGGTATACCGAATTGTTATATAGAATTAATGACAAAATGTTGGTCTCAAAATCCTGAGGATCGACCTAATGCGGATTATTTAGCCAAAATTCTTGAAGATTGGAAAAATAATATTTCACAAATAGAAGAATTTAATATTGCGGAGCAATTTAGATTAAATCAATCAAATAGTATTGATATTGAAAAGTCAGTAAATTATAAAAGTAAAGCATTACCAAAGTTTTATGAAATATTACCAACTTCATCAAATGAATAATTGAATGATTTTTTTTTTAAAAAAAAATTTATATATATATAATAATTATTTGTAATTCTTTGACACACTTTTTTTTTTGTCAAGTTTGTTGCATGTAAATTGATAAATATAAATAAAAAAATTTATAGAGATTTTAATTTTGATCTGCGTTTTACAATGTTTAACCTTTTTCTACCTAAAATTTGACGTAAAGATAAAAATTATTCGTCGAAATTTAAACTTTAATTTAACGTTAATTTAACGTTAATTTTAACATTAAAAAATCGTTCATAAATTTTTTTTTTTATTATGATTATAATTTTCCTTTTTTGAATTGTTGACAGATGAGATATGATGTTGTCACGCTGATTTGTTGGTGTTAGTGGCGTTTTTTTTTTTTTCGGTAAATTTTATTAGACGTGTTATAATGTAATACAACAAGTAAATAAATATCCAATGATTTAAGTTAAAAAATATTTTTAAAGTCCTCTTGTTTTTATTTTGATTCATCTATAAAAAGAAATTGTTTATTTAACATTTACATACTTTATTACTATTACATCATACATACATTTCTTTTTAATCCTTCGTAGTAGTTTTTGACTATCAATATCTTTCGATGAATAATCCATGTGAATTAACGCCCATATATTTCGGGGATAATTCCGTTTTATAATGATTCGTTTGTATTATTTATTATTTCGAGAAATACAATAATTTATAAAAAAAGAAATATTAAATTAATTTCTTTATGAGAAAAAAGTACGTTATCATATGTCATCGTATGCTATCAGGATGTTATACATGAGGATCCTTTGTGATAGTAAAAAATTTGATTCAATTCTTCTATTATAGGAAATCAACAAAAATACACTTGTTAAAAAAAACCTAACATTATTCAAACAATATAAATAAATAAATGATATTATGAAAATAATAATAATAATAAATTAATAATAATAAAATATATACATTATGTATATATTATGTATATATATATATATATAATTATATATTATTTTATTGTCTTACCACGTAATTTCAATTTTTTACTTGGTCAACATAATAATATTTTTATTTTTATTTTATTTTTATTTTTATTTTCTAGAAAAATCTCACAAAAATACGAAAATATTTTATTTTCCAATTAAAATGGATGAATTTATTCTATTTTTTTTAACTGAAAAAAGTTTATTTTCTTTTTCCTTTTTTTCCTTTTTGTGAAAAGTAACACGGTAACACGGCACATTACATGTTTACCTGTTTTACATCACCTATGGTTTAGTTGAATTTTTTCATTTCCAACCAATTACGAATGGTTTTTTTTTTAGACTATTTAAATTTTTTTTTTTTTNTACAAAAAAAAAAAAAACAAAAATATTAAGCACGTTTACGTCGTTTACATTTTTAGAATGTAAACAATCAGCAAAAAACTTTAATTTGTTCGATTTATTTACTTAATTTGTACATCATTATTATCCCTTTATAGTTAATTTTTTTTTTTTATTTAGAAACTCCGAAAAAGAATGAAATAATTTTTTATTGTCAGAATTGCATTCTAAATAAAGTATAACCCTGTCCTGTATACAATAAACGATATGTTTTATTATATTTACTCACTGAATTTTATTTTTTATTTTTTAACCGATTAACCGGATAAATTATTCACGATACAAAATTAATTGGATAATGAGAATATAATAATGTTGAATCTTCGTATCGGACCCTTAATTATAAACCAATAAACATCAAATAATATGGTTAAAAATTATTTCATTATACTTCTTTATTTATTAAAATCTATCGATCTTGATGAAGTTACTCTTTTCTCAAGATCGAAATCATGTATGTACTCTTTTGAATTTAAAAAAGGAAATCGGTAATTAAATAAACAAAAAAGAAACTTGAACCAATTATCGTTTATTTAAGAATTTATTATGAAACTATTTGATATAATTGATATAGTTTATATAATTGATATAGTTGATATTTTCGTAATTTATTTTAATTTAATTTAATTTATTTTATTACTTTATATGCCAAATAATAAAATTATCTTAATATAAAATATTTTATTATGTATAATAATAAAAAAATTATCACCATACAAAATAATTTATTATGTAAAAAAATTTATTATGTATAATAAAAAATTGCCATCATATAAAATAATTTATTATGTATAATAATAAAAATTATCATTATATAAAATAATTTATTACGCAAAATAATAAAAAATTATCATCATATAAAATAATTTACTATGTATAATCCATCCGTATAAAATAAAAAAAAAGAATTTTTGATTTAGAATTTAGAAACTTGAATTCAAAAAAATTAAAAAATAAATATAATAAAATAACTTTTTTTTTTAATATAAATAAACTGTACAACCAATTCTAAACTTTTCCCGAGAACGCCAAGATTTTTATTCTCATTTTAGAATGGGATATTCCATCAAAGAATTTTCTAATGTAAATTTTTTTTTTTTTTCATTGATGTATAAAGACCATGATGATGTTTGGAATTTGGAATTCCATTCGCGAATTTTACTCGTTCATAATAAATATACTGTATGCAATGTCGATATATTATTATCGTTAACGTCATGTTGCGTTTGTTTATGATCTTTTGTTACACGTAACCTTTCCAGGCTTTAACTCCGTTAGAAAAAGAAAAAAATAGTAAATACGATATAGAAAATTAAATGAAATGACTAAAAAATAATTAGAATACTATTTTTAGTGACGTTATAAAGATGATTTAAACAAACATTGAAATCTATAATCTATTATTAAATAATATTTCATAAATGGATATTATTAAATAAATTTATAAATAAATAAAATAAAATTTTTTATATCGTCTATTTAAATTTTTATAATGTAATTAATAGTTATGCTAATAAAACAGCATCTATTAATAGGAAAACAAGTAATACAAATTAAAAATTTGAATAAAATCAATTTTTTCGTCATAATATTTACTTGAAATAATTTGAATTGATGATGAATTTGAAGAATTTTACTGGTTTGGGAAGGTTTTTGAAATTCAAAAAGTTCTACTTGTATAGATTGCTTGAGGATTTTTAATGCTTTTTTAATTATTTTCATTTGATCTATTTTTTAATTTTATCATCATATTGTGTTTATTTCCATTTTTTTTATATACCGGCATATAATTCCATAGAATTTGTTCTATTTTCTTCTTTAGCGTTCTTTAGCGTCCCAACATTTCATAATTAAATCTGACAAAAAGTTTTGGATTATCTACAGAAATTCTTGCTCCAAGTCCTTTACATATTTTGCAGCCAAATATGATCATGGGGAATAAGGTTGCTGGTCGTAAGTAATAATTACGACATTTCGAATTGCAACCTAGGTTGTAACCTACTAGGTTGCAACCCTAACGAAACCGTAAATATACGCGTGTTGCAAGCAGCGTAATATTACGATACTTAGGTTGTAAATGGTTGCAAACATTATGGCAGGTCACGCTAATGAGGAATATCATTAAAAAGAATTTCTTTAGAAAGGTATTCATTCATAATTATTTCAAATGAATAAATATCTGCTGTTTTTGTATATTGATATCGACATCCACGTAAAATTTCTGGTGACATACAAGGTATACCCACGTAAATTTGTCATACACCCACGGTGCGGACATGGCTTTAGACGACCCCATATAAGGTAAACTCCTCTTTTACCACAAGATGTTTCGCCGAAAGGACTTTTCGCCGAAAGTACAGTACATTTTATCGAATCCATTTCACCGAATCGTCCATTTCACCGAATCGCCCATTTCACCGAATTCTATTGACATTTCACCGAAAATGGTAGCGATTAACATTTTTTAGTCTGAAGTATAACGAGGGACTAAATATTTCTACGCAAGTTGATATACAAGGTTCATGTCTGGATGTCCGTCCGGCAAAAGTGTCATTCTTGATATGTAATAATAAAAATATACACGTCTATCAAGAAATCATATCAAGAATGATGTTTTTGCTTCTCACGTGACATTGTGCAACAAAAAAAACTTTAAATGGCACTTCTGACTTAATAACGGATTCCGTTTCCTAGTATAAAAAATATTCAACGCGAAATGAAAATAAAAATATAAAAATGAAATATTTTTTTTTCCAAGATATTATCGATATTATCACTTTAGCATTTAAGTAACTGATATTAATTTTTAAGCAATAAATTAAATGTTTTCGGGAAAATAATGTACTATAACAACGTGATAATTTTAATAAATTTCATCTAATTCAAAATTTTTCTAGATGAAGATTTCCTTATGTGTTTAGTACAATAACCAAATTAGCCAAATGGAATAAATAATTTTTCAGCGAAATGTCCATTCGGCAAAACGTCCATTCGGTGAAATGGCTTCGGCGAAATGAAATTCGGTTTCGGTGAAATAGTATTTCGGCGAAATGTCCCCTCGGTGAAATACCCCTTCGGCGAAACATCCCTTCGACGAAATGGCTTTGGCGAGATGGATTCGGTGAAAAGTCCCGATCGATACCATTCTTAAATTACTACTTATATATACACCTATATCGCATAAATACCGTACCATTCCGAAATTAAACAACCATTTTTTGAACTTAATTCTGGCCAAAGTAGTCATAATTCTGGTCAAATTTGCCATAATGCGGGCCAGGGTTGCTTATTTCGGGGTTGTTTAATTTCGGAATACCCAAGTAAAAATCTTTATGGACTTTTTCAGCATTATGGATATTTAACAGTCCAAATAAATTGGTAATATTATAAATATCATTGTTTAAATAGTAATAATTTCTCGAATTTCTACTATCATATAATCTTTGGGATTTGAATCTTGAGTTATTCTCATATAAATAACGATACTTTCAAAATAAATCTGAATATAAGATTATTTTTATTTTAGTTACCTCATTTAAAATATCTGTAGAATTATCCAAACTTCTTAATGCAACTTGCAATATACTTATTTTTGATTCTCAACATCCAAACTAGGAACATATCCTTCAGGCCATTTAACTAAATAAATTTTACTAAAATTTTGTTTCGCAATCCCGTGATCTTATATTGAGATAATCACGTGACAATCGGGCAATGGCGATACCGTAGCAAAAAATATTCGCTGTCTTATCACTGCACCCGATTGAATTTTACTTAATTGAAGTATTTACTATAAGAATCTTACAAAATCTCGATATCATTTAAAAATTAAATAATGAATTTACTTTGAGAAAATAGTACAATCTAACATAGCTTATTGCCAATTACTAATAAATGAACCTCATTCAACAAATACAATTTCTCTTTTAATTCAGGCTAAAATAATTCTTTTTTCACAAAAACAAAAAATAAGAACATTACATCATTTATATTTAAAATTGTAATCAATTAAAATATTATAACTTTTTAAACTGAATACCATTATCTCCTTTAATTTTTAAAGTTGACGATAAATAATAAATCGAATATCACGTTCTAAATAAAGTATACAGTGTATATTATCGACAATATCGATCATTTATTTACTCCATGAATATATTTTATATTTAATTTAAGGGAGATTTGTGTTAAAAAAAGAGACGCTCAACTTTGATTACAAACGTTTGAAAGTGAAATGCTATTCTGATATCATGATAAAAATAAATTACTTGAGTTACAAATAATTATAAATTTGTTATTACTTTATATACAGTGTATTTAAAAGTGATTTATTTTTATATTTATTATTTAGTTTAATAAGAATAATTTTTTTTTTCAAGTTATCTAAGATCCATCTAAAATTATTTTTGAGACGAGTTTAAAAAAAATCGTCAGTATATTTTCTTTCATGAAACAGAAACTACAATCGTATCCGCAGTAATCACCCCGGAAAATATTGGTTCATTTGTCATCTTATAATTTTCTTTCATTTCATTCCAATACAATAAGTTCATAGAATATATTATGTTCGCGATCTTAGAAAACAAAAATAATATGATCAAAATTTTGTTCAACTAAGAATATTAAAAGAAATTTATCTTCTAAAATTCTTCTGCATCAATTTATTTGATTATTAACCAGTTTAATGACGAAAGTAAAGTATTTAATTAATTATAGATCACGCTATTCATACTGGATCAAAATTAACTAATTATAAGCAAAACAAGAATGTTTGTTGGTTGCTATATTTTTTATGTAAACGTTACTATCAAATTTTATAAACGAAAAATTATTTTTAAACGAAATGAAAAAAAAATTAATTATAAGATATGTAATGAGCGTTACTTTAACAAAATAAAATACTTTTATGATAATAAATTCAATCTTCCGACTTGGAATAAAGTATAATATGTATAATACCTTAAAAAAGTTTGTGCAATAAATTTAATAATATCGTATTAGTCATTTATATGATATCAAGGTTCTCGAGAATCGAGGTATTGAAAGATTTTAATTTCTAGAAAACATTACATTTATTGATGAAGCAAGCAAGTAACATTCAATCAATGGAATCATGAAAAAGATAGTAAATGTTATTCCATAACATTATTTATTAATCAAAGTATTTTAACATCCGAAATGAAATTAGGATTACGCCCGTTCTTATTACATCGAATTCAGTTGCATAGGCGTTATATAGTACCTTATATTATAAACACTTAATTACATGTATGACATTAGATGTAATTACAGAGCATACTAAATAAATAAAGAACGATCATATCCTGCTCATTCAAGTCTTAAGTTAAAGATTCCATTTTCCAAACGTGAAAATTATTACGGTTTTCCTATATTACAGCTACTTTAGAGTTTTTGGCATCCATTCTGACAGAATAATAATGTAACTTTCTTAGAAATTGTGATCAACGAATTATTTGAATTAAATAGGCATTGGTATTACTGATCTTAACTAAAAAATGTCTAAGCTCATTTCATATCATGTGAAAATATATTGCATTTACCCTAATCCTAACGAGTTTAGATCCATTACAAATTAAATCGACAGCATAAAATTTACTTTTATTATTATAAATATTGATTGGTACACATTTAACTTTTAATATTGAATTATCCAATGAAAACTTATGTAGTTGTCATATATTCTTCAATTTGTAAATTATATAATTTAATAAAAAAAACATTTTAAATCTCTACAATATGAAATTAGTTATCAAAATTTTAACCGATTCCTTATTTATCTAAATGGTTTCCCAGTTGTTCGATTAGGTAATAGTTTACAATAATAATGTGCGGCTGACAAAATTGTTGATTCTGATTGGTATGCATTGTGGCTTCAGATGTGCATGATGCAATTATTGCATGTTGTGCAAATTTTTGTATACATTTAGCTCTGAGCTAAACGTTCACTAAATTTGTTTCAATAATTTTCATTCATTATTAAGTAAATAGCAGTACTACACATAGTTAAATTCACCGTAGTTAACACATTTATTTCGTAATTGACAAGTATGGAATTGTTAAAAAAAATATTCAAAAAAAAGCCAAGAAATACTAGTATGGAAATTTTGAATAAAATATCCAAAGAAAAGCCAAGAAATTTATGGAAAAGGGTTGATTTTAATGAATATCAGGTGAATGTTATTTCAACTTATACTTTATTATAAATATTATGATTAATTAACACATATATTTGATTACTTATTTAGATTCATGCAATTTCTTCTATTGATTCTACTACCAAATCGGAAGAGATTGATGATAAAGTAGTTTATATGGAAGACTTAGAAAAAAGAAAAAAAGCATATGGTACATGTGGAGAATGTAATGAACCTGGCACAGGAGAAAATTGGTGTCAATCTTGTAATTCAAAAAGATTTAAGGGAAATTTTAAAAATTGGACTAGTGGAAATAAAGATATTGATGAAATAGTACAATATTCACAACTTAATTCTTTACACTGTTTTAACTGTCTTGAATGGATATCTTTTGAGAAATTTCAAAATGTTACCTATATTACCAGAGGAGGCTTTGGTAAAATTTACTCAGGTGAATGGTCTGAAGGATATATTGATTATTGGGATATTGAAAATCAAAAATGGTACCGAAACGCAGGTCAAACAGTTGCATTAAAAAGTTTGGATAATTCTTCTGAAATTAGTGCTGATTTTATAAATGAGGTAATTAAATAAAAAAAAATTAATTTAATGTGCATTATATCTAAATTGTCATTGTTTTTATTAAATTTTTTTTAAAAAAATTTAATTATTAGATCAAATCTCATCTTCAGATTTATTGTCAGGGTATTGTTCTCTGCTTTGGAATAACTCAAGATCAAAATACCAAAGATTATATGATGGTTTTAAAATATTGTGAAGAAGGAAATTTAAGAAATTACTATTTAAATAATTACGATGATACTATAAAACTTTATAGATTATCAGCAATTGCAAATGGACTGTTAAGTATCCATAATGCTGAAAAAGTCCATAAAGACTTTCATTCAGGCAATATATTGTATGGTGGTGCTATGTTGATAAGTGATTTAGGAATGTGTCAACCAGCAAATAATAAAGAGAAATCAGATAAAAAAGAAGGAGTTTATGGAGTATTACCTTATATGGCACCAGAAGTTTTACGTGGATGNAATGTGTCAACCAGCAAATAATAAAGAGAAATCAGATAAAAAAGAAGGAGTTTATGGAGTATTACCTTATATGGCACCAGAAGTTTTACGTGGATGTCAATATACAAAAGCAGCTGATATTTATTCATTTGGAATAATTATGAATGAGTACCTTTCTGAAGAAATTCCTTTTAGTGATATTCCTCATGATCATATTTTAGCTGTTAAAATATGTAAAGGACTTAGACCAAAAATTTCTGAAGATATTCCAAAATTTCTTGTAGATTTAATTATGAAATGTTGGGATGCTAAAGCTGAAAATAGACCAACTGCTAAAGAATTGTATCAAATATTAAAGAAATATTGGAAAACAAATGAAATTCGTTCTCAAATGTGGGAATATGATGATAAAATTAGAGAAAAAAATTTAAAAAACAGATCGAATGACAATAAGTCTGAAAGTATTAAAACTCATCCTCAAGCAATCTATACAAGTAGACTTTTAAATTTTAAAAATCTTCCTGAACCAGTAAATTCATCAGATTTATCATTATTTCAAGTTAATTCAGGTAAATCTTCAATTTTAATTTGAATTATGAAAATTTTATTCAAGTTTTAATAACAATATTAACAAATATCCAATTTTTTTAATAATAGATGATGTTCCATCAGCATCAGAAAATCTAAGTAAGTATAACCATTATTATTACACGGCCCTATAGGACCATCATGCACATGTTGTACCAATATTTAGCATATCGTGCTTATAATATAATGATTTCATACCATTATTAAGCACACCCCGTCGCCTCGTGCAATAACATACAATTAATTTGTAATTATAAATTCATATTTTATTTTACATTACATTGTTGTTTAATTTATAGTTTCAGAATGTTTTGATTGCAAAATTTAATAAATCAGGTAAAATGATTTATTTGGAGTGATTTATTATTTTATCAATAGTTTTTTCGTCTAATTTTATTTAATTATTTTAATAATAGATCTCAATGAAATTAATCAAGATGATGATAATTTGATGATGGTCTTAAATCATGGTAGGTTTTTTCGGAAATAATCAGAATATTTAGTTTATATTTTTATTTACTTTTGTATTATATATGTCTTAGTGAAAATTTTTATAATATACAAATATATGATATAGTATATATTATGAAATATATTATTTATTGGGAGGGTTTTTGTGTTAAAAAAGACACACCAACTTTGATTATAAACGTTAAAAGCGAAATTCTTGGCAAATAGAATTCTGATAAAAGAAAGTTTATTTGATTATCTGAATAAATTTTTAAATAAAATTTATTCTTTCTTTTTTAGACTTTAATTGATCTGTCTGAAATTATTTTTGAGGTGAAGGTTGAAAAAAATCGTGTATTTTTTATGAAACAGAAACTGCAATTGCATCCGCAGTAATAACTCCAGAAAAATATTAATCTTATAATTTTCTTTTATTTCATTTCAAGTTTAATTATTACGTTCACAATATTAAAAGATAAAAATAATAAATTGATCCAATTAAGAATTTTTATCTTCTAAAATTCTCCTGCACCAATTTATTTGATTATTAACTGAACCAGTTTAATGACGAAAGTAAAGTATTTAATTAATTATAGATCATGCTATTCACGGACTGGAAGCAAAATAAGAATGTTTGTTGGTTGTTATATTTTTATATAAACATTACTATTTAAATTTATAAATGAAAAATTATTTTTAAACGAAATGAAAAAAAATTAATTATAAGGTATGTAATGAGCGTTACTTTAACAATGCAAAATAAAAATACTTTTATAATAATAAATTCAATTTTTCATCTTGGAATAAAATATACTAATATATACAATACATTTCTTTTAAAAAAGTTTATATAATAAATTTAGTAATATTGTACCAGCCATTTTATATGATATCAAAGGTTCTCGATAATCGAGACATTGAAAGATTTTTTTTTTTTAGAAAACATTACATTTATTGAAACAAGTAACATTCAATCCACGGGATCATGGAAAACGATAGTAAATACTATTTCTATAATATTATTTATTAATCAAAGTATTTTAAAATGTGTTCACTATTATACTTTCTATTAACGATAGCGTGTCTTTTAAAGAATCCGAAATGAAATTGGGATTACGCCATTCTTATTACATCGAATTGCATAGGCGTTATAAAGTAAATATAAAAGTAATCAATTTTTAATATTATAAATAGACATTAAACGTAGTTACAGAGCATAAATAAATAAAAGAACGATCATCATGTCCCTGCTTATTCAAGTCACCATCATATTAAGTGAAAGATTTCACTTTCCAAACGTGACGGTTTTCTTATATTATAGTTACTTAGAGTTTTTTGTATCTATTCCAACAAAATAATAATGTAACTTTCTTCACGCAATTGTGACCATCAAATATCATTGAAAATGTAACAAATTATTTGAATTAAATACACAAACTTTTAATATTTAAATATAGGAAAATTTATATAATACTAGTTATCATATATTCTTCAATTTGTAAATTATATAAATTAATAAAAAAACTTATTAAATATCTGAAGTATGAAATTTAGTCATCAAAATTTTGACCGATTCCTTATTTATCCAAATGGTTTCACAGTTGTTCGATCAGGTAATAGTTGACAATAATATGTGCGGCTGACAAAATTGTTGATTCTGATTGGAATGGAGATGTGCATGATGCAATTAATGCATGTTGTGCAAATTTTTGTATACATTTAGTGAAAATAACATTACGATCTTTACGTTCACTAAATTTGTTTTAACAGTACTATACATACAGTATATAAAATTACTGTTAATAACTCATTTTGAAATTGGTTCGAAATTGTTAAAAAAGATATTCAAAAAGCCAAGAAATACTAGTATGGAAATTTTAAATAAAATATCCAAAGAAAAGCCAAGAAATTTATGGAAAAAAGTTGATTCGAATAAATATCATGTAAATGAAATTTCAATTTATAATTTATTATAAATATTATGATTAATTAACAAATATATTTTGGTTACTCATTTAGAAACATGTTACAATTTCTTCTATTGATTCAGCTACTAAATCAGAAGAGATTGATGATAGAATAATTTATATGGATGAAATAGAAAAAAGAAAAGAAGTATATGGTATATGTGGAGAATGTAATGAACCTGGCATGGGAGAAAATTGGTGTCAATCTTGTAATTCAAAAAGATTTAAGGAAAATTTTAAAAATTGGACTAGTGGAAATAAACATATTGATGAATTAATACAACATTCACAACTTAATTCTTTACACCGCCTTAATAGTCTTGAATGGATACCTTTTGAGAAATTTCAAAATGTTACCTATATTACCAGAGGAGGCTTTGGTAAAATTTATTCAGGTGAATGGCCTGAAGGAGATATTAGGTATTGGGATATTGAAAATCAAAGATGGAAAAGAAACATAAATTGTAAAGTTGCATTAAAAAGTTTGGATAATTCTTCTGAAATTAGTGCTGATTTTATAAATGAGGTAATTAAATAAAAAAAATTTAGTGTTCATTATGTTTAAATTGTCATTGTTATTTTTATTAAAAAATTTTAATTATTAGATCAAATCTCATCTTCAGATTTATTTTCGGGGTATCATTTTCTGCTATGGACTAACTCAAGATCCAAATACCAAAGATTATATGATGGTTTTAAAATATTGTGAAGAAGGAAATTTAAGAAATTACTATTTAAATAATTATTGTGATACTGTAAAACTTTATGAATTATCAAGCATTGCGAATGGACTGTTAAGTATCCATAATGCTGAAAAAGTCCATAAAGACTTTCATTCAGGAAATATATTATATGGTGGGGCTATATTTATAAGTGATTTAGGAATGTGTCAACCAGCAAATGTGATGTCAGGTAAAGAAGGAGTTTATGGAGTATTACCTTATATGGCACCAGAAGTTTTACGTGGATATCAATATACAAAAGCAGCTGATATTTATTCATTTGGAATAATTATGAATGAGTTTCTTTCTGAAGAAATTCCTTTTAATGATATTCCTCATGATCATATTTTAGCTGTTAAAATATGTAAAGGACTTAGACCAAAAATTTCTGAAGATATTCCGAAATTTCTTGTAGATTTAATTATGAAATGTTGGGATGCTAAAGCAGAAAATAGACCAACTGCTAAAGAATTATATCAAATATTAAAAAAATGGGATAAAGAAGATGAGAAATTCAATAGTGAAATTCGTTCTCAAATGAGGGAATGTTATACAAAAATTAGAGAAAAATCACTGAAAAACATTTCAAATGAAAATAAGTCTGAAAGTATTAAAACTCATCCTCAAGCAATCTATACAAGTAGACTTTTAAATTTCAAAAATCTTCCAGAACCAGTAAATTCTTTAGATTTATCATCATTTCAAGTTGATTCAGGTAAATTTTCAATTTTAATTATGAAAAAATCTTATCCAAGTTTTAACGATATCAATTTTTTTTTTTTTAATAATAGATGATGTTTCATCTGTATCAGAAAACCTAAGTAAGTAGTACATAATAATTAATTATTTTTGTAATTATAAAATTTACTTTATATTTTATTTTAACATTATATTATTATTTAATTAATTTATAGTTTCAGAATGCTTTGATGTTCAATTCAGTGAATCAGGTAAAATAATTTATTTGAAGTAATTTATTATCTTATTAATAGTTTTCTCATCTAATTTTATTTAATTATTCTAATAATAGATCTCAACGAAATTAATCAAGAAGAAGATAATTTGAATGATGAGTCTTAAAATAATAATAATAATAATAATATTTCGAAATCAAATATTTTAGAAGAGCTACGACTATAATTTGACTCTCAATGTTCCTATTAATCATATTGCCATCGGTTTATTATAAATTATTAGTAGATTTTTTTCTGGATTAGTCAGAATATTGCAGTATTTAATAAACTTAAAGTTAGTATCATATTTAAATATTTTTATTTAACTTAGTTTATATTTTTATTTATTTTAGTATTTTATATCTTAGTAGAAATTTTTATGACAGGATCAAATAAGCGAAAAATAAAATATATTAAAAATATATTATTATTGGGAGGGTTTTGCGTTGATAAAGAGACGCTCAACCTTGATTGCAAACGTTAGAAAGCGAAATGCTTGGCAAATAGCATTCTGATGATACCAGGATAAAAAAAAATTTATTTGAGTTAGCTGGTCTATTAGTAAATATTAAGAAATCTTTAAAATTATCTTTATATTTAAAAGTGATTTGTTTTTTATTTATTATTATTAGTTTTTTTATCTGAATAAATTTTTAAATAAAAAATTTTTTTTTCTTTATGTTATCTAAGAATTTAATTGATTCCTCTAAAATTAATTTTGAGGTGAGAGTTGAAAAAAATCGTATATTTTCTTTTATGAACCAGAAACTGCACTAGTATCTGCAGTAATCACTCCAGAAAAATATTAGTTCATATTATAATTTTCCTTTCTTTCCAATAGTACAATAAGATAAGTTTAATAAAATATATGGTCACAATCTTAAAGGACAAAAATAATAAATCGACCGAAATTCGTTTCAGTTAAAAATTTTTTATCTTCTAAATTCCTCCTGTGCCAATTTATTTGATTAATAACCAGTTTATTGATGAAAGTAAAGTATTGAACTGACATAGACCACGCTATTCACGATTATCGGATCAAATTAACCAATTACAAACAAAACAAGAATGTTCATATTTTTATATAAACGTTTACAAATGAAAAAATTATTTTTAATCGAAACGAAAAAAAACTATTTATTATATTATCTTTTATTTTCACAAAATAAAAATACTTTTACAATAATGAATTCAATTTCAAGATTTTTTCATTACATCTGAAACAAGTAACGTTATATTATTTTTTTTTTAATATCGGATTTTTAATATTAAAAGAAATAAATCGAATGAATCGACTATCATACCATTCTATTATACTTATATACTGTACTTAACGTTAATAATAACGTACTTTTTTAAAAAAATCTGAAATAAATTGGAATTACGCTCGCTCTTATATTGAATTGCAAGTAGTATCTTCACTTAAATATAAAAGTAGTCAATTTTTAATCTTTATAAATACTTTATTATGACAACATTAAATGTAATTACAGAACATGCCTTATTCTTTGGCATCTATTCCGGCAGAATAATAATGTAATTTCTTCACGTAATTGTGACTGAAAAAAATTCCAAATATCATTTGATGGAGTAATAATGTTACTGGCCTTAACTAAAAATGATTAAGCTCGTTTCATATCATGTGAACAAATATACAATATTATTTCTATCGAGTTTTGACCTAAAATAGTGTGACTTACTACATTTAAAGCCTAAATGAATGGATCATATTGTTAATTGTCGATTTGCCATAGAAGATAAAGTTAAATTATTCATATCAAAAGAGCAAAAAAATCGAAGTGCCAGAAAAAATAACAGTCAAAATAACGTAAAAATTAGAATTTACATAACAACTTAACATGATTTATAACATCTTATCTTTTTCATACTGCTTTTTACATCATTATACAAACATTTTTAACAGTTCATTTAATAATAAGCGCCTATTTATTAAAAATTTATATATATATAAGATTTAATTAATTTACCAAATTAAATTAATAATATCAGTTTTTATTAGTATATATATTTATGTATATTATATACCACATAATCTAATTAACAAGGTATATTTAAGTTCTTCTGTAAGGTCTTTTGTTATCATAATTTTATATTCTTCTTTATAAATTCCTAATAAATTTCCATTGCTACTTCATTATTATGAAATCCTATATAAATATCTTGATTAACCATATCAATCTTACCACCATTAGGTCCTAAAATATATCTTTATAAACTATTGGGCGTATTTTGATTTGATTTATAGGTAAAAATGGCAGAAATCAAGCAGTTAGCAGAAATCCAAGATAAATTAGGATCATTCCTCTTCGACAAGTTTATCCTGAGAGTGTTATCAAAAGGCATATGCAAGCAATTGATTTCTGATATGTTAATGGAGACCCCAATAATCCACTTTTATATCAATATCCCTAATCCGATGTTTAAAATTACATTATGAAATAGCTTTATGTATTTGTTATTGATTTAACAATTTATGGTTTTTTTTTTATACTGGGAATGCAAAAATGTCACGTGTTGAAAATGTCACGCGATGTTAGAATGATCGATAATTCTTATATAAGCATGTTTTTGATTGTCATTTTCAGTAGGTGCATAATTTTTTTTCACAAGCACAAATACACATAAACGTCATGTCTTCAAAACTCTCCACCTTCTCCTCAAGCTTAAAAATGGAAGAAGTTTCAATGGCGGACGTTGCTAAGGGTCTAAATTACAGAAAAGCTTATCGAATATTTGCAAAAAGGCTTTAAAACTTGATGATATTAAAATTCTTCTTAGAGAGAAAATTGTTGTACCTGACTTTCTTAGCAAAAGAGAAATGTTGGTTTGGCATTAGGATCAGTAACGAGACTTGTAGACTCATTGAAGGCCTCAGCCAGAAATTATGCAATTATCCTTCATATAGATCTCTTGACGAATTGAAGAAAATTTTGTTTTAGAAATAAGGTCAATGGAGAAGATATGATAGCTTACTCCTGGTGAGTGAATACACTCTTAATATTACTTCGATTTATAATGGACCATCGTGTATAATAATTTATTTTCTTTTCCTTGCAGCCTACGAGGAAATTCCGTTATTTATTTTGTTTTTTTCTTCATTTTATCTAGTAAACGTATTTATATATTAACGTAGAAATGGGAACAAGGTGAGAGACAATCCGCAAGAATTCACGAGTTTCATCGTGCGAATGATTCTTATAAACGATTGCAACATTACCAGAAGAGAATGGCCCCTAGTCCGGTAAGAATCTTTAATTATTTTTTAATATTTAATTAATATTCACTAAATTTACTAAATTTCTTTCTTTTAACGTTGCAAATTTATTTTATCGATCTTTCACGCATCTATCGTATTGCAAAATAACTTACTTTCAAGATATCTTCATAGTATTACAAAATATATCTGTTGAAGAATCAACCGGACAAATCGATTGCGCAATCAAAAGTCTGAATGACTTCCTTTATATCACTGAAGGAAAGTCTTGCGCCTTCAAAATAGGTTATGCATAGGTACTGTAATTCTACTACTTGCGTTTTTTTTAGGAGATTCAATGACATTAACACCGACATTTTATTTCTTAGAATCTGGCACAACTTGAAAGTGTATACTAAATAAATAAGATGGAACAAACCACGGATCAAGCATTTTGGTAGTAACAGTTATTTTGACTACTTCTGTGCTGAATTCTACAAGTGGCAGCGAGTACCAATTGTGGGTTGTTGAAGGATGGATTAGTACCGATAGTTTTCCAGCTAGCAAGAGGGCTAGAATCAAAAAAAAATCGATCAAAAAATGATGGGCATCAAAACAGATAGGCGCTAGTGAAGCGCTTCACATTTTTTTTTACTTTGCTTTCGTGTATTATCGGCTATGTCCCGACACTTGTAATTTATTTTTCATATAATAATAAAAAATTAATATCGTGTAGCATTATTTTTTTTGCTTTGGTCAACATGATAACAGGCACCTAGCAACTTTAATGCCGCTAGCATGTATTATGCGGTTATATAGCAATATGATAGTGGCTACATTTTATAAGGAAATATTTTATCAATTTACGTTAATATTCATACGGTACAGTACTATTTTTGAATAATGTTAATTTTTTCATAAATATTATTCAAAAATATTGATTTTATTATTAACTTTAATGAAAGTATGAACCGATTTTTATTTTTAATATACTTTGCAAATATATAGTAAGGATTATGCACAAGATGCCGGATCTCATAAGGCTGATTGTGGCAAAACTGAAGGATAAGCTAAAGTCTATCAGTAGTTTAAAATTGTATACGGGACGTTAATCTCAGTTATTTATCATCACGGCTCCTCCGTGATAATTAATGATTCCCGTTAAATAACTATTACTATAGACGTTTATTTTTTTTTTATTTTTTAATGAAGGAAAGGGACGACAGACTGTTTATTATCATTATTATTTTTTTTTTGTACAAGTTATTTTTATTTATATATAGTTAATTAGTGAAAGAAATTATGTACAATTTTTTTATATATATTAACAAGAAATTAAGTTGATTAAGAAAGCGAAACCTTAACAGCTACATAAAGAATAAAATTTTAATTTTCTTTAAGTTATAATTAATACTATGTACTGCAAATAATTACAGTAATGATAAAAATATTATAATGTTGTAGAACTGCCCAAAAGGATCTCCTGTGCTCAAGTTAGGTGGCGTTCGGCTTTAAGATATCTTTTTGCTTTACTAACCGCATCATATTTGTAGTCCCAATCATCGTTTTCTGAACAGAGATATAACTTAATTGTTTGTATACGAAATTCCGTTTTCAGGTCATTAGTACATTTATTCATTGGATTAACAATCTTTTCAATTCTTTCTACGTTGATATCATCGGAGTTCTCCCATTGTTTCGCTCATTTTTCAGTTCTCTTTGTGGTTCTTGTCCATTTTTAAAAAAATGAAATAAAAGAGACGTGAATCAGCAGTTCATAAATATGACCAAACAAGTTTGCACTCAGTACTCTCAACAATAGAAGAGTTGACTTTCAACAGACAAGTTGTTTGATGTTTAAGAAAGGTACGTAGCAGGTTCCTCCTCCTCACAGAACCAGCAGATCTTAAACCAGGAACTTGAAAATAAAGAAGCACCACTCTTTTACGGATTGTAATGGACAATACTTTCTGATTCACGAGCTCAATACTTACATCCCAATTATCAAGAATATTTTTTGCTTTTTCGCGGAGATGAGGTTTTAGTTCTTTTTTACTGAAATGTTTTAGATCTTTTCTGATTTTAATTAACACTTCACTCAGGGTTTTGTTGTCTTTATTTTTGTAGTAATTATAGACCTCGCTATACATCCACTTCTCAGTTAGCTCATCGCTTAAAAAATTCCATAATGAAAACGCGTAAAGCCGTAAACTTTCTAAAATCACTGATAATAACATTTCCTTTTTAAATTTCAGGCTATTTCAATCAGTGATTGGTGTAACCCGATCAGACCCATGTGACAAAATTTTCATCTATGATTTTACAGATACTACTGGGATACCACCCTGAAGAGCATTCCAACAATTGAGATAATAAGTTCATTCTCCACAATATTCACCGGAACCCATTCACCTATATTATTCCATATACTTTTTTCTTTATGATCTCTTTGCAAATAGGGCAGATTGCTGAATTATTAAGATTAAATCTGTCACCACATTTGTCATTATCTCTTAAAGATAGATAAGGAAACTGCTCTGCACCAATCCAATGATATGTTTTCGTTTTTCTTCTGGGTCATCAGGTAAAATAGAAAGTCAGGATTTGTTAGATAATATTACCTAACGGGAGGAAGATATAGATGATACACTTGCTTGAAATTTGATTTGTGTGATACTGTTGGTATCTGCACCTCTACATCGGGTAATTTTCATATTTTTTTTGTGATCGTGTAGTAACTTTTGTAGTTTTGTTTGATCTTTTTTTATCTTTACGTTTTGTTGGTTAACTCAGCTCTTTACCAGTTACTTGACTGTCTAAACCAAATTCTTCATCATTATTATCAAGATTTTTTGCTTTTTTTAAACGTCGAAGAGATAATTCTGCTAATTGATTTTTCCTTTTACTACCTTGATTTGTTAGATTCATTACAGATTTATGATCAATTTTATCATCACTTTGTTCTTCACTCTTGATTTTGACCTGTAGATAAAACTTTTTCAATTTCATTATCTAAAGATTTTTCTTTTTTGATAGAAATTGGTTTGTTTGTCTTAAATTTTTGGGTACGTGAAAACAAAGACTGTGATAAACTTGTATTTGGAAGATCATCAATGGAATTTTCTAGTAAATCGATTTCTTCTTGCTTCAACAAATGGTAAATCATTTTCGCTAAGATCGCAATGAATACCAATTTACCAATTTCCAATTTTGGTGCAAGTTTCTAAAACGGGAATCTTGACCTGCATCATATACAACTTGTATTTTAAAATTTACTTTTCCTTTGTTAGTAAAGTTGAAATTATTATTATATTCCGATACATTAATTCCAAATACACAATCATCTTGTTTAGGCCTAGAATAAACTTTTCCAACAAAAGAAATATATGGTCCAGTTGATGGTATTTCATCTTCAATTAATTCTATCTTAAAAGCTGTTGATATCATTACCTTATCAATTAATAATAGAAATATTATTATTTATATCGATATGGTCATATTAGTTATTATAAAGTTTAATATACTTACATACATATCTTTGTTATCAAAAAGGCACTTTCCACTTATCAATACGTAAATCTTTAATGTTGAATTCATGGAAAGTTAACGGAAATGTTTTGTTTTTTATAGAAGCCATAGTGGAAGTTTTTAAATATATTTGGCGAAATCATATAATTTGCCAAACAATTAACAAATCCCCATCTGGTCCTTTTGATTTGATTTGACATAACACAGTGACTGCTGATGGCATTTTTTTTTTTTTTTTCTTAAAAAAAAAAAAAAAAAAAAATCTTCGTAATTGTTGATATTGGTACAATTATTTCTGATGAAAAAAAAAAGATTGATCTTAGACAATTATAATTATGCCCTTTGTTTATTTTATATTTTAATGATAACATTATTACTAAAAAAGCCAGTTACTGGAAATAAAAGAAAAAATTTAATTTTCTAACCTAACCATAAAAACATTAGATCAGCCGCAGATGAATCACATTGACACATGAATTTTTTTATTACTCTTTTTAGATTATTTCAAAGAAAAAAAATCTTTCGTAATTGTTCATTTTTGATTTTTGACGAAGAGATAAATTGTTTATTATTAATTTTGCAGAAGAATTTTTATATTTGATACTAAAAAAAGTATATTTTATTGTACTCTTTTTAATTGTTTAAGATTATTTCAAAAAAAAAAAAATCTTTCGTAATTGCATGATTTCTGACGAAAAAAAAATCTTGGACAATTATAATTATGCCTTTGTTTATTTTATTTAATTAATAAAGAGAATCCTAGATAATTATTTATTATTAATTCTGTAGAAAAAAATTGTAATATTTAATAAAAAGAATATATGCTATTGTACTCTTTTTTATTAGTATTCAAACATTCAAAAATAGCTATCTTCTAAATACATTTCTTAACAATAATAAATCTTAATAATCGTATTAAGACTAAGAAAAAATCATATTCTTTCTAAACACATAAGTTTTTTAGTCAATATTTTATTTATTTTTATTTATTTTTTATTAGTGAAAAAATTAAATTTGATCTTATAATTTAAGCGAAAGGATTTAAATTTGATCGTTTAATGATCATTTTTATGGCATTAGATATAATAGTGAAGTTAATTTGGCTATTAAAAAATAATTTGATTACCTAATTTAGTTAGTATTATATTTCATATCTGGTATTCCAATCAATGATCTTTTTTTAGCTTAGTAATTTTTGACGAAAAAAAATTAATTTTCTTATTAATAAAAAAAATACAATTGTTTTATTTTGTAATATTACTTTTTTTAATTAACTTATTAAAGTTAGCTTAGAATCACTATCCCACAATTTTTACAAAAGAAAAAAACTTTATATGAATGCCTCTTGTCTGACGGGTGAGATGGGCGGGCCGACAAGACAAGTATTGAACTGTACGAAACGACATATACAGTATATATACTTATATATACTTTTACATATATATAAAATTTTGTCTCTAAGTAGTTTCCTTTTTAGGATGCTGATCTTCTATATTCAGCATTGATTTACACATTATGTAATACATTTCTATTATCTCGGATTTAGACTTTTCCTTTTTTATATTAAAATCGATCAACAAATCTTTTAGTGGTGTAATTATTCTTTTGTGTCAATGTGAATTTAATAACAAATTAATTAATCATTGAAGAAACAAGAAAGTTGTGAGAGATTAACTGCACAACCGTGATATTACGGCAACCGTTCTTTCAAAATATGATCGATTTCATTTGAATTTCTTCTGATTTTTGCTATATATTAGAAATGGCAACTCCGATTGAAAGATATCCAGTTAAGAATAGGAATATAACATGCTTGATCTAAAAATTTAAATATATTTCGGTTGGTTTTCTTAGTTAAATGAATTAAATTACGAAAAAGGATCAAATGAAAATGGATCTAGAACTGTACCTTTTCTTCTTCAAATTTTCTACTGGTTTAAGGATACTTGCGCTCTGAATAGTGCTCGCAATGTTACTCCTCTTTTCATCAATAAACTTACATAAAATCAGAAATAAATATCTGATAGAATTCTGGATTCTGTCGTCTTGTATATTATTTATTACACAAAATTTCGTAACTTTATGGCAAGCTTATTTGTAAGCCATTAAAGCCATTAGATTAAAATTTTGTGGCAAATCTGGTCTATAAATTTAATTAATATTGAATATAGGAGTTATTTTATTTTTTCTTAAAAACAAAATCACATTTAACCATTATTTTAAATAAGGCTTTTTTCGTTGTTGTTATAAATATATATACATTTATCCTTAATTTTTTTTTTATTACAGAACATAAATCAAAACATTTACGCCAAATCAAAAAATTTCAATATCTCGAGAATAAATAAAATGTCTACACTAAATCAAAAAATTTCAATATTTTAAGAATAAATCAAATGGTCTACGCTAAATCGAAAAATTGCAATATTTCGAGAAGAAATCAAATATCTATGCTAAATCAAAAAATTTCAAGAGGAATCAATCAAAAATTTAAGTTAAATCAAACGTCCACGCCAATTAAAAAAGTTCTCAATATTTCAAGAGGATCTATATGATATCAATATTTCGGGAGGATAAACCAACCATTATGTCAAATCGAACACCTACACCAAGTCCGGATTTTGGAAATACCTTCTTCCCATCTTTTAACGATTTCTATTGTGAATTTTCTTATATCATGAGGCTTGTAGCATTTAAAATAAAATAGAATAAAAAAATTAGTATTGGAAAAGAAAGAAAAATACATTAAATATAAAAATAAATTTTGTTACAATGTACATACTTGAAAGAAGAAATTTTTAAACTTTTGAAATGAAATTTATAAACTTTCGTATAGAAAGGAAGAGGAATAACTAGAAAAAAAAAAATTTTTAAGCAATGTAACTCCTTTCCTCTCTCCTCAACGTTGGCGATCAGGTGACAACAAGCTTTTGAAAGACTCGGCTAAGTTAGCAACAAATAGTCACTTTTAGTAAATATATTTATAACTATAAATTAAAAATAATTAATTTCTCATCTATAATTATTATTCCGATTATTGAATTTTTAATTTTCGTTTTTGTAATAATTTCGGATGATGACCCATTTATATACTAAACTAGATCTTTTTTATCATCCTAAGATATACTAATTGGTCCGCCAGTTTATAACTGGCGGAAAAAATCCTAAATACCAATTAGTAGCCATGTTTATATATCGAACTGTTTGTTATATAACAGCATATAATATTTAAAATTCAGATGATTACATGACTTACCATAACACTATGTTTTATCTAAATTTTATGTGATCATTAAATTTTTAAGTATTTACTTGCTATTCAATACCATATTAACAGAAATAATTTTTCCGGTAACATCCAAATAATCCAATCTTTTATATTACTCCAAAAATGGTAGCAGGATTCATTTTGCCGGGTTACATATAATATTATGTATGTGACAATTAATGGGCGACAATTTATTATAAAATTGAAGAGTGACACTACGTGACAAATTACTAAAGAACCGGCAAAATGAATCCGGTTACCATTTTTCGGATATGATGCTAAGTTCGTCTACTAATTAAAAGTTATAAGATAGTTCGGTATTATTAAATACCGTTGGCCACTGCATTAGTAAGATAATTATTCCTGAAATTATTGTTTAATTTAGATAATCTTTAAAGTAAAACATGAAACCCTAATAGTGGAACCTATAAATAAATAAAATTTTTTTTATGAAAAATTTAAATAAAAGTAAATGTAATTATTACGTACTTTACTAAATTTATTTTATGTCCTATCATTTTTACTTTGTGTCGAGACTCACGTGAATAAGTGTGCGCACTGTGCAGCAATACTTGTGTCACGTCAATTAGGTAAATCTTTTCACAACCATCATTACTAATTAAGTGTATCAAAGAATTTTTGTGTTTATGCATGAAATATTTGCATGTATAATATGGCAAGAAGCGTGAGAAAAAATTTTCCCTTTTAAGTTAAAATAATATTTATTTAGAAACGAATACCTGATAGTTGTTTCAAGAATCATCTTTGATTTTTAAAAAATATAATGTTAAACAACCAAATCAAATAAATATTTAATATTTATATTATAAAGTATCTAATAATAAAAAGCGTAATTACTAGACAGCTTTCATTAAAAAAGCATAAAAAAGATATATAATACAAAGTTTTTTATTATATGAATAAAAATATATAAAATTTATAAAATTACTAAGCAAAGAGACTTTATGCAAATGCCAAAGAAATAAAAAAAGGCCGACATGAAAAGACTGACGGATCACTCCGTCCCGTAAATAATACGTAAATAATAATAAATAATACGTAACACCAAGCCACATCTAGAAATAGCCTGTATAAAAAAAAATATATATATATTTGCAAAAAAAGTTCGAATTTTATTCATCTCTTATTTAAAAAAATTGCAAACGCTTCAAGATGTCTCAAATGTCTCAACACACTGGATCCAGAAAGAGTTTTGGTAAGTGTTTTGATTGCGAACGACAACGACCAGCACTAGCATGGTGTGAGAATTGCGATATTGCATTTTTAAAAGAAAATTTTAGTAATTGGACTAAATTCTAAAATAGATGAACTTATTAAACATTCTCAGTTAAATGCTAGAGAGAGTATGGATTACCTTGAATGGATTGATTTTGATCAATTCGACTTGATCGAAAATATTAATAAACGAGGTGCTTTCAGCTCGATTTATTCAGCAGTATGGATGGATGGCCCAAAATGGAATCTTGACGAAAAAGCCGAAATATGGACTCGTACTGGTCCAGTTAAGGTGATTCTAAAACGATTAGATAATTCTCAGAACATAGATCAGGAATTTGTAAATCAGGCAAGTAAACAAACACTTTTAGTATATATAGACATGATTAGGAATTTAGGATTATAAATGGCACGTTAGCCAGTTCAAAATATGATGATGATTGGGAAACTAAATGACGTTATTTCTGAAAAGAACTATAAAATTCAAGTAAATTCTAAACAAATTTAGGACGGTTAAATGTATTTCCGAGTTGAAGTCACAATCTTCGTTATCCTAACAAATCTATCTAAGAAACGACAACTGCTAACTAAATTTCTAATTCACATGAAAATGATTAACTATTGATATTAACTCTATTATTGTTTTTTTTTCTTTTTTAATCTAATAAAGTTATATAGATATCATAAATGCTTGCAAAGTGGAGCACTTGCAGATTGTTTTGGTATAACTAAAGACCTAACATCATGCTACATACTCGTTATGAGATATTATAAAAATGGAGATTTATACTCGTACCTTGAAGAAACTATGGAGATTCTTTGCTGGAGAGATATTGTAGACATGCTATGGTCAATATCCGCAGGTTTAAATTTTATTCACAAACATGATCTTGTTCATGGACATTTACATGGAGGAAACATATTAGTCGAAAGTAATGTGAACTCTATTGATACTAAAATCACGGATACTGGATTACACGGACCTTTTGATAATCAAATATTGTCCAAACAAATTTACGGTGTAATTCCCTTTGTTGCGCCAGAGATCTTTGATGGAAATACGCCAACTAAAGAATCCGATGTCTATAGTTTTGGAATGGTCATGTGGATGTTATCGGCTGGTGTGCGTCCTTATTGTGATAGACCTCATAATAAACAATTAATTCATGAAATCTGCTTAGGATTAAGGCCAAACATCGTAGATGGAACTCCACCTGTTTTCTCCAGTTTAATGTTACAATGTTTAGATGCAAATCCATCAAATAGACCAACAGCATCACAGCTTGATGAATGTTTTGGAAATTGGGTCATAGCAATTTGTGATGACCCTAATCCATCTGATTTATCAAATCAATTTGACGCTGCTGAAGAAACTAAATTCTCAAATTTAGAAAATTCTAATTTTAATACTTTCGCGAGTCACGAAGAAGCATTTTATTTCAGTCGTCCGTTATTAGATGCTTAAAGAATGGCGCTTCTTTTTTTTTTTAATTCTCGTCGTTAAACGTATTTTCGATTTCTTCAGTTTTTAATTTTATTATAATTTATAATTTTATCGTAGATTTTAATCAGAAATTTAATTCCTTCTATCGTCAATATTTATTCGTTTATTCCGAAATCACAAACACAAACTCATACTTATAATATGTTTCATAAATTTAAGATTTTCTTTCACAAATTAATTAAGTTAAACCCTCATTTCGTTTAAAATAAGCAAATATTATACGCAAACACAATTATTTTTTTTGAATATTTTACATCGTTATAATAAGTCAAAAATATATGACAGTAAGTTTTTAAAATAGTCTCATATGAATTTTGAATTTCTTTTTCAAAACAATGTATCTTTTCTGTTTATTCGATAACCGCAATAAAACGAATACTGTTTACCCGTCTATTATGATAAATTAAATACTCTTACTTCTGATTAAAATTGCCCTAAAAGCGCTCGATAATTGATATTTTTAATCAAAGTCATATTTGACCAAAATCATTCCGTAAAAAAAAAAATTCTCTTGTTTTTAACCCAAGATTATTTTTTTTTCACGTTATATTTATTTTTCTATTTTTTGGCTATATTTCTTTTTACATTTGAATAAGTTTTTTAACATACTGTATATAGAATTAATTTATATCACACAAGTGCCATACATTGATTGTAATTTTTTTAATTTTGGACAATTGAATCATTTTAAACAGGGAAGATAATTGTCATGAGCCAACCAGGTAAATATTATAATATTTAAATGTTGACAAATCGGACGTTTAATATGTTAAATTTCGAACACAATAACCAAAGAAATTCCGAATAGTACAAACAAATCATCAAATTTAACGAAAATGAAATGATTTTTTCTTGAAAATCCCACATGAATGAAGAATCTTAGCTTTTCACGCAGTAAATATAATTTACTTTGATGATCATCATGTTTATCATTTTCATGTGATGTGGCGTAAATATTTGTATGGCAAACGGAATTGCCTCGGAACTTTATACTCCTTTTTTTTCCTCTTCTCTCTTTTTCGTTTTAATACTTTATATGGCATATTCAAAGATATTTTCAGGAGATTTACCTGAATTATTAAATGAAATTATACAATATTTTCATCATGATTATAAAACATTACATTCATGTATATTGGTTAATAGATTATGGTGTCGTTTAGCAATTCCATTATTATGGGAAGACCCATTTTCAATTCCTACCTTAAATTGTCGTTTTATTGATATTTATTTATCTTATTTAAATGAAGATTGTAAATTAAAATTAAATGAATATGGAATTAATAATAATTTATTTCCTTCAAATACATTCTTTAATTATCCAAGTTTTATTCAACATTTGGATACACGTAAAATTAGTAATTCTATCGAAAATTGGGTGGCACAATTAAGTTATTCAATACAAAATAATAATTTACAAATAACAAATTTCACAAAATTAATTTATAGTTCACTTTTTTTAATATTCATTGAAAATGAAGTAAAATTACGTAGTTTGGAAGTTTCATTACTTTCACATCAAGTTTGTGAATATTTTGATGAAGCATTTGAATTAATCTTAAAAAATCCAAATTTCATTTGTGATATCAAAAATTTGAAATTAGATTTTATTATAACAGCTGAAACTATAACAAAATTATTATTATTTCTCAATTCTAATTGTAATTCAATTTCTTCACTTTATTTTTTATTTCCATCATATTACAATAATTATCCAATAAATGAAAAAAGTTTATCCCAAATTATTGATTCTCAAGAAAATCTCAAAAAAATTTTACTTGGTTATAATAATTTTCCTTTATATCACTCATTATTATCATTAAAGAATTCTAATTGTTCAAATACATTAAATACAATTGTATTTTATTATATTGATTTTAATAATATAATTGTTTTTAATGAAGTATTTAATCAATTGAATGTTTTAGAATCAATTCATATTATTTATTGTCATTCTTTAGATATTAAATTTATTCAACAAATTATTAATATTACTAAACCATTTAAATTAAAATCTTTATTTTTAAATGAATTATTAAATATTGAATCATTAAAATTATTAATACAAAAATTTGGTAATAATTTAGAAGATTTTGGAATTTGTATAAGTAATATAACAGATAAATCACAACAATTAATTCAATTATTTGAATCAGTTTTAAAATATTGTCAAAAAATTAAATTTTTATATTTACCTGTTGGTTTAAATAATCAGAATATTAATTTATTATTCAATTTAATTGATAATATTAAACAAAATCTTAATTATCTTAGAATTGATGCCCTTGATTATGATAATCATTTTAGTTCAAATATATTACAAAATTTAGGAAAAATTCTTCCTTTAAAATTAGAATATTTAAATTTGGGTCTTGTAATTAATAATTATGGAAATGATTTAGAAGTATTTTTAAAAAATTCTCAAAATACTTTTATTAAAAAATTATTAATTAGAAATAAAAAGGAAGATGAAAGTGATGATATTTTCCCTTATATAAGAGAATATATTATGAAAAAGAAAAGAGTTAAATATTTGGCTATTTTAGAAACTATTGATGAAAAATGTGAAGATTTATTTTCTTTAAAAGATAAAGTAAAGGAATTAGAATTATATGATATTCAAGTTTTATATTATTATAATTTATATATTGATATTTATTGTTTTGTAAAAGAAAATTATTTACAGTAATAATATAAATGTAAATTTCATATTAATTAACTCAATAAAATATATTTGAATATAATTTCAAGTTTTGAAAATCTAAGCATTATATAGGATTATATATTGTAAGTTATCAATGTTATTACCAAAACTAAAAGATTAATTTTATTAAGTATACAACTTATTATTATAATTACGAAGAATGAAAGAATGGTATTTATTAATGATGTTACATAAAGTGAAGTATTGGAATTTTGACATACAGTATATCCTAACAAAATAATAATGTAATTTTCTTCACGTAATTGTGCCATAATTATAAATTCTTATTTTATTTTAACAATTTAGTAAATCAGGTAAATTAGTGATTTATTATTTTATTAATAGTTTTCTCGTCAAATTCGTCTAATTTATTTATCTCTAATAATAGATCTCAATAGTGTTGGTCTCCGTAAATAATATTACAACCGCTTAAAGTTATAATTCGATATATAATAATCGTTACTTACGGCAACCAACCTTAGATCTCAATAAAGAAGACAATTGAATGATGAGTTTTTTCGGGAATATATATGGTCAGATATTATTCGATAAATTTAAAGATAGTATTCAAAAATTTTTATTAGTAGCCTATATTTTTATTATATATTTTAGTGGCAGAACCAAATAAGCATAAATAAATAAATATATATATACTGTATATTAAATACATTATGATAAAAGAGACGCTCAACTTTGATTACAAACGTTAGAAAGCGAAATGCTTGGCAAATTCCTCAAGATTAAATCAATTTATTTATTTTATATTTATTATTTTTTTTTTAACTTAAAGTATTGAAAACATCTAATTAAAATGTTTTTCAAAATTTCAGACTCTTTTGTTTTAAAAAAAAGAAAATACATGAACCTTTTTTCGTGTAATAGTAGCTGGCGATTTATATTTTTCTACTAATGTTTAAATAAAATAATTTTTATTACAAAGACATTATGAGTTAAAACTGAAAGAAAGTATAACGTTACTTTTATGATTATTGGTATACATAAATTTCTTTAGTATGGAATACTATTATACAAAAAAATTATGAGATACACATTAAGTTAAATGGGGAACAAAATCCAATTTATATTTCAAATCTAACTCATTTCAAAATTACATACTATTGGCTTTTACAATCATACCCAAATATTTGAACTGATTTATGATAAATGCTAAATCTATTAATAGCAAAATCATACCCTAATTTAAGATATCTCAATTTGTGGGATAGCAATGAAATGTCTATGTATGGTCACGCAGTGTTGTCAAATGACACAGAAATGACATTGAAATGACATCAAATGATATTAAAATGACAAATGTCATTTGAAAATGGGCAAATGACATGGCAATTTAACAACACTGCGGTCACGAGATTATGCCAAAAACTAGAGTATCTAAATATCAATTATTGTAAAATATTACTAAAAAAATCTTTTCATGATCATGATCTGCGAGAGTTTCATTTTTGCTGAAGCACGTGGGATCACGGATAAATCTATAAGTTGCATCATAAACAGATTCTAGTATGTTAATGACGCCTCAATATAGAGTATCTAGACTTTAATAATGACATGCCTTTTCGAGGTGATGCAATAATTGTAGCTATCATCAGATTCTCTCCGAAATTAAAAGAATTTAGGGCTAATGGTAATGAAATTATCAGTGATGAGGTTATTGAAGCACTAGCCCTGTAGCCCATGCATGTAATAAATTGGAAGTTCTTTATCTCGTACATTGTGATTTTATTAGTGAGCTATCGATTTGTAATGTTGTTCGTTCCTGTCCAAATCTCCAAAGTCTTAACCTTAGTTACTGTAATATTACTAATGTAACTCTTGATTTAGAGGGGTGCAATAATATTAGCAAAAAAGCTGTAGATTAGCTTAATCCAAATATCCATATCGAGAACTTAAGGAAGATTATTTTGAACGGAGTAGCTCTGAGGAGAGTATGATGTTGAAGAATTTACCTATGGTAACAATGTGTTTCTTCCAATGTTTCATGGCATTGGTAGTTCCAGTATTTTCAATCAGGTAAATCAGGTACAGTCAGACCTCTATAATTGCACTCTCCATAATTGCACCCACTATGTATACCCCCTCTAAATGCACCCTCTGGTTCGGTCCCAAGCTTATATGATCTCTAATTATTTTACCTCTATAAATGCACACCCTCTTTAAATGCACTATTTTGAAAATTATGCATATGGTCCCAAGGGGTGTGCAATTATGGAGGTCTGACTGTAATTGGTTTTATTACCGCATTTAGTGATTATATTTAAGTCAGTATTACCAATCAGAATTTGGCGCAGTCTGGAGCTTCACACACATTTCTGTGCAATGACATGGGTGATCACACGGGAAGGTCTGTGTAACATTTTAATTTCTAAAATACAACATGCTAATATAATTTTAGTTATTTCAGTTAGGGGTAATCCGTAACACAATTTCACGAAAGCAATAAAGATCCCATATTGAGATTGATTTAATACAATAACAACAATTATTTTCAAACTTTCTTTATCTTCTTTTTACGGTTTGTGGTTTACGCCAAATCCTGAGAAGATAATCTAACAGGCATTTTGTAATGGCTCCGAATCTCCGATTCACTTTTATGAAAATGATAAAGTAACCCGTTGCGTTGCGGGGATGGGACTTTGCCTATTAAGCCAAGAGAGTAATCACGTGAATAGGTCTAGTTTTTTGCTATTATTATGATGGAATTAGTAAGTAATAAATGTAATAAATTTATATAATTTATATGCTTATACAAATAATAGTAAATTGTGTGTGTGTGTTACACAGTATATGAAATATTATTATTAAATAATTCAACCTTTTTTTTCGTTGATCTTGTTTGTTTCAGTGAAATCATTATTGAAGTGATATTATGTGATATATTGATGGAAAATCAATGCAAATTTTATTTATCATATGAAATAAATGTTGCAGCACTGTGGAATTTATTATTTATTTATATATTTACAAATTCATTACAAAAACAATTTTGAATACGTAGTCTATTGTTACAAAAAAAAAAAAATAATCCTTTTTTTATTTTTATTTTTTATCTTAAAAAATTCATTATAGCTACAGAAAAAAATATCTCACTAGTTACATGAAAAAAAAAGAAATCCCATAAATCACGTGTTCACAATTCAGAATTATTTTTACAGGCTAGATTATTGCTTAAAATTATTTGATTCAATGCCATTTTCAATTTAGTGCGACCCTAATTGTGTAACCAGATGTAAATTTAATTTGATTTCCCCATTTTTTTTCAATTGCTTCTAATAAAAGTTTCTTGTTAAGTTTTATTTCTCGTAAATTTCCCATGATTTTATAAACTTTTTATGACAAACTATACACTTACAAGGTTATAAGTACGATATTTTCCAGGTAAGAGTTGGTTTTCTAGTTATGAAGTTTTACAGATTTCCTTCGACTTTCTTTTTATGCAAAAGTTGTCTTAAAAGTTATACTTTCGAACAAAAACATTACTTTTATTTAATTATACAAAGTTAAACAAGTGTTAATTAAGTATTTTTTAATAGGTTTAAGTTTTATTGAATAAACTATACATTTCACATAATTTATGTTATAATTAGTATTATGTCGGTATAACTATGTATAGTCATGTCAGATTAAGATAATTTTAAAGTATTAGGACAAGCTTTGTTTGTTCTTTTAGAATATTAAAAATTATTTAAATTGAATCACAGAAAAAACATAATTATTAAATTTTAAAATTATACTTGTTTCTTTTTTTTTCGCTCGAAATTAATCACGTGATACAGCTAATTTTATTGGCTTCTCACTATATGATACGCGTCCTGATGAAAAATTATGGAGGTCGCACTAAATTGAAAACAGCGATAATTATATTCGCTCAATTCTGTAAATTTTTATATTTTGACCGTTATTTGTTAAAAAAAGCAAGGTTAATCTTTTGATCTTTTGGAATATTAATATGGGTAGATCGTTATACTAAAATGGAAACAGGACGCTTGACGTTCCCTCCGTACAAATAAATTATCATGAGTGACCAGAGTCCACAGCTAGTTACACTCAATTGGTAAATTAGCCTTGCAAAACTCGGGGCAACGCCCACAACTATTATCGATTTTTTAAAAAAAGTTATAGTAATGGTAATCTGGGAAAAAATTTGTCCATGTCCTGTTTTTAAGCAATGCAAACAAAGAAATGGGCGTAATCGCATCAGTTTGATTTTATCGATTCTTTCATTAGAGATGGCCCATTCATTCTTTAAAAGGAAATCCTATTTGTTGATTATCTGATTATTCAATGGATAACGAATAAAGGTTATATTATTTCATTTTCTTTTGCTGCTGACTAATTTATTTTAACGAATTTTCTAATTGACTAACTAATTTTATTTAAATTATGATAGAATTATAACCGGTTGTTAAATAAACTATTCTTGAAATTGAAATTTTTGTTACTTAAAGGAGCACAAATTCCGTGTATATCTCTGATATTTATATAGGCTACAAACTAACAGATATACACTATCAAAAAAAAATAAAAAATAAAAAAAAATGGATACTCAAATAGGTTGCGCTATCAAAGCCAGCAATGAACTAGTAAAAAATTTACATCGTGATGGATTTGATCGTGGATGTATTGCGACATTCAACGATTATATGACGGTTAGGCAGGTGAATGATATTTCCCTTTTAATCCCGTATTATGTACTGTTTTGTATGCTTTTTTTTAAATACGTTACGTTCTTTCTATTTATGTACAAGACCTTCACTAAAAATAAAGCATCACTTCATCGTTCTCTTAACGGGATAAATAATGCTAAAAATGGCACTCGTCTTTATGACAGTATTGTTGACGTCATACAAATCTTTCGGAATAGAGGTGAAGTTTCTCGTCCCTGGATTTTGGTTGTCGTGACTGATGGAGATGATAATATAAGCAGTCGAAGTTTACATAAATGCGCTCAAGAAACATCAAGTCTATTTACTACTAAGGAATCTAATAATTTCTTGTTCCTTGTCGGAGTTGGAGATGGTGTGAATTCAGAAAAAATGAATGAGGTATTGCCATACTTTTTGTTTATGAATAATTTGTTATTTTAAATCACATAATTATACTTTTTAATTAGATGGCTAGTGCTGGCAACTTCATCTACATCCATGCCAAAGATTTTTTCCTTCTTGAACTTATATTTTTGAAAATTGCCAACAAAATTACCACTTCCTTATCTCTTTCGCTTGGGAACCTCACCGTCGGTGACCATTCCGCGTCATGGGCCGAAGTTCAAAGACACAGAAATCTCAGCAAAGTAGCGATCGATTATGCTCTCTTGATTGACGTATCGGCATCCATGAATAGTCGTGTAATAAGTTCGAATAGTGTAACAAATCTGAATAGTGTAATAACTCATGCAACTCGTGCAATTGGACAATCCTTTGACTCTAGGATTATTAATACTACAAATGTAGCATTATTAGCAAGTTGGATTGATAAGAAACGAGGAAACCCTTATAATTTTAGTGATTTACCTTTTGAATTTAAGCTTATTCATCGTGCTAGTCGTGATGGTTTTGGGAATGACAAATTTCATAACAATTGTGATAATAAGGGGCCAACCATCGTTGTTATTAAAGTTAAATATTCAGGAGAGATAATTGGCGGATATAATCCATTAGAATGGCGTTGTGTTAAAATAAATGAATGGAGTACTCTATTGCCTAATAATCATGATTTTTATATTGATCAACAACGTAGAACGTCAAAGAGTTTTATATTTTCACTAACAAATCAAACAATTAGTCGAGTAACTTTAAATAACGATGCGATCATTTGGAGTAGAAACAAAGGACCGTGTTTTGGCTTACAAGATTTATGTATAACAAATAATTTTGGTAAAAGCGAACAACGTTCATACGAAAATAGAATTATTAACAAAAAAAATTTTGAAATAGAAGAATATGAAGTATTTCAAGTTATTGATAAAAGACCTAGATTTTCTATTTTCTACTTTATTTTTATGATTTTTATGGGGATTTTTAAAATTATTAAGTTTATATTTATGAGATTATTTTTGGGAATTTATTGGACGTGTTATATTGTATATTGGATTATATATTGGATTACATATTGGACGGTTATAACACTAATTTGCGTTGCAGGCATAGGGTTGATTGTTTCTATTCTTGCACTTCCTATTATACTGTATCTGTATCTGGAAGCTGAGATAGCTTGGGTTATTCTTTCTGCCTTATTTATATATGCTCCAATTTTGGGGCTTATTGGGGAATACTTGGTAATTTGATGTTCCAATCACGTGATAATATTACACATGTGGTTCAGATTTTGTTTTTAAATAAATACGTATTTTATGATATATGTATACATATATTTTTTTATTTCATTTATTCTGTATTAAATTCATTGATTAAAACTCGAAATTATTATCTTGAATTATTATCCGAATCTGACTTAATAACAAACTACAATAAGCAAACCAGTACCTCTATTTTTTCCCGAACAAATGTAAAAAAAATGTGAAAGAATGTCTAGTTGCGATACAGTTGGGCATGTGACATAACTACGCCACTGTATCATCGCATTACGATCTATAGGTCATGCATTTTTCGATTTTTTTACTCGAAAGTTCTGGTATATTTTTATTACGCAAGTTGAATTTTTAATAAAAAAGCTTCCCCCTGATTTACATAGATCGTGATGGTAAGCAGGGTGTTGTTAAAATGAAACAAGAATGGAAATTGAGCGATTAGAATCTACGATTTACAGATTTTCGGATAAAACGGTAAATTTTTATCTTCAAATTACGTGTATAGGCTAATCACACATTAATCCGTTTTTGAATAGGAATTAGTGGTACATATCCCAACATATGTGATTCATCATCTACAGATCTCGATCAAATATTTCAATTTTTATTCTTTTTTGTGATTACAATTGAAATAGGGGGGAAATAGCATTCATTCTACAAAACAAACTTCATATTTGAGGGTACCGGGGAACCCAAAGATACATGAGTTTTAACCCTCATGCAATTTTCTGTTTTTTTTATCTTAGAAATAAACGGTAAATTTTGTATTAAAATACGGCATACCAATTTGTCATAAAACCGTAATTCGTCGGATTTTCTTTTAAGCACTATTGCCTCAATTTCAAGGAAAGACATTTGTTATTATTAGACGGGATCCAGGCCGTTATAATTGCTTTAGGTGAAAAAAATGTAATTATGAAAAATAAAGTAACGTATTATTTATTAAATCTGGTTAAATTCTCATTTTCACGTGCAGTATAAAACATATCGGCTGATCAGAAAAGCCTCCCATAATTTTATATGCTAATGACATTAAGTAACCCATCAGTTATATAATGAACCCATCAACTGAGCTTAAATATTAATTGGCTTGATTTTTCCAATCAGCCGATATGAGAATCTTTTTTTCAGCGCATTTGCGTAATATAACTATTGCTATTAAAAAAAATTCTGTCAAACCAACTATCGATCCACTAATAAGTTCACTTCTCAATAAATTTACTACGCATCATCGATTTATCTAAACATGCCCAGTTTAGTATCGTTCAGCGCTTCGGAAAGCGCGTGCCATTTTTGGCCTTACCCGTTGTTTTTTTTTTGATCGTTATTTCGGTGATATTTATGGGGATCGTTATCATGCGGTCTTTCTGATAAGATCAACGTAGAATCTGCAAAAAAAATTTGCCTTCCATTAAGGTCTGGTTGTTTACTGTTACACCAACTTCGTTATGTAACGGCGTGAAGGCTGAAAATTTTTTTTGAAAAAAAAAAAACCTCTTTCAAACAAAAGAACTCTCCGCACGTGACACTAAAATTAAAAATGTTTATTATGCGGAGATCACCAAAATTAGAAATGAAACGGGTTGATTTTCAGTTCTTTAGTGGGTGATACTTTACGATTTTTTTCGTTTCTATGTAACATGTTCTGATGCTTGTACATCGAAAATAAAAATAAAAATAAATTAAGAATGAGACCACCTTAGTGTTCCTGGCGTTTTACATTGGGTTGGTTAATCAGTTTGTTTTTGTACTATTTTCGATTCTTGTGTTAAGTTTCTGTATAGTCTTTACTGATTCCTGTTCGCTTCGATAATAAAAATAAAAATTAAAAATTATTTATACTAAAATCGCGAATGAACTCTCTGCACGTGGCACTAAAGTCACCAATGAACTCATCGCACGTTTATCCGGTAAACTTACCGCAAAATCAACTCACGTGATGTCAACTACACCAAGAAAATATTGGGAAGACTTAATATATCTTCGAAGAAACTTATCATAATAATTTTAACAGAATCTCGCGTCAATCTATGCTTCTACCGAAGCTCTACAAAATGAAATAGATCAAAGTCATGTAATCGCTCAAAGAATTCAGCCGGTTGCATCTGATGAATCCAATCATCAGAGTTGTGTCTGAAGCTTCAAACCGGTCACGTGGAAGCTCTTCTTCCGGAAGATCCGGTAAGAAAAAAAAAACGGAATTAATGCTTTACATGCATATGTGATCATATTTTTTTTACTAATATACATGTGATTGTAGGCTCAAGCCAAAAATTCGCAAATATCATTTCTGTAATCCAGGAACAATTTCCGGATATCTTTAATAGTGTTAAGGGTTCGAAGGGTTATTCTTTAGTCTTAAGATCATATGTGTGCTGTTGTATCGGTTGATGTTCTTAATCTTGGGATGGGAATAATTGGAAAAGATACGATAAAAAGTTTTTACCATGGGGCTAATATAAAAAGCGAAAACTTAGAAAAAATATGTGCTTGGATAGATCACTATCATATGTATCACTGAGTAACGGGGAAGGAACTGCCATTCTCACTTTAATAAATTAATTTAATAAATTTTTTTTCCAAAAAAATCAAATATTTTCATAACTCTTAATTATAATAAAATTTTACTATTTTAAGCTCCCTGCCATGTTTAATGTTTACTTGTTATAATAAATAAAGTATTTCAATTATAAAAATATGTACATACGCAAAAGAAAAAAACAGTTAACGAGCTTCTTTTGTTAAAAAGTATAAAATTCTAATAATTTTTTAAAAATTTTGATAAAAATATGCCTAGAGTTGATTAATCACATGATCGATTATATTTGATCAATTAAACTTGTTCGATCAAGCCGAATTTTCACTCGATCAAATCATCGATAATGTGTTTTGGGTTAATTAAAATCACTACTCTAAATATTAAACAAATTTAGATCAGATCCATCCATACTGTTCCTAGGTACAGTATATTCGCCGGTAAAATAGTGCGTCTTACTGCGCTTAAAAACCTTACAATTCTTTATAATTATGAGAACGAATGGATGAAATCATTAATTATTTTAAAATACAAAACTTAATTAAGAGAAGAAAAGAATCTAAAATATCTAAAAGAAAAATGGCAGAGTTTGACATTATATTATTCAGAATCCCAAGTAATGTTTTTTACATTTCTCATATAATTCGCAACTTTAACAATTAGGATCACTTTGATAATTTTGACTTTAAAGAAGAGAATTTTGGAACAGCAAGCATATTTTCTCGATTTGATTTTTTTTTTAAAATAATTTAACAATACGTGAAACATTATTTTATTCTGCAGCTATTTATTGTCATCGTTAACGGGCTAACACGTGATGATCGATCGGAGTCTAGTACTTCATATTATTAAATCGTTTATTATACAAAGTTATGTGCTCCGCAGAAGTATAAATTTTGTCATTAACACAATCATTATAAATTTCTAAATTTTACTATTACTAAGATTCAACAATGATATGCTAAAGCAATACGAACTACGAAATGTTGATATAACAAATGGCACTACAAATAAGCTGCGACAATATCTTTTTCATATTCATTTGCGAAAATAATCCATATAATTATAAATTAAATATAAGTATGATATTTAATTATGATCAGTAACAGCATGGTTTTTTCCATTCAAATTTTCTTGAGGTTAAATTAAAAATATGCAAAAGTTAATTTCTTCCCTAAAATCGATTCAATTTATTTATTTTATGTTTATTATTTTTTTAAAATTAATGTATTAAATGTAAAATTTCTTTCTTTACAAAACATCTAAATAAATTGTTTTTCAAATTTTTCGGACTCTTTTTTTTTCAAAAAAAAAAAAAAAATTCGTAAACTTTTTTCGTGAAATAGCAATAACAATTGTATCCGCATTCTACGATAAATCTGGCGATATTAATTATTTTATTTTTTTTATTTTTTTCTAAATTAATTGTTTAAATAAAAAATTATTTTTAATCATTATAAGTTAAAACTGGAAGACAGCTTGATACACATTAATTTTTCAATATAGAATACTATTATACTATTTATCTTCTAAAAAAAATTATGTAATACCAGTTGTCATACATATTTCAATTTGTAAAATGTGGTTTCACAATGTTTCGATTAGGTAATGAAAATAAAAATGTGCGGCTGAGCAAATGTTGAATCTGATTGGTATGGATTGTAGCCCCAAATGTATGTCGTGCATATTTTTGTATACAACTAAAATAACTTTTTACGTTCACTAAATTTGTTTTAATAATTGTCATTTATTGTAAAGTAAATAACAGTACTACACGCATAACTAAAATAACTGATTGATAAGTAGTATAGAATCATAAAAAAAAGATATTCAAAAAAAAGCCAAAAAATACTAGTATGGAAACTTTGAATAAAACATCCAAAGAAAAGCAAAGAGATTTGTGGAAAAAGGTTAATTTAAATAAATATCAGGTAAATGTAATTTCATTTTATAATATATTATAAATAATATAATTTAAATAAATGACTTATATATTTTAATCATTTATATAGATTCATGTTACAATTTCTTCTCTTAATTCAACTATACAGATGGTGATCAAAAGTATACGGACATTTTAATTTGCCAAAATTATGCCGATCATCACGTGATGACGTAATATAAACAATACGTCATTTAACGCCTTATATCATAATAAAAACCTCCCCAATGTTTTTTTTTTAGTAAACATTCACCAAATATGAAGCCACTCACCCCAAAAACCCGATATGCGATTATTTATGGTTATAATTGTGGACAATCGGGCCGTTTAATTGCAGAACACTTGGGGTGTAGTAAAACTGCTGTTTATGATGTACTTAAACATTTTCGTGAAACTGGCTCTTTCACACCAAAAAAAAAATCAGGTCGCCCTCCACTCTTTGACTCACCAGCACGACAAGAACTCAAAGCTTTTGTTAAAGAAAATGGTGAAAATCGTCGACTTTGTTCAAAAAAGCTTGCAACTGTTTGGACAGCTCGTAAAAAGCAACCTATTTCTGTGTGTACCATACGCCGAAACCTCAAAAAGGTTGGACTTAGTGCCTGTATTCCCCGTCATAAACCTGCAATGACAGAAGCACATCGTCAGGCTCGTCTTGAATGGGCTCTTGCACACAGAGATTGGACAACAAGAAAATGGAGAAGAGTGCTTTTTTCAGATGAAAGCACTTTTACACAATTTCAGAAAGGTCGTCAGGGAAGGGTTTGGCGTGAACCAGGAGAAGAATTGAATCCTGATTGTATTGCAGTTACCGTTAAACACAGTCCTAGCAGAATGTTTTGGGGTTGTTTCTCCTGGCGTGGGCTTGGACCAATTGTTCCGTTAAAAGGCTCAGTTACAGGTCAAACTCATGCTAAAATTATTCAAAACTATGTTGTACCTACTTTGGATGAGCATTTTCCACAGGGTAATGGAATTTTTCAAGAAGACAATGCTCCACCACATCGTTCAAAAGTCGCTATGGCCACCCGTGAAGATGCCAAAATTGTGGTGCTTCAATAGCCAGCACAAAGCCCCGATTTGAACCCCATAGAGAACATGTGGGCAGAAATGAAAGCAATGGTGCATCGACGTGACCCACCACCATCTAATATCAAAGTACTTGAGAAATATGTTAAAGATGCGTGGGATGATATTCCTCCAGAATATTATAAAAAATTAATTGATAGCATGCCACAGAGAATTGAGGCAGTTATTGCTGCAAATGGATATAGTATTAATTATTAATATATAATTTTTTTTTACATAAAATTAATAAAGGACAATCAGATTAATATATTTACTTAATAAATTTTATTTTTATTATATTATTTTATATGAAATTTTTATTTTAAAAAATGTCCGCATACTTTTGATCACCATCTGTAAAATCAGAAAAAATTGATGATAGAATAATCTATATGGACGAAATAGAAAAAAGAAAAGAAGTATATGGTATATGTGGAGAATGTAATGAACCTGGCACAGGTGAAAATTGGTGTCAATCTTGTAATGCTAAAAGATTTGAAGAAAATTTTAAAAATTGGACCAGTGGAAATAAAGATATTGATGAATTAATACAACATTCACAACTTAATGCTGTACATTATAAAACATGTCTTGAATGGATACCTTATGAAAAATTTCAAAATGTCACTTATATTACCAGAGGAGGCTTTGGTAAAATTTACTCGGCTAAATGGCCTGAAGGATATATTAGAGAATGGGATATTGAAAATCAAAAATGGAAAAGAAGAATATATCATAAAGTTGCATTAAAAAGTTTGGATAATTCTTTTGAAATTAATACAGATTTTTTAAATGAGGTAACTAAATAAAAAAAATTAATTTATCTTGTTATGTTTAAATTGACATTATAATTTTCATTAAATTTTTTTTTTTTTTAAATTTAATTATTAGATCAAATCTTATCTTCAGATTTATGTTTGGAATATTGTTTACTGCTATGGAATAACTCAAGATCCAAATACCAAAGATTATATGATGGTTTCATATTATTTTAAAAATGGAAATTTAAGAAATTTCTATTTAAATAATTCGGATAATATAAAACTTTGTAGATTATCAAAAATTGCAAATGGACTGTTAAATATCCATAATTCTGAAAGAATCCATAAAGACTTTCATTCAGGCAATATTTTATGTGATACCTCTTTCTCTATAAGTGATTTAGGAATGTGTCAACCAGCAAATAATAAAGAGAAATCAGATAAAAAAGAAGGCGTTTATGGAGTATTACCTTATATGGCACCAGAAGTTTTACGTGGATATCAATATACAAAAGCAGCTGATATTTATTCATTTGGAATAATTATGAATGAATTCCTTTCTGAAGAAATTCCTTTTAATGATATTCCTCATGATCATATTTTAGCTATTAAAATATGTAGAGGACTTAGACCAAAAATTTCTGAAGATATTCCAAAATTTCTTGTAGATTTAATTATGAAATGTTGGGATTTTAATGCAGAAAATAGACCATCTGTTAAAGAATTATATCAAATATTAAAATTATGGAATCAAGAAGATGAGAAATCCGATAGTGAAATTCGTGCTCAGATGAATGAATATTATGAAAAAATTAGAGAAAAAAAATTGAAAAACAGATCAAATGAAAATGAGTCTGATAGTATTAAAACTCATCCTCAAGCAATTTATACAAGTAGACTTTTAAATTTCAAAGATCTTCCAGAACCAGTAAATTCTTCAGACTTATCATCATTTCAAATTAATGCAGGTAAAATTACAATTTTAATTATGAAAAAAATCTTATACAAGTTTTAACGATGTCTAATTTTTTTAATAATAGATTATATCCCATCAGTATCAGAAAATCTAAGTAAGTATATCCATTATTTATTTTTGTAATTATAAATTTACCGTATATTTTATTTTTAACATTACGTTATTGTTTAATTTATAGTTTCAGAATGCTTTGATGTTCAATTTAGTGAATCAGGTAAAATAATTTATTTGAAATAATTTATTGTTTTATTAATAGTTTCTCGTCTAAATATATGTACTAATTATTTAATAATAGATCTCAACGAAATTAATCAAGAAGACAATTTGAATGATGAGTCTTAAATTTGTTTTTTCGAAGATAGTTTAAAGATAATATTTAAATATTTTTATTAACTTAGTTTCTTTATTTACTTTGGTATTATCTTAATTATTGGGAGGTTTTGTGTTGTATCCGTAGTAATCGCCACAGAAAAATATTATCTTATAACTTTCTTTTATTTCATTCCAACACAATAACAGATAAGTTTAACAATTTTAAAGGACAATAATAGTAAAATTAGCCAAAATTTGATTCATAAGAATTTTTAAGGAATAAAGTTCGCAATTTTCTTCACGCAATTGTGAAATTCCAAATATCATTGAAAATTCGACAAATTATAAGCTGATTGTCAGGCATTGGTGTTCTGACCTTAACCCAAAATGATTAAGCTTGTTTAATATCGTGTGAAAAAATATAAAAATATATAATATTATTTACAACATTTAGAGTTTGGATCAGTCAATCACAATTATTTGTCTCCAATAACACTGATAAAGCAATCTGCAGACGAAAAATCTGCAAATAAGCAACCCGCAGTCGAGCAACCTATAAGGTAAATGAACAACCTATGGTAATTAGGCATCCGGGCTGTGATAAATAATGAACAAACCTACAGTAGAAGAAGAGTGTATAAGTGGCTAATTTATATTTTTTTACGAGCATCTGCAGTCGCATGTATGACTGCTCGTGCAAAAACTAGACTTTCATAATTTTACTGGAAATTTTCTATATTTTAAAATTAATTAAATTTAATAAAATTGCCATAAAAATGTAATGTCAAATTAATAATTCACTTATACGTATTTTAAAAATTGATTTAATATTACATCGGATCAATTGTGTATAAATCCATTCACTAAACTTGACGCCCGATACGTTCGATGAACTTCGTTTTTTTTTAATTTGTTTTGAAAAAATAAAAAATGTCCGAATTTCGGCGCAAGTTAATATAAAAAGAAATTTGCAAATATTAAATTTATCTCCGGTACTTTTCGTGTAACATTTGTACTAATATATATGCTATATAATCATATAATCGTCAATTTCGGATTTCAAGTTTATTTTGAACTCATTCCTTTTATTGATTTTTTTATGACTAAATGAATCAAATGGTAATCTAAAGAAGTCATGGTTCAACTCCTAAGATGAAATATCTAAACAAGAAAAATCAAGAAAAATTAAAAAATTAATACTTAATAAACAAAAATCCAACATATAACAAAAATCTAAATTAAAACATTCAAGTATCCCTAAAAAAAGAGAGACAAAGTAGAAAATTTACCACATTCTTAAACAAAAAACACCTTCTTTGTTATAATGGTGTAGATAGCCGAAAAATAATTAACCGCAAGTGATCCGGGCGTGATTAAACCGGTCTGGATGGAATTCGGCTCCGTTTTTCGGCTTTATTTCTTTGATTTCTTTGTTTAATCAATTTTTTTTGTTTGTAGATAAATGAGTAAAGAAAATTCATCACTAATATTAGAATTATATTCAGATCTTAGTTTGGCTTCTTGACCTCAAAAGCTCTAAATACATTTCATTATTCTTTTAGCAGGAAATTTCCTTTATACTTTTTTGACGTGATCAAAAAAAACTTCAAAACTTTGGTATGAAGGGAAATTTGTTTTTTCTAATCAAAGTAACTGGAAGAATAAAAATATGGAATTAATTGTAAAATTACTTTATGCTGCTTAGTAGCTTTGCATAACAATTATTTTAACTTATGAAACAAGGTAGCTAATGAATAAATCTGACAAATATAATAATTAGATTAAATAATTTTAATATCATTTTCGAATTTTAAAAAATTTAAGTAATGTAACTAGTTAATAACCAATCAACTTGCGAAATTTTATTATGTTATAACTATTTATTAAATAATAACTAGTAATAAATCGATTTTAAAATTATTTATTTATATTATTATCCTTTTTTTCTAATGTTGCCTATTACCTATTTAGTTTTAATCTATGCCAGAAATCAGCTGATTTCTCTCAATTAGTAGCCTTAAAAACCATCAAAGAAAATATACTAAAAATTCTTGCGAAAAAAATATTATGAATATCTAAGAGAATAATTTTATCTCCTGATTCAATTTCGCTTAATTTATGTGCAATTTCTCCCTCAACTTTATATATATATTAAGAATAAGTAAATTAGTATAAATTTTTGGGATAATAATACTTTAATGTTGGTCTAAATTATAGTCTGTTTAAATCTGAGATTCATAATCTTTCTCAGCTATAATCGTCACATGTCAATATCGATACTAAAAATATCAATGTATATGATAAGTGGGTTAAGTACTATATGGAGTTGAAAAGCAGGAAAATTTTCTCCGATGATATATATTTGATTCATGGTCAACTATATTTCGCATGAATCATTACGTGTATCAGACTGATATTTATATTTTTTAAAATTAATCCTTGAATAAGTTTTATAAGTTTACAACTTAATTATACTTTTTATATACTCTTACTATAAAATTACATGATCTTGTTTGACGCAATTGATCATTTTTTAAATAAAGAATTTAGTTACCGGTAGTTTAAATTTTGGTATAATTTGATGATCATTATTATATCAGAATGATAAACAGTTTTTTATTTTTTTTTTAAGTTAGAGCTGCGGTCAGTTACCAGTTTATTGGGTATACTCGGGTATTGAAATATGTTTACTATTATAAAATAAATAGATTACATAATATTTATCAATATTTCATGTGTAAACCCGTAGACTATATAGACTATCTGAGTTAATTTATTTAATAGACGCGAAAACTGATGTTTTTCGCGTTTTCGTGTGTTTATTGCTTATACAGTAGTTTATAAAAAGTTTGTACAACAAAAAAATATATAAAAAGGTCTTAAATATCCTTTTCAATTTCAATATGAAAAAATTTATTTCTACGAAAAAATTCTACAAAATAAATTTTAATTTATTTTACGAAAAATTCTTTACGAAAATTTAACTTTATAATTTTTTTACCCAACTTCACACCAACTTCATCCAACTTCACCCAAATGCCACGACATAAGAAATCGTCTAAAGGTCATTCTTGGGGTAATTTTTTACAATAAAGGACAGGTTTATCAAAACGTAGTTTCAATAAAAAAAATATTTTAATATACAAAAAAGTATTCGTTATTTAATCATGTTGAAAATAATAGTACTCCAGAAAAAACACTACACGAGTTCCATCCTCACCACCCTCATCTTCACAGCAATCACAAACTGAAAAAAAACAAGAGCAAAGAACAAGAGCCTGCTGTTGAGAAATCCGAAAAAGAAATTTCGAAGCCCCCAACTCATAAACCTGGTTCTTTAACAGCAAATAACAAAAGCCAAAACTTCATTTATCAACTCGTGATCACGTAGTTCAAATAAGTAATGATTCAACGGTTGGAGATGACGAGTCAATTTGGGATGAGGGAGATCAACCTACTACTTCTTATAATATAGCCAGAAAACTTTCTAGTGTCGAAGAAGACGTTTGTTATAAATTAAGAACAGCTAACAAAGGTGATGGAATAGATTATAATGCATTAGAAGAATATACTACAGAAGAAAAAACTTCAGCGAAAAAAGATGAGGGAAATTATCATTTATTGCCTTCGTCTATTGATGTTAAGCAGAATAAGGACAGGCAGAATGAGACTAGGGTATTACGTGGTATGTATAAATTAACAAGTTTGCTGGATGGACGTGAGTAGTTGCTGGATGGACGTGAGTAGGTGCGCACTGCAGGGTTCACGCCTCGCATGAGACATGCTTGGTGCATCCAAGGTTACAGCCAAAAGTCTTCCAGATGGTAAACTGTTATAGTCAGAAATCGTTGATAGTTTGCCACTCCAGTTGTATAGGTTTTGTGAACTATCAATGATGACATATGTATACTGGTGGCTGCAGACACTTATGAATGTTTGTAAATTATAGGTAATGCTGATAACAATGGTGCCTCCCTCAGATGATAACACAGAATGCGAAGCCTTCTGTTAATTTTTGCTGAACCTTATCCTCTGTAATGCAAATAAGGTCTTCAGATTCCTACGAGTTTGTATCTAACTCATTGTTTCTTTGCGGTATGAGGATTTAAGCTACATTTATGATGAAATTTCTCAAACCTTTTTCAGTAAAATTATCTTTTATCGTGGTTGATGAAAAATTAATGGCCATTACTTGATATTTGACCGTATATTCAACACTACCGGTTATTTCTTGTGTATAATTTTCTAGGAATATGGTCATTATTCAAGTTTGACATATTTTGCTACTTATATATTCATATTCTTTTGTTACGCTATTAAAACTCCCAGCCCACACTCGGCCCAACTCACATACCTAAAGGAAGACATAAAAATAGGGATCTAAGAGAAGACCTAATAAAGAGAAAACCTTGACAGGAGAGTGGAGGTGCACATATTTTCTTAGAGAAGTTCTTGAAAAAGAGTGCATATCAAGTATTAAAAATGCGAAATTTTTTTTTTTTGATGTTTATACTTTGTATTTGTTATCTGACCTCTTATCATTGTATTCTTTTTTTATTTATCAGTTACAGCACTATTTTGTATTGAAACACTGGACAACAGATGAAAGTTCTCTGGACGAAGCATTACTGATTTTCTAGAGAGTGTAAATGGGCAAAATGGCTCAAGAAACTTTAAAAGAGGTGTATATTTTTTTATTTGCAAAGTGGGTAACTTTCTAAGTCAAAATTAGAACAGATAACTCATTTGAGTCAGGGAGTTCACAAATTTTACTTAGGAGGGTACTGGATTTGTTTGTTTGGGTTGGGTAAGGGTGAGCAAAGTGGGTAATTCCTTGAAATTACCTGCTTTTTTCTTTTGTCTTTTTTCTTTTATTTTTATTTTTATTTTTTTTATTCCCTTTTTTTCTTCTTTTTTTTTTATTTTTTTTTTTTTTTCTCTTGTTCATTTGATAACCAACTCAAGCAGATAAAATCCTACTTTGTTATTGATAAAGTCTGCTAATTCTGGAAAAGGAATTGGCTATCTCTTCTTTATCATTAAATAAAAATTTAGCACACTATTAATAATTTTTTCTTTCTCATAATAGGTAAATGCAGAGATTTACAATTGGAAAGTTTTTTTTTTTTACCAAATTTCTTCCTTTTTGATTTTGAATTTCCTGAATTGGTAAATTTCTTCCTTTTTGATGCTGAATTTTCTGAGTCTGCTAACTTTTTCTGAGTCTATTAACTTCCTTTTTTGTGTCATCTTAAATAAAAAAGAAAAAAAAAAAGAAAGAGACTGGTAGAATGAAAAAATTTTCTTAAAGGAGTTTTTGATACAGTACAATCTGTTGTCTTGTTAATAATAATTATAATAAATTATTTCAAATAATTTTTACATTGTTAAGATAGAATACTTAAAAAAAAATACTTAAAAAATATTGGTTTATACTATAAATTATTTAAACCATAAATTAAAAGTTTTGACCTTACAAATTTTAATATAAATATGAAGACACTACTACTACACCCAAGTTTTGCTTTTTTGACATTGACAATTAACCATTTTATCATTTTTTTTTTCCTTTTTTTAATTTCGCATAGAAGAATTGCCTTCATAATGTGGATAATCATCATATACCTGTTTTAAATTTCACATTCCAAACATTCTGAAACTGTAATTAAAATATAATATTAAATAAACAAAATAATATTATAATAATCATCAATGATTAAGACTTACCTGGGGTTACCGACGCATCTAAAAATAAAAAATAAACATGTAAATAAAATAATAATAAATTTTTTGTAATTAAACTCTAAAGATTTACCTGAATAAATTTTAGATGATAATAAATCTGAAGAATTTGCTGGTTCTGGAAGATTTTTGAAATTTAAAAGTCTGCTGGTATAGATTGCTTGAGGATGAGTTTTAATGATTTCAGGCTTATTTTCACTTGACCTTTTTATCAATTTGTTTTCTCTAATTTTTTTATATTCATCCATTTGAGAATAAATTTCACTATTACTATCAACTTCTTCTTCATCCCATTTTTTTATAATTTGATATAATTCTTTAGCAGTCGGTCTATTCTCTGCATTAGCATCCCAACATTTCATGATTAAACTTGCAAGAAGTTCTGGAATACTTTCAGAAATTTTTGGTCTAAAACCCTTACATATTTCAACAGCTAAATATTCATCATGGGGTATATTATTAAAGGGAATTTCTTCAGAAAGATATTCATTCATTATAATTCCAAATGAATAAATATCTGATGCTTTTGTATATTGATATCCACGTATAACTTCTGGCGCCATATAAGGTAATACCCCATAAACTCCTTCTTTACCTGACATCGCATTTGCTGGTTGACACATTCCTAAATCACTTATATATGCACTCAAACTATATAATATATTACCTGAATGAAAGTCTTTATGAACTCTTTCAGCATTATGGATATTTAACAGTCCAAATGCAATTATTGATAATGTATAAAGTTTTAGAGTATCATTTTCAGGCTTATTTAAATAGTAATTTCTTAAATTTCCGTCATTACAATAATATAAAACCATTGCATAATCTTTGGTATTTGGATCTTGAGTTATTCCAAAACATTGAACAATACCCTCAAAATAGATCTGAAGATGAGATTTAATCTAATAACAAATATTTAAATAAAATTAATAATTATAATGCAAAAATAAAAATATTTTTTTTATTTATTTTTTGTTACCTCATTTAAAAATTCTACACTAATCTCAGAAAAATTATCCAGACTTTTAATGCAACTTTATAATCTGTATTTCTAATCCATTCTTGATTTTCAATATCCCAATATTGAATATGCCCTTCAGGCCATTTAGCCGAATAAATTTTACCAAAACCTCCTCTGGTAATATAAGTAACATCTTGAAATTTTTCAAAAGGTATCCATTCAAGACATTTTGTATAAATTAAAGCATTAAGTTGTGAATATTGTATTAATTCATCAATATTATTATTTCCACTAGTCCAATTTTTAAAACTTTCTTTAAATCTTTTAGAATTACAAGATTGACACCATCTTTCTCCTGTACCAGGTTCATTACATTCTCCGCAAATACCATATGCTTCTTTTCTTTTTTCTATTTCATCCATATAGATTATTCTATCATCAATCTCTTCTGATTTAGTAGCTGAATCAATAGAAGAAATTGTAACATAACGCTTTTAAATAAATGATTAATAAAGAAAGATTATTATTATTACTATTTAAACGGAATAAATACTAATAAAATGAATTACTGTACATTTACCTGATATTTATCATCAACAATATTATCTTTCCATAAATTTCTTGGCTTTTCTGTGGATGTTTTATTCAAGATATCCATATTAATTAATTTTAATTAAGAATATTTACTACGTCTTACGATGTGAAAGAAAAAGTTAAAACGAACAAATTAGTAAGAATGAATTTTAAATATTTATCAAATTCGGGGTATGGTATTATGTTACATCTGAACTGTCAGACAAACATTGTCCTTGTGAACATTGTGAAACCATCACAATGAATTGATTGAATCGTATAAAAAATCCTTCATATACTATTAAATGAACTCACTAAATTTGATTAAATAGTAATTGATATTTTTTTGTTATCATAATTCATAAGTAATGATATGGGTGGTAGACATAAACACATTTTTATATTTTATAATATAGCACATTGATCTAATCCGAAAAATGTCAACTTGCAAATTATATATGTCTTCAATACATTTTTTACTAAACATCATGGCATAACTTTGTTATTATTGTATATATACTGTTATTGTAGTTTGCAATTATTTAATTTAGAAAAAAAGTAGCCAATTATAACACTATTAAATCGCTAAATTTTATATATATATTCGATTCTTTATTTACGAACTTTAAAATTATTTATTTGTCTACTTTATTTATTTTAAGGATCAAAAAATTTAATAAACCAATCGGAAATTTGATAAAAAATTCTCTGTGTTTTTATTTAAATCACGAAGGAAAATACCCTTCTTTAACGAAAACTCAAATTTAGTTAGATTGCATCAATTAAAATATTAACTGATAACATATTGTTTAAATTATCAATATTTGTATATTACCTTTGGTTTTAAAAGATTTCTGAATAACTTTTTTGGATCAGCTAGTCCAAATTTAAAATTTTTCTACTGCTGTAATCTTCCAATAAAATTATACACAGCAGTTAAAGTAAATAGTTCAGATTTATTCATTTGTCCTTATGGTTTTTTGGAAGTTCCTAGTGGTGCGTTATCAATTATATCATGTGATCATGTCCCACAAAAAAATTTTTAGTAGGGAACGTCAAAATTAACATGTTACATTGTCATTATTGTATTTAAAAGGAATGATTGATAAAATGAACAATAAAAACTCATTTTTTTAGGCTATTTGCACTTTAATGCTACTATCATATGACCACGCGATTATATGATTATATGATAGTGGCAGAATTTTTGTTGCACCTAGTTTCTAACTTGTCACTTTATTTCAACTACATTTAGAAAATCAAAAGAAATTTATATTTATACTTTGTTTTTTCGAATAATGTTAAGAAATATTATTAAATAATATTCATATTGGATAACTGGATTATCTAGCTATCCATTACGAATGGTCGGATGAACGATTATCATCTTTTTTAAAAAAATTTTGTTGTAAGATTATTCCTGATATTATATTTTACAAAGAAAAATTTTTAAAATTTGTGAAAAAAGCTTATATTTTCTCTCCTTCCACCACTCCTATACCTTCTGATCCAAGATTCGAATTATTTGCAGTAAGGATTATGTACCAGATGCTCAGATCACACATGTCATATGGCTGATTGTGACACTGTTATATTTCAAAAAAAAGGCCATTCAATTTCTAATGAGAGAAATTGTTGTCAAAATTGTCAAATATGATTCAATCTTAATTAGGAAATTAGTAAAATCAACCGCTGGTGATGAACCTAGTAAAATCTCATGTATATAAAATAATGCACTTCATGAGTTACTATATTTTAATAATATTTATATACTAGGCGCTTATTTTTTAATTAAGAGACAACAAACTTTTATTTTATTTTTAGTGCAAATTATTTTTATTCGTATAGTATATTATTAATTAACGAAGAAAATATGTACATGATTTCTAAAGGAATCTTCAATAAATAAAATATCGTTTCTTGCTATTGAAATAAAATTTTCCTTGTTGTTAATTCTTATATCTGATATGTATGATTTAACTTTAACTATCTAAATCAGGCAGTTAAGGTCTCGTTGTCTTGTAAAATACGAGAATTTAGAGAGATCAACTTAATCTTCAGCGGATACAAACCATACAATAGTACTTTATCTCTGAAGATGACATTGTCATTTGGATCTAGTAATAGGATTTGTCAGCGGAAAATGGTTATGATGGAAATTCAATTTTATTATACAAAGATTTAAAGTTCAACAAATCTAATTTATAAGTAAAGGTCAATATAATTCAATAATGAGTTGTGAAATTATTAATTAATAAATTAATCATTAAAGAAAAAAGTTGCGAGAAAGAAAATAACTACATACCATGATATTATGTCAACTTGATTTCGTTTTGAATTTCTTAAACTTTCGAACTTCTTGCTATGTAAAAGATGATCCAAGAGATGATAATTCCAGTCGAAAGAAATCCAATAGTTAAGAATAGTCGTAGCACTTACAAAATCTAAAATAATTTTTTTTATAATATAAAAGATCACTTCTGGAAAGGGAATAAATTTATAAACTATTTCCACCTAAAAAGGAAGAGTGATGACTAAAAAACAGAGATTAAAATCTATGCAATTCATTTAACTTGTTCCTAATGAAAACTGATTAACCAATTAATAACAATATATATACTACTAGATCAGTAAATAACTAATACAAATAATTTACCATCAACAAATAGAATAGGATCGGAAAAATTGATTGTAAGAAAGATATTTTTCCGTTATTTTTAAAATTGTAAATAGAGCACAGTATTTTTGAAAGAAAGAAGAGGTTTGTTTTGAACAAAAATAACGTGCATTGTTTATATAAAAATACCATGAGTTTATATGCTAAGTTTATACAATGTTTTGAACGCGTAAACCATTTATATGACGTGAAATTATTTTTTCCCATTTATGTTTAGATAAGCGTGTTTATGACTTAATTGGAGATCCAATGTGAGATGTGATATCCTACAAATTTTCGTTCACTTCGTAATAAAAAAAACAAATGGTATTAAGAATTGATTCCCAGTGGGAAATCGATATTCAAGCTATAACTTAATTAACATTAGACAAACAATGGCTTTTGTTATAATAAAATTTATTGGAAATGAGGATGATACATAGCAAAAATATCCATTGGCTAAAAAATGATCTGATTCCGGATAAATGATCCATAGAATTTCTGTATGTATCAGGATGATCAAAATCGCGATGTACGCATTTATAAAATTTCATTTTCTGAACTTATTAAGAACAATATTCATTATTAAATAACTTTCTCACTAACTTTGCGATACTGATGTTGCTGCTCAAGTGCTGATAATAGTGAATTAGTGGATTGATCTGAATTGATTTGGATTTTTTTTTTCCCAGATACGTATTTAAACCAAAATCCGGTTTTTTTTTGCGTAGTCATCATTTGAAATTGGTATCTTCGTAATCGTTAACTGAAACTTTACTCTGTGAAATAAAAATAAAATCATCATGTGAAATTGGACTTTAACCCATTTATTATAAAATTGGCATGTAATTAATGATGTGACTCATAATATTTACATATCAGTGGAATTTTTCTGGGTCTCTGCTAATTATTCTGAGAAAATGAAAAATAGGCATTTTGTTTTCTTTATTGTTCATTAAAAATGTTCCCGTTTTCTAGACTTTTTGTGAGGTTTTCTCGACCTGCACCGCGTATTTTCCGACCGGTAGCCTTTTTCTCGTCTACTTCAACATTATTTGAAAAGATGACACGATAATTAGTTAAGGAAATGCTTAGGGAAAAATGGTCACACATAATTAAACATAACACATCTCTATATATATGTTTTTACGAGAAGTGATGTTTAAGGCACTTAAAGTGGACTTCTAACCTGCCGTGTGCAGTAAGTCAGTAACCAAATCTTTTGTTTATGATGCGTCCTAACGTTTGCATCCCTAAAACCCAGAAATCACCAAGAATGCAGACTGTTCATTGGAAGATGACAGCAAATACTGAATTTTTGATTAAGATGACAAACACGACCATGATTATTGCTGTGGAGGTCGTCAGTATTTTTTATTTTCTGACAGGACCATATTTATTTATTCATTAACTTGACAGCACTCTAATAGGATAAACATTTCGCAAGCCTTTGAAAGGTTATTGGGAATGGAAATTGTTGCAGAGATACTCGCCTGTGGATCTGAAAATACGCTCTGCTAAACGAGCATTGGCTTCTTAAAGAAGGGAATCTTTTTCTGTCAACACTGTAGATGCAACATCATCCAAACCTGGTTCAGTTCAGAAATGCAGCTTTATTTAAGTTTATTATTTTTTATTTTCTTAAAGTTAATAAATTTTTTTTAATAATTTTTTTTATTGGTAATCCATATAAGAACTGGATAGTCATATTAATAAAATTGGAAATATGTATAATACGGTTCTAAAATCTAACATTCCTTCTATTTAAAGTGTTATTTATAAGAATAATTATCAAAATTAACCCATTAAATCGTTGATTATAGATAGAAATAATTCGTAAAAAATTAAATTTATCGTGACTTCAAGTACTGCATTTCTATAGATATATTTTGATTTAAACTATTATTAACTCTCAAATAGTATAGATTACTATACTATTAAATGATAAAATTTTAAAATAAATTTTTTTATTAAAATATTTTTAATGATACAGTACTTAATTAAACAAATTATATGTTCACATGATTAAGTGTGGATCATATGCCTTGTGTTGCAAAGTTAATGTTATAATTAAAAATTATTCTCGCCAAAAACATCTTAATCAAAAATTAGCATGAAAATCACAAATAAACCATCCAAAAAGTTGAGAAATTTATGGAAAAGAGTTAATTATAATAAATATCAAGTAAATGTACAGAAATTCATTTTATCATTTATTTCAAAATAATATGGTTTAAATGAGAATTTTTTTTTTATTCGTTTATTTTAAAGTTACATGTTACAATTTCTTCTGTTGATTCAATTACAAAATCCGAAGAGATAGATGATAAAGTAGTTTATATGAATGACCTAGAAAAAAGAAAAGAAGCATATGGTATATGTGGAGAATGTAATGAACCTGGTACGGGAGAAGAATGGTGTCAACCTTGTAATGCTGAAAGATTTAAAGAAAATTTTAAAAATTGGACTAGTGGAAATAATGATATTGATGAATTAATACAATATTCACAACTTAATTACAAAATGTCTTGAATGGATACCTTTTGAAAATTTTTATGATGTTACTTATATTACCTGAGGAGGTTTTGGTAAATTTTATTCTGCTAAATGGCCTAATGGATGTATTGGTTATTGGGATGTTGAAAATCAAAAGTAGATTAGAGGTGCAGAACGTAAAGTTGCTTTAAAAAGTTTGGATAATTCTTCTAACTAAAATAAGATAAATAAAATATAATTGACAAAAATTAATATAAAATAATTTTTTTGTTTAAGATTTTATTTTTTTTAAAAAAAAAATATATCTGTTATTACTAGATTAAATCCCACCTTCAGATCTATACTTGGGGTATTGTTCAATGTTTTGGAATAACTCAAAATTCAAATACCAAAGATTATATGATGGTTTTATATTATTGTAAAGATGGAAATTTGAGAAATTATTATTTAACTAAACCTGAAGAAGATACTAAAAAACTGTATAATTTATCAAGAATTGCAAATGGACTATTAGATATCCATAATGCTGGAAAAATTCATAAAGACTTTCATTTAGGTAATATATTGCATGGTAGAAATATATATATAAGTGATTTAGGAATGTGTCAATCAGCAAATAATGAAGATAAAGAAGAAGGAGTTTGTGGAGTATTACCTTATATGGCACCAGAAGTTTTACGCGGATTTCAATATACAAAATCAGCAGATATTTACTCATTTGGAATAATGACGAATGAGTATTTTTCTGAAGAAATTCCTTTTAATGATACTCCTCATGATGAATATTTAGCAGTTCAAATATGTAAAGGTTTAAGACCAAAAATTTTTGAAGGTACTCCAAGATTTTTTGCAGATTTAATTATGAAATGTTGGGATGCTAAAGTAGAAAATAGACCAACTGCTAAAGAATTATATGAAATATTAAAAAAATGGAATGAAATACAATATAAAGATAATAAAATTCATTCTCAAATGAAAAAATATGAAGAAATTAGAAAAAGCAAACTAGAAAACAGATTAAATATATCTGAAAATTTAAAAATTCATCCTCAAGCAATCTATACCAGTAGATTTTTAAATTTCAAAAATCTTCCAGAACTAGTAAACTCTTCAGATTTATTATCATTTCAGATAAATTTGGGTAAATATTTAATTTTAATTATAAAAAAATTTTTTATTTAAATTTAAATTTATATTTTTACTTATTTTTTTCATAATAAATCCTATAAATAAGTACTAATACCTTTAATGATTACTTATAGTTATAATTTATATCTTATTAATATTATTTTGTTATTTAGCTTATAGTTTCAGAATGTTTTGATTGTAAAATTGAGATAAGTAAGATATAATATCTATTCGCAATTATTTGGATGAGATGAACTTTACATCATTTTACGTCTTGACAAAGTCAGACATTCATCTCTTGCACAGTCAAAATCAAATATTAAAATGGATCATTTTCTTTATTTAATTCCTTTGCAAAATTAACAGTTTAAAGTGTTAATTAGGCTAAAACTTCAACGAATAAGACATATTTTACACAATAAATTTACAGTATATTATCTGATCTAATCATATCCAGTTTCGCTTTTATCAATGTTTCAGAAAACATGCCATTTTTGCCTCATTTTTTCTTACTGGACCAGTGATATTCCCTGTAAAAATTTCCATATATATATATATATTTCACCATGTAGTTGTAAAAAAAAAATATTATTCAACGATCTTGATGTATTTTAAATTTGAGCAGTAGTAGAACAGGCTAGTATTTCAGCATCACTCTCATTATGCTAATATGATTGCTGCACGTGATTCAAAATTGCCAATGATATCTCCACACATGATTTGAAAATTAAGCTATGGTACCACTGAGGCGAAAATTTTTTATCAATGAGCAATGACATGACCACAAGACTTAATACTTTCAAAGAAGCATGCTATAATGAATTTGGCTTAATGGGACGATCCATCAAATTACTCTTTGGCCCTTCTTGTGCGAGTTATTCAACCGTTTTCACAAATGGTATAACTCATTGCGCACGATGATGATCTTCACAATCGATATAACCTTGCTTATCGAATAATATTTCTTGACGAGTTTTCCGCATACGATACAAAGTTTTCTATTAAAAAAAAAAATGAGTGAATTTCCCAAAACTATAAAATACAGTCACTGAATCACAAAGATATCTAACCTCAACACGCAGCAAAGAAATGATCAGTTGCTCTATAACGGGCAAATTATTGATTGATGAAGGTAACTTAACCTTCTTAAACGCCAGATACCCTGTGTTTTCCAATCTAATCCGTATACGTTGTAATTATAATCTAAAATCAAATAAATGGGAGATATTATAAGAATGCATCGAAAAAAATTATGATTTAAATTAAACTTACTGGATGAATGAACTCCGATAGTGAAACTTATCCGGATCTACACCGTTATTTTCTATTCCTTCGTTTATCAACACATCCCGTAACGCGACTGCTAGGTCCACTTTATCAATCCATTTTTTGGATTTCGGGGCTGAGGGAAGACCACCAGATCTCAAACTAATTAACATTTCAAATTGATCATGACTGACTCTGAAATCCAATTTTTGTCCAATTAAGCTTCTATCAGTGGGCATCTTCATTTGATTTTTGCGTAGAACCTTTAAAAGATTAAAATTATTAAAATTTCAAAAAAAAAATAAAAATAAAAATTATGTTACAATTACCCAAATCTTGTTCGACATCATCATCATCCTCTTCTTCTTCATTGTTACTCTTTGTTTTTATTGTTCTTTTTGGCATATCTCTGTGAGTAACCGATGTGTTTGTGATTTTTGCGTAGAATCTATTTTAAAAGATTAAAAGTAATTCAAATTGACCAAAAATTCAATATATATATTATCCAATCTTGTTTACCTTTATCACCACCTTCAGCATCTTCAGTGCTCCTTGTTATTTTTGAGATGTCTTTGTGAGTTGATGGTTCTTTGTGAGTTGATGATTCAAGTGGAGGGTCTTTTTCTGAAAATTTTAAATAAAAAAGTCATTTATTTCAGAATTTCCAATTATCCATGAAATTATCACAATTACCTATAATTTCTGGTGCATCGTCATTACCATAATCATCATCCTCAATAATAATCTCTGTGTTGTTTTTGTGTGTCTTTGATGATGACGAATTCGAATTCTTACTACTCACTTTCGAGTTTCTTGTATTTTCACGCATTGGTGTTTGTTTATTTGACACATTATCTCCTGACAGACTCCTGTTACTTGGCTTATATCAAGAACAAATAGGTCATGGGCATGAGCTTTGACTTCTTCTTCTATCACATAATTTGTAAATAATTTACTCAATCTCATCTGAATTCACTTCGCTCTCCAAATCGTATTAATTCAATGTCATGCAATTGCCTAAAGAATTCAGCCGATCAACAAAGTATTACTAGCCAATCCAAAGCTTTATTTATGTCAATCACATGCAACCCGGGGGTTCTTCTAATGATTGCAGGCTCGGGTCAAATTACATTCAGAGGCATTAGCCTAACTATCTGAATCCAATTTTGATCGAATTAGGGCCGAAAAGAGACTATGGTTCGGCTAGAATTATGGCAGCTTAAAAATCAAGGACTTACTATTGGTATTGTACACTGGAAATTGAATTTTATTTTTCTTCTGATTGGAAGTTCTTAATTGCCTGTTTAGTATTTAATTCTCCAACAAGTAATTATTTTTGCAATCAATCATTTCTAAATATTGATTCATTTCTTCTAAGGACTTATCCGAAACATTTTCAATAGGTGAAAACTGTTGTAAAAGGAGATCAGTACCCTCTTGATCCCCTTGACCTGCCATTTCTTGTGCAATTAAAGCTTGTTGAATACTATCATAATCATCATCATTAACGGTAAAATTTCAGTTATTGACAATTGCTTCTACTTTTACTGAATTCCAAGCTTGTGCAATATATTCCATAGCTTCTTTGACGTTAATTTTGTTGCTATATTAGAATTTTTTTAAACTGATATAAATATAGTAACAAAAATGAAAATTACAATAACTTGAATACCTTTTTAAATCCACATTTGTTTCAAACTGATGAATAATATGTCGTATGTAATGTTGTTACGTTTAATTATTTGATTTTCATGTTCATCAGGATTAAATGAAATGAAGCGTTATTAAAAATTTTTCGATTTTGTGCTTAAAATTCGTTATTATGATGATCAAGCCATTCACCAAAAATATCACTTCGTATCCAGGCATTGGAATTAGCATAATAAGAACGTGGAAGAGAATTTCTATTGACTCGATAAAAACATCTAGGGTTCTTTGAAGAACCAATTACAAGTGGGTTTGTGAGTACCAATAGCATTTGTTGCTAAAAGAACAGTAATGCAAGTTTTTATCCTAAAAACAATTTAATTAAATAAATAATAAATATACAATGAAATTTATAGTTAAAAAATTAATTAATTTGCTCACCAGTTTGGTACCTGGAGTGGTTGCTGATGCAAGAGTTTGATTAGGTGCCATACGAAAAAGAGACCAGTTCATCTGCATTGAATATGTTATTAAGTGTATAATCTTACAAAATTGATTACAACTTTCTCCTTTTCTCAAAAAGAGTTTCTAATGGCGCGCTATTTGTTTCACCATGTAAGCGATAGCAACGAATATTATTGCGTCTCTTATCAAAATAATATATTTTCATGTAGTGTTTCGATCCGGATAAAACCTCAAATATTTTAACGTGGGATTATAATTAAAAAAGGTTACAAATTTCGGCTTTGAGTGGACTATAATTTCGGCCAGAATTAAAATAATATTATTCCATAAATTTTTATTAATTTTGGTGGTCCCAGCCTAAATTAACCGAGCCGGTATCCGGATAAAAACCGGATAAAACCGCTACGGATCGAAACTCTATTTTCATGTGTAATGTTAAATTCCTGTGCAAAATAAAAGCCTTCTCTTTAATCAATTCTGAAACTGAAAGATTATTAGCATTTGCATTTTCACAACCCATAACTCCAACGTCTTTTCAACTTGTGAGTATTTGGATTGTAACAGAAATAATAATCTTTATTTAATATATATTTTGTTATTGTTTTAAAATTATTGTTTTAGATCATTTTGGTGTTTTTGTGATTTTTTAGTTTTAAAGTGGAACTCATGTGATTTGTATTTTTTGTCCGACCATAAAAATTTACTTCAAACCATTTTATACATACATTCTTTATTTGAAAAATATTATTAAATTTTAACGCATCTTTTTTATTTCTAGCTGACGTGAAAAAATCGGAACTCCATAAATTCAATAAATTATAAATTATAGAGAAAAAAAAAAGAAAATAGAAGAAACGTTAGTACGTTGAAGTCGGATCCTAAAGTATTAGAGAAAGTCAGAGGGAAACGCGAAAAGAAAAATGCTTCAATAAAACTTGAATATAATTTCATTAATTTTTAGTATTTATCAAGGATGGAAAGAGTTTATTTCTTTCATATATTAATTAACAAATAAAAGAATATTTTTTCCAAAGAAATAAAAATAAGATCCTTAAGGGATAATTAATTAATCTATGGGGAATTGGCATTGTTTCAATAATTTAACTTATTTTTAAGTACTATATATATACACAGTATATTATATATGTACTCACATATACTAATACAATGTATAGTGTATTTCAATATTTTATCACTTTTCTATATAGCTCTAAAAGTTTACACAAAGAAATCCACCAACTATCATAAAAACCCCAAGCCAATATTCTTTACTCATTACAAGTCCTTTGAAAAATATATCACCAATTAACGCTATAGGTATCGTCAAACTTAATCCAAGTGTAGCAGTCAGTGGAGATGTTAGCAAAACAGCTAGAAGCCAAAGATAATCTGATAAGAAGGTGCCTATTAATGCATTAATTGCAATCATTGTCCATATTGTAATATTTGGTGGAAGTTCAAATTGTTCTAATCCAGTAAAATGTAGCAACGGAAATATCGGCGAAAGTAAAATTACATTAAATATCCCAACAAATCCAAAGAATAATGGCATATTAACATGAGATTCATTTTGGATACGTAACTTCAACAAAATTGTATAGCATCCATAAAAAAAAGCTCCCATTAGAGCAAGAAGATTGCCAAATAATGGATTAGTAGGAATATCATCACCAGGTTCATCAGAACTGAATTCATCTCCATTCGAGATTAAGAAAACACCAAAAATGCTAAAAAGTAAAGTTAATTGAATGAGTATAATAATTTAGCTAATATAAAAATTTAAATTTACCTTATAAGAACTGCTGCTAATTTAATTAATGTAAACTTTTCAACTCCAAAAAGAGAACCAATAATTAAAGTGAACAATCCTGTAGCAGAAGAGGTTAAAAATCAAAATCAAAGTTGAAACATTTTAAGGATTTTATATTTAATCGTAATTACAAACCTGATGTTGAAGATAAGATTGTGCTACTTGCAACAGACGTATACGCGATAGATGCATTGGTACTCCAGTTAGCTAAGTATCATTTTAATTAATTATATAGGATTTAAAACAGGCGGATTTTTTAAAAGAATAACAATACCTGCAAACCATAAAATACAAAAGGTAAATCCCAATTCGGCAACCTATAAACACAATTTTTTTAGTATTCAAAGTAAAACGGCTATTTACACTACATATGTAAAATCTATAATTCAAAAATCAATACTTGTCGAGTTGTCAACTTTTCCTCATCATGCATGGACGAAAGCACATCATGAGGGTCAATATGAGGATGATTATCTAATGTTTTACGATGAGATGTTAGTTGTGATCATACAAAAAAAGAATTATCACTAGTTAGTACTAATCCGACTTCACTATTATTATGAGATAATGTGGGTTGCAACATAATGTTTTCTTGAGATTCCTGATATATCAAAAAACAAAGGACTTAGTCATTAAATCATTAAACAAAGCAACTTAGAAGTTTAAAAACTTACATTCATACCATCATTTGAATTCAATGAACGTTCACTTGACGAACGTGACAAAACATCATACAACGCAGTGTTAAAATTCGTCATTCTGTGGTAATAATGAGTATTAGAAGTGTTTTTAAGTTTTAAAATAAACAAAGCTTAGAAATATATACCTTTGTTTGTCTATATGCCGTTTCTTATTACAAATAAAATATAGTAAATATAATGAAAAAGAAGCTGTACATGTATATGTGATAATGAATGGCTTGTTATACTTTTGATTTGCAAATATATTCTAAAATAAAATAAAAAAATTTATTTCAAAGTTTCGTCGAAGAACTAAATAACGATTACGAAACTTACGTTCATCAAAAACGAAGATCCGACCCAAATAAATACTACGCAAAGTAATGTGAGAATGCCAATGGCATAACGATGCCGCTCTGTAAAATACATTTCAGACGTAAAAAATATCTAAAGTTTCGAACTCAGAATGCGAGTAGCTTTAAACATTGATAGCCAATCAATATGGATTGATAAAAATAAAACGACTAATATAGTATGAATGGTTGTGATTACTTTTTTTGGTATGTAAGAATAATTTGCGTTTCATTTCTTTATAACTGAAATTTAACCGATTTAACTGAACATGTCTTATCCTACTCGAACTATTAAGAACTTCCTTAAAATAGGCCCCAAAGAATATTTGAGACAATTATTGTATATTGGAGACACTAAGGCTGGGAAACTTGTTGGAACAGATAAGTATGGAAATAAATATTACGAAGATAAAGAAGAATTTTTCGGTACGTCTTGTTTTATTTTAATAAAAGACTCTTGTTGAATATGCCTGTATATATTCGACTTCAATCTGAAGTTAGAAAGTATTAATAACCAAATTTTACGGAATAAACTCAATATATATTTGAAACAAATCTAAATGTTTGTTTTATACTTTATTCGCTGCTTCGGACGAGTTTCTTAATAACTCTTTTTTTTTTCTTTTAACAAAGGTCGAGATCGATGGGTAGATTATGCTGAACACTATGGTGATGCTAGCCAAATTCCCTCTCAATGGTAGGTAATTTTTTATCAATTTTATCTATTTGAATCGTTCACGTTTTTGAATATTTAAAAGCGGGCGCTTTGAGATTTATTTCAATATTGATTTGTATAACATAGGCATGCCTGGATGCATAAGATTGTGGAGCATCCTCCCACTATTGATCCTCCGCCGAGCCCAAAGTTTCTTTCCCCTCATACTGAAAATGTTACAGGAACCCGTAAAGCTTTTAGAACATATAATACAACAGCTCCTAAAATTCTTGCTTGGGAACCAAAAGTTAATCGCAGAGAATAATATAAATATTTTTAAACCTCTTATTTATTTTATTTCATTAGTTTTTATTTTATTTTATTTTTTTTGATTTGAACAAAATAGATTATTATAATGTTTTACAAACAATATAATCAAGAATTATAATCAACATCTAATGACCATCTAAAATTAGTAAGAAATCAATAAAAACTATAATTGCTTTGTGTTCTGATACAGAAAGATGAGATGCAAATCCGATTACCTTATTTCATCATTATGTGTAAAAACTTGCCTTGAAAAGTTAGAGAATGAATGTTTTAGCTATATGCTGTGATGAGCAAATGTCCTGTGCAAGGGCGTGAAAAGAATTTAAAAAAGTATATATAGCTTTAAAAAAATTCGTTTTTTTATATTGATTATACGGTTTATACCTGTATCCTGATGTCATAATACCCCTTGATTCAACTAAACAGTTTCCTCATATAAAGGCTATTGTTTCACAAGTAATTCAGCCGATACTCCTTAATAGAGTAAATCTCTTAGTCCCGAAATAAAAAATTTCTGCGTTCTTACATATAACGTGGATATTAACTTTCAACAAAGAATAAATAAATTGCTACTACTTTGATTTTTCCGGATTTTTTTAAATCTAAATTTCTATTACCTTGTGCAAATTTGATTAACTAGAAATTACAATGGCTTCCCGTAAGAAAGTTCTTTTGAAAGTATGTTTCTTTCCAAGTTGATTTCATAATAATTTTTGCTTCTCAAATATGAGTGCTAATAATTTTTTAATATTTTTATTTTTTTCCATAAAAGGTTATTATCTTGGGCGATAGCGGGTATGTTTGTTTAAACAACTAGTTTACCTAATTTTGAGGACAAATTATAGATCCTGTACTATATAATTTTTTATTTTCAGTTTTTATTTCTTAAAATAAGATCTATCCCAAAAATACTGGACACCGAAATATTGTTAGATTTAGAATATTTTTTTTCGAAGTTTATCGTGAATATTGAATTTTAATTAATATATATGCATTTGTTTATTTGCCATTAAACAGTGTTGGCAAGACATCATTAATGAATCAATATGTAAATAAGAAATTCAGTACTCAATATAAGGCTACTATCGGTGCTGATTTTTTGACTAAGGAAGTGATGGTTGATGACCGTCTTGTGACAATGCAGGTTCGGACAAGATTATCTTTTATTTAATAATTTACTGAATACTGAAATTGTAGAGATCAAAATCTTACTACTATTTGTTTTTAAAGATTTGGGATACTGCTGGACAAGAACGTTTTCAATCTCTGGGGGTTGCATTTTACCGTGGAGCTGATTGCTGTGTTCTAGTGTATGATGTTAACAACAACAAGAGTTTTGAAACGTTGGATAGCTGGAGAGATGAATTCTTAATTCAAGCTTCTCCACGAGACCCTGAAAATTTTCCATTTGTTGTCTTGGGTAACAAAATCGATATGGAAGAATCAAAGAGAGCGGTATTTTTAAATTTTATTTGTCTTAGACCGTGATTCTTTCCGGTTTAATAATAATTTTTATGATTATTTAGGTATCTCAAAAACGGGCCATGACTTGGTGTCAATCCAAAGGCAACATTCCTTACTTTGAAACAAGTGCTAAAGAAGCAATTAACGTAGAAAATGCATTTCAGACTATTGCGAAAAATGCTTTACAACAGGAGACCGATGCAGACTTGTATGCATTTTATAAAGATCATTAATTCATTATAAATGTTTTCAATTTTTTTATTAATTTATTATCTTTTTTTTTTCCTTGAAAAAGTTATAATGACTTTCCGGATCCAATTAAGATTGACAATGATACATCCAAATACGATTCTTGTGGATGCTAAGAAAGATTCTTCTGTGGCCTTCAGTTATAAATTTTTAGCCGAAGGAGTATGGTTGGACAATTTAAATTAAAACAAGGATGCTGTTTTTAGGACAATGAAACTTCTTATTTCTTTTATTTTTTCATTGAACTATATATGTCATCAAGTTTCAAACAGTGTTTCTCTTTATTTTATTATTTCATCTTTATATTATTACTTCTCATTCCTTATTATGATATTACTGGACATTTATAATAGGAGTGAAGAATTAAGGTAACATTATGCACATACACACTTTATTTTTGTACAATTATCAATTTGATCTTCTGGTATTTCTATTTTATTTTATTAACTATTGTAACTTGGATGTTTTATTTGGTTTTAGTGTTGTATTGGTTGTGGGTTAAATAAAAAAATTTCATAATACTACGTTATATGTGAATGATATTTTGACTTTATTATAATGTTATTATTCAGTTGATTCGATATTTTATGAGACATCCAATATTGAAATCAGTATTGGTAGCATTAATTCCTATTGGTCACTGCAGTATTCGACCAGTTATGTCCCTAATTATTCGTTAAACCGTAAAATTGTAACTTACCGGATTCCTGGAGTTATGGTTGTGTAATAAATAAGCAGGTTACACGACATCATGATTTTATCATGTGATACTAAAAACATTACAAAAGTTACGTTTCTGTTGCTAATGTTAAATACTACTCCGTATTTCTATAATAATGTCAACTTTCTCACCTACAGGCGCTTCGGCTAATAGTACTCCTGCTGGTAACTGGCAAGGTGACTTGCTCGTTAAGCTACTGGTGAGAGATAGACGAGAAAAAGCATTTACGGATTTTGTTGAGTCTTGTAAGTTCCTTTAAGCAAACAACTAGATTGGTATTTTTGGGTGAAAGGGACTGGTTAGATCTAATTCCGGCCCATTTAAGAAATATTAAACAGGCTGGTCTTATTTCTAACCCGATCCAGAAGAATAAGTGTTAATGGAGTTTATGTTAATGGTGTTCTTGTTTGCAATTTCTTATATTCGGATACCAACTTTTACGTGAAAAGTCGATATTCTAACGAACTAAATTATTTTAATTAATTTAATTTACTTTCTATGTTCAATTTCTATCGAATATCTAGATAATTCTCTCGTTCAGAAACTTGGAAAATTCGCGGAAAGAAATACAGCATTGGAGTTATCAGAAAAGTCTGCAACAGAAAAACATACAAACCTATTACGTGAAGTAGACATTTTAAGAGAGCAAGGGTAATTGATCTTTTTGCCAGCTATAAGTTGTTATTAATTATTTATGAACATTATACGAGTTTAAATAATTTATTTATTAAAATTGAATAATAAATATTATTTTTACCTTTGACAACCTAAGGAGTCCATCAAATCAAAAGAAAACTGCGGAATTAGAACAGCAAATACAAGCTCTCAAAGAAGAACTCGCAGATTTGTATAAAACGCGAGGACAAAATGCTCAGCGTTTATTAGATATGAATGACGTTTTACGAAGTCATGAAGAAGCAGCAAAGAAGAATCAAGAGGAGTATGTTGGATTTTTTATTTATAAGATTAGTTGAAAAGATAAAATAAGTTTTGGTAAATTGTATATTTTATATCTAGAATTCGAAGATTAGCGGAGTTAAATCAAGCTTTATCCGCTAAAGTGGACCTTCATCCTCAAGCTATTCGTGAAAAAGAAGTTACAATACAGGTAAAATTAAAGATTATTATTGTATGTTATTTGATGAAGCAATTTGTTAATTCATTTCTTTGTGTAAATCAGCTGTTGCAAGATGAAAATGCTACTTTGCAATTGGAAATAGGAAAAATTGATGAGCGTATGAAAGATTTAGAAAGAGAAAATGGTCAACTTTTACAACGTTGGTTGAAAAAGATGAATGAAGAAGCTGAGAAAATGAATGAAGCAAACCAATTTTATGAGAGGTTTGTCCGAAGATATTTGGAGATTTGAAGCTTTTATAAGATTAGTAATATTAATTTCATTTAATTGTAGTGCCCTGGAAGTTCATGCTAAAGCTTTAGAATTCCAGAGTGGAGTTGTAATTGTTGACAAGGAATTTACTCCAATGAACAATGTACCAAAATCAATCACATTTCCAGAAGCTGGTACTGGTACTATAAGGTGGTATAATATCTTTTAATTTTTGACTTGTCTTTTATGTTGTCCTCGATTTTCACTTGCATAAGTTCCAAATTCAAAGCATCTAAGTATTTTAATTCATTATGTTCTCAATTTAAATTTAAATTCGGTTTATTTAATAAGTCATATTAGGCAATTTATTACATAATTCATCAAACAAATTTTGAAATTATAATGTATATACTATTTATTATTATTAGCATAAACATATTTATTGATTTTATAAATATTTCTTTCGTAAAAAGATTATTTATACAAAATTTTACCATTAGTTCTGTATAAGACGCCAAACTTAAAAATATATGCAGGTAAAATCGAGGCACGACAATCGTCATATATGATTTAACCTATCATTTTGCTGACTTTAATATTATTTTGAATAGAACACGCGGCAAAGACTTTGGTCCCGTTATAATACCGACGGCCGTGATTAAAAAAATTGTAAACATTTAATTTATTTTATTTTATTATTTAAGAATATTTTCTTGTTATTCAATTTTAAGGTCCTTTTCTCTATTAGACACCACATGATGGCGAGATACATTCAATTGCTTCGTCTTATGATGGAAGTATGTTTGCCACGGGCAGTGCGGATAAAACTATTAAAATTTTTGACTCCACAACAGGTTGGGTAAAATTCACATGCTTGAATTCGTTCTTTGATATATTACCCATATTAACATTTACTATATTCAGGCCAGGTAAAACAGACGTTGTCGGGATCAATACAGTCTATTATGCATGTTTCTTTTAATAATACAAACGAAATGGTCGCTGGCGCTTCAAATGACAATGCCGCAAGGTTATGGCATTTAAAAACTGGACGGATAAGGGTTTGTGAATAGTTTTTTGTTTATTGTTATTATAATTAAATGAAAGTTATGTTTAATCCTGGTAAAAATATTTTTCAATTTCTTAGCTTACTTTAACCGGTCATGTCGGGAAAGTATACTCTGCTAGATTTAACGGAGATTCCACTAAAGTGGTAAGAAACACACCAAATTTTATGTGTTGTTTTATATGATTATAATTTCATTTAATTTTTATCGTGCTTTCTATTTAACAGATTACAGGCAGTCACGATCGTACAATTAAAGTGTGGGATCTACAAAAAGGATACTGTACGTGAAATCATTTATTTAAAATTTCAAGTTATATATTCATTTATACTTATTTTATCGAATATTTTAGGCATTCGGACTATTTTTTCATTTTCTAGCTGCAATGATGTAGTTCCCCTAGATGATGAAGGGTAAAATTATCTTTAGATTAATGAATTTGTTAATGGAAAATGAAGCTAATTTTTTTTTTATGTTATATTAGTACGACACTTGTAAGTGGTCATTTGGACAACAATTTACGTTTCTGGGATGTACGATCTGGCAAGGACATTAAGGAATTAACTGGAATTCATCTTGGACAAATTACTTCTGTTTCTGTCTCCCCAGGTAAATTCATTGTTTCAATTTCATGATACAGATTTGTTTCATGATATAGAATTTGCTAAGTTCTTAATCTTTTTTAAAGATGGTGCCAAAGTGTTGACTAATTCACGTGATAATACGCTCAAGATAGTTGATCTAAGGACTTACGATGTTGAACAAACGTTACAGTATGCTATGTTTTTATTTGTTTCAACCTTTTTTCCCATTAATTTGTTAATGTGATTTATATATTGTCTAGTTCTGATGGATATAAAACTGGCGCTAATTGGGCTAGGGCTTGCTTTAGGTAAAAAATAATTTATTTGTTCTTTATAAGAATAATCGATAATATGCTAACTTTATAACGTTAACAGTCCTGACGGGAGATATGTAGCAGCAGGTTCATTAGGTGAGTATTAAAAAAAACTTCATCCTATCTACCAAATGAAAAATTTCTTAATTAAAATATAATTAATATTATCAATTAGATGGGACAATTTTCTATTGGAATATCCAAAAGTCAAAGTTAGAAAAGACGACAAAAGATCATATGTATGTATCGTTAATTTGTTTTATTATTATTTTGATTTCTCTTTAAATTTCTTAATTATTTAATTATTTAATTATTTATTATTTATTTTATTAGTGCACCTATATGTGGTGTATCTTGGAGTCCACGAGGTGGACAATTATTTAGTGCAGATAAGGATCGGACAGTTTGTATTTGGACAGGTGGATTACTGTCTCTTATACACATCTAGATGTGTATAAGAGACAACCTATATGTGGTGTATCTTGGAGTCCACGAGGTGGACAATTATTTAGTGCAGATAAGGATCGGACAGTTTGTATTTGGACAGGTGGATTAAGGTGACCCTGAAGACCTTTTAATTATTTGTTGGTAGTTTTTTTTTTAATAAAAAAAAACCTAGGGTAAAATAAGTCTACATCTTAGCTCAGGAATTGATTATATTAAGGATTTTTATTTGGAAATATATATATTTTTTTTAATTGTTATTTTATTACGTTTCAAATTAATGTTGTAAGAGCAAAAAGGAAGTAATGTAATAGAAAATTACCTTTAATTGTAATTATTATTTTGATAATCACGGTTACGATTTCATAATTATCAATCGATTAACCACACAACAATCATACCAGTTTAATTTATTATTTATTTATTTGTTTTGTTAATTAATTTTCATTACATTTTCGTGTATTATAGATGATGATTTGAGAAGGAAGACAATATTATTGATTTTATTTAATTGTAACAGTCATAGAATTTTTGTAAACCTCGTATAAATAAGAAAAAAAAAAAGGAATTAAGTTATTACTATTTAAATTATAGATTATTATTATTATACTTATCCATTAATATCGTAAATCTATCTTTAAATTCGCTATATTCTATATAAGTACCTTTAAGATGCCTTTGACCACTACGAGAATCAAATGATTTTCTTCCATGTAAAACACGTCTATTAGCAAAAATAGCCAAATCACCAGGTTTTAAAGTTAATTCAAATATCAAAGAAGGATCTTCAATACAAATACAAAATTGTTGATAAGCCTTATAAAATTCAGTTAAATTAATTTCATCATCTAAGTTAAATTCAATAGGGCCTTGAAAAGGAGGAGAATAATTAACAACTAAAGTATCATTATAATCATCTATTACAATAGCGGGACGATTATAATGCATATGATGACCATTATTCTTATAATGAAATGTTAAAGGAAATTTTGTTAAAATATTAAAATAATTTGGATTTGTAAGTTTTAAGTTATTAATAGCTTTGAATGAATCTGAGAAAATACTTTGACCACCCGTAACTGAATTTTTTATACAATGCAAAAATTGTAATCCAGGTGGTGCATCATAATACCTTAAAAAAAAAAAAAAAAGAATATAAAAAAAAAAAAAGATTATCATACTTACAATAAGTCCATATGTAAACCTAAATGTAAATCAGTATAAGCAATATTATTAGCAGCAGGTTTAGATTCAACATCAAATAGTTTGCCATAAAAAGTAGACTTAATAGTTCCAATTCTTTCAGCAACACTTATAATTCCTTTATCATCATCATTAATAGGAACATTTTTAACAATTACTAAACCATAATCCCAAATTTGTTTTAAAGTATCAAGTAAATTTTTATTTGATTTCATATAATCATAATAAGTAGTCCAAAGATTTTGAGAAGATTTGAGAAGAGATGAACGATCCCATAATACTGGTTTTAAATGATTATAACGTAACTTTGAAATATTTTGTTTTGTAGAATATGAGTGAAGGAATGAAATTGGATATGTACTCTCATGAGGTTTATGTACAGAATTATTGTTAGCATGATTCTTGTAAGTTATAGATTGTAATCCTTTATCCCAAACGATTATAAGTTTATCTGAATTGGAACCGATTGAAAGTGGTTTTATATCAATAGGAACTTCCGAACTTGAAAATAGTTTCTGACGATTATCAGGATGAATACATAGAGGACACTGACAATTATCACGTAACCAAATATAATTAAATTTTGTAAAAGAATTTGAATTTGACCATTTTATAGAAAGAGAAGTTGGATTATTTATTATCTCTTTGATGAATAATCCAGAAGTTGTTGTAGAATAAGAATAAACCGAATCACTTTTTGATTGATATTTATTCGATTGGATAGGATTTCGAAATAATAATGAGGATGATGCAGATTTATTAATAATATTGTTTGCTAGTGATAATTTATGAAAATAATGAAGATGGCAAGAATTTTTTTTATTATTTTTTTTGAAATTCAAAAATCGAAAATAGTTTACTAATCTCATTTTTTTTTTTTAAAAAAAAAAAAAAAAAAAAAAAAAAAAAAAAAAAACCTCGGAAAGAGGGGTAATATAAAAAAATTGGATCTCTTTTTTTTATATACATATTTAGGTATATCGGAAGTTTAGTTGATTTACATATAAATTTCCCGAAACTTGCATTTGTTAAACAAACTATATAAATTTATGCCTTATTTTGTTGTTTTCTCTTAAATAATAATTCTTGCATTAGTGATTATTTAATTAAAACATAAACTTTATAAAGCATACGCTAAAAAAATCGCGCAATAATTTTAATATTTTGAGCAAATGGTTTACTTTCATACTTGACGTGGGTTAATCCAAATATGCGTGGGACACGATAAAATATCTATATGTAGTTTAATGAGTGAATTGTTGATGCTGTATCCAGAGAATTTGTGGAGCAAGATGAAATTTACTAATAGCGATAGTGAAATAAACATACTTGAGATTATGATTAGGAAATAAAAGAATTAGGAGTGGAATTGTTATATTCCTTTATTAATGTTGATGTATTATTACCTTATAATCTGAAATCGTAAGTACATTACATTTTTACAAAGACCTAAAGAGTGTATTATTAATATTGCTATTCATTATGGCAGTAACTTAATAATGCAGAAACGACGTTGAACTAACTGGTTAAAAATATCAGGTATCTTTAAATAGCTTTTGCAGAAATTCAACTGTTAGAAGATTTATTAGCATGATTTGTTATCAATGATACTCAAAGTATATTAGAACGTTCTTTTAATAAAAATAATATAAAAGCTTTTTTCATATGGCCAATGGAAGTAGTGTCACGTGTTACACGTGAAACTGAATGTGAATAAAAAAGTAAAATCAGGATACCAGAGAACTTTTTGTTTGTAAAAATGCCAAAATGTCAATCTTTATATCAGAACCAGTAAAATCAAAACTTTATATTTCACATTCATCCATTACATTAAAAAAATCTCGGCATGAACAAATAATATTAGATCATCCATTCAATAATAATTTAGATATTTTTTTCCCTTCAATAATTAATTCCAAAAAAATCACCAGCTTATTTAATAATGAATTTTTTTATTATAAGGTAGATTTACCTTTATCATGGTTTATTGAAAGAGATTTTATACGAGATTACGTTAAATCAGGTAAATAAAAAGTCATATCTATTTTCCATAAAATAATAATAAAATAAATCTTCTATTTATAGGCTGTGTTGTTGCTTTAAGTTTAACCGAAGGAATTGATATTGCGAATGTAATCGCGTTAGATTCATTAGGTAAAAAAAGAAATTTATTTTATCGGTTAAATTCGTTAAAAATCCTTTTTTTTAATTGTTAACATTTTAGACAAACATCTTTAGTTGTATTTTAATTAGGAACTTTAATATTAAATTTAACGAAAGATACATACGAAGAACTTGGATTAGATGGTAAATCAACAAAATTTGGTCCAGATAAACAAAGATTTGGTAATTTCATTATATACATTAAAATATATATAAATATTTATTTATCATTTCGCTTAACTTAATTTATGCTGTTCTTTTTTAGTTGTTCAAATTGATTTAAAAGAAAAATCATTAATTCCAGGGAAAAAGGGATATGAAAGAATTAAATGGTGTTTTAATAATACGTTAACAAAAAAATTCACGTTTTTAATTTCTTTTGTAAAATCGGGTACAAAAAAATCAAGTGAAATTGATTTCCCATCATTATTTAATGCGGAAAAAATTTTGGGAAAATTTGATTTTAATAATACATTTGATAATATTTTGATTCCTGATTTAAATATGATTAAAAATATTTCAAATGAATTTCAATGGAGATTGGACGCTGTAGAAATTTATGATTGGATCGGATTAGCTTCTATTCAAGCTCAAAGGTATTTTTTTTAAAAAAAATAATAATTCATATATATTATATATATTTAGTCAATTGATTTTGTTTTTTATATATTTTAGAATTAAATCACACGATCAAGTTGATCCGTTTATATCTGTTTATAAACCTCCTGAACCATATTCAAACGGAAATGGATCATTTATTAAATATACGGGATTCATCCCATCTTTGACCATTAAAGAATTATTTGATTCAGTTTCGTATGTATTTATTTTCCATTTCTTTTTTTTAACAATCATACTAGACTTATCAATCAAATAACTCCTTTATGCCAAAAAAAAAAAAGAAACTTCCTTCGAGAGGATGCAAGTAATAATATTCCATGGGCTATAATTAATGTATGGGGATTCAAAGATTCTCCGATTTCTTGGAATAAACATGAACATGGATATTTTATGAATGGTGAAAATAATTACAGTTTTATCGTTTATAATGATGGAACTTATATTTTATATCAAGCTCTTGGTACTTACGATACTTACTCTTAAAAAAAATCATCCTTATCAAATTAAATAATTATGCCATTTGAAAAACTGTGTCACGTTCTAGTCGATATAAAAAGCAAAAGGAAATTAGATAAAAGTATATATAATTGATACTACTGATATCAACAAAATGTTAAATTACCATGATACCTGATCAATAATTCAATTGCAAGAAATTGGTTATGATGCTAAAAATACTTTCCAAAACGTAGCGTAATAACTCTAAGAATATTAGAAAAACTTTGAGATCAATTTTAAAATCTCATTATTCTTAATTATTGAGAATCTGAAATCATTCAGAAGCGTAGTAAAAATTTTTAATACAATCCATTTCTTGCAGCTTTTCAGAAAATTTCGACAATATTTTTAAAACATTATAAAATTATTGTAACAATTAATTGAATGAATATTAAACAAAAAAATGTATGTTATATCTGAAATTTTATTTAATAATTTTTTTAATTTTGTCAGTATATAATACAAGTTGAAATATTACTAATGTAAAGGTTATTTCACTTCTTCACTTCATTTTATTTTACCTTTTTTTTTATTATAAATTTATTATAAGAAATTTGTTATTAATAAAAAATGTAATTGAAAGAAATAGGAATTAAAAATTTTTAATTAAGTATATACAAATTTATTTATTATTAATACTATCACAATATTAGATAATAAATCTATAAAAATTTAATAGTTTATTACAAATTAAATTTACTTTTTGTAGATTATTACAAAAAAAATATTTACAGTAACTGGATTATTAATTTTTAATAATTTCAAATAATTACACTTTAGGCTATTGTCTTATTTAAAAAATTATATAAATAAAAAAGTTATTAATTATAAAGGCTATAATATAAATAAAATAAGTAATAATGGTTGTAAATAGAAAAAAAAATTCTAAAATATACATGAAAATTTTTATTATAATTATATATAAAAGGTTTTTAATAAGAATAAAAGATTAAATTTTTAACTTTACCATTATATAATAATTAATAAAATGCAAAAAAAATCTACTATTGTAATATAATTAATTTTCATCTTTTTTAAAAATTAATACTTTGAAAATTTTTATTTAAAGATAATTGTACATCTTGTACTATAATATTTTATACTAATACTTTTAGTTTGGTTATTTATTCTAAAGTATAGTAAATATATTATAATAATAAAATATTAAGTTTTGAAAAATAATTATTAATATTATATAAATAAAATACAAATAAATTGTTATTTTCTGTTTACAAAAAAACTTTAAAATTTTATTTTGATTATAATTAAAACAATCCTGATCCAATGACTTACTTTATATAGAATAAAATATAATAAAAATTATTAGGTATTAATGAAATTTAACATCAAATCTCTTAAGCATAAATCGGTTTATTATTTATAAAATCTCATAATTGATTCCTTTTTTGATGTAATGATACTCTATACATCAAGGAATATAGAAAGATCAATTATAAAATAGTGATATTTTATGGCATTATAATAAATGATAATAAATAGAATGATATAATTAATGAATCAAAACGAGTCAATTGTTAGATTAAAATTGTTATCATTAAGTATGCGTATGATTTTCATTCCGAAGTAAGAATCGTTTCTTCCCTTTGTTTAGATTTGCTATCAGAAGTTCTTGGAGTATGTATAGGTGCAGGTAAAGCTTCTAACTCTGCAAACATTTTCTCTAGTTCCTCCAGTTCTTTATCTTCAACATTTGAGATTGATCGTAAAGTTGAAAGAGGCGTTTTGTCTGGTTGGTCGATTTTCTTCGCTGTAGATTCCTTGATTGGTTGAAAACTCGTAGACTCCGTAACTGGTTGAGATACTGGCCGTTTTTCCGGTGTTGATATAGCATTCTCTTCCTTCAACAATGCCTCTAGTTCTTCCTCCAATTCCTCATCTATTCCAAATGATGTTTCAATCAAAGTCTGATTTATTTGCATTGCGTCTTCTATTTCTTTTTGATCTGCGAGAGCATCTTGTAATTTGTCCATTGTCGCGTCCACAGTTTCAGTTGTGAGCCCTTCTGAAGCTAAGACACCCTTTAAGGTACCTGCTCCAAAGCTATATATATCAATAATCTTTGATTATATATATGAATGCGTTCATTAGGTACAGTTATCATTAAACGAATTAAAATAAATAAATAAATAAATAAAATTTTTTACTCTTACTTCGTTATCGCTCGCAGCACCCTCAATTTTCAGAAGGATCCCTTCAATCGTACCTAAAGAACTTAATCTTTCTAATAATATCTTTTCAAGATTCTTTTTTTGCTTTAAGGAATATTTTGCTTGCACTTTTTGTTTACGAATCAAGTATCCACTTATCTTCTTATTCAAACTAAAATTTCATACAGGGATTATGATAAAGAAAATATAGTGCACTTTTTTAATATGTTTAAATTACTAGGCTATTCTTACTCTGCAATTTTTTCCTCAACACTTTCGACTTGTGTATGTAATTTCTTTCTCGTTTCCTTAATACAAATAATACCACGATCTATTTCTGAAATTTCAAGTTTGGAAATATTTTTTTCTTTCCTGCTCCGTATTTTAATTATCTAATTAAATACAACAAATATTTAATAAAGAACAAAATAAGGAAAAATCATATATTTTACATATTTTATGTTATTCTCACACATTCTTCCTTTTTCTCATCTGACATTTCATGCAAAACTTCCGTAACCAGCATTTTCAGTTCAAATTCTAAATAACATAGTAACACTTTTAAGTCAGTTTCTGATAATACGACGTTCGGAATTGCTACTGCAGCATACTCGGCCTTAAATGAAGTTAAGGTAAACAAATTATCAGTGATTCCATGGACTGCATTTTTTTCGTGATATTGAAGGACGCGTTCTGCAGCTTCTTTTAAAGTAGGCATTATCACCAACTTTTTCGCGACTAAAATATTATTGGATCCAGCCACTTTTTGTAGTCCCCAAAATAACGACTGCAAGATCCATCCTGACCATGTCTTACAAGAATAAAATTCTTCAACTGGAATCAATTCTGATGTATGATACATTTCTTGCTAAAATTTAGAGAAAGTAAAGGAACAAATTCGATAATTTGTTAATGCAAAATTAGTTAATAGCCCGAGATTGTTTAGCAAATAACATAATCACTACATAATATTATAACTTTACAGTAACACAATTAAATCCTGCTGGAGAGACTCCATTATACACAGAAAATGTTTCTTCTAAATGTTCACGATCAAGGCAAAGAATATCTTCGCCCAGCCAACCGCGTTTACTTGTTTCGATCAAAACATTTGACCAAAACTTAAGAATATCATTAAATAATTTTGGATTGAAATGTTTTTGATTTGAAAAATCGCTCCAGAACCAAGCCTCTTTATCTAAATCTTTAACTCGTAAATCAGGATGCTTTTTGAGATAATCACGGATATCTACTTTCTTTGCGATGTTCATTTTTTCTATTAACGACAAGTGAAGGACATTATTCCATATTTCCATTAATGATGTGTCATGAATAACACGTGATACTAGATGCGGTAATACTGCGGTAATTCTGCCCACATTCACCTATAATTCGATAATTAAGAACACATGACAATGTTAAATGAATTTCTAAAGTAAGTTGATGAGTGATGTAATGCATGCAGTAGGTGATCTTCGATTCTTCGTGCGACGCTTCCGCCCGGTTTAGTAAATATAAATTTGAAAATTACTATTATTTTGAAAGTTTCGCAAGGACTCAAAAAACGGATCATGTCATTGTAATCTTTTTTGCCGTATAAAAAATTACGGCTTGCAATATTTAAACCAAGACTTTAGATGTAATTTATTGAGACATTAAAGACATATCGAGTATGCTAATTTGATGTCAGAAGTTATTACATAATACAATCTATTCTTTTGATGGACTGAAACTTTGCTTGCATATTTGTTTATTATAAAGCCACAGATTAGGTAGTTAAGTTACACGAAACTAGTCTGATTTTTTCTTTAAAACAATGACGATTCTCAAGAATTTACTTTACAATAAAATAGTGCGAACAATTGAATTTAAAGTTCTCTATGTAGGAAATTAAAAAAAAAAATCTTTTATTAAATCATGTAAACGTTCTTATATAACTGAACATTTATAATAATTTTAGTTTGTAAATTATTCTTAATAGTAACAAATTTAACGCTGCGGACTGCGTGTTGTGAGATTTTCATGTGCAATCCTATAGGTTGAAAAAAGGAAAAAAGGGGGGGTTAACTTTTAAAAAAAAATTTTTTTTTTATGCGATATCTCGAAAATATTCCTTATATATCAACAGTAGACCTTTCGTTTGCCCCAATTCTTGAAAGCATTTAGTTCATAAATTCTGCAAAGAATTTTACTAACAAGCATCCGACTACTACTTTCGCAGACTATTGAAGCAAAATTTTTCTTCTATCTTTATTTTATTTTATAAGAATAAGCTCGTTTTTTATTTTAATTCATTTGAACTGCATTGCATATTTCTAAAGCGGCATTTTACTCATGCAAACAAATACTATGGATAGTTTTAGACCACCAGAAAACCCATATGGTCCACCAGCACCTCCACGTTCAGAAGCACCTTCACAACGAGGATATCGGGGAGGAAATCGTGCAAGACAACAGAGATCGTGGAATCAACGATCTAATACAGGGGGAAATAATAATAATAATAACAATGTTGGTAATAACAATATTGGGGGTGGTAGTAATGGGAGAGGAGGACGTAGAGGTAGTTTTTATGAGCGAAGACCTAGAGATAAAAGTCAAGATAGTTGGAGAAGACAATACAATGATCGAAACTCACGGTCATATCGTGATGGTACAACTTACAGAGACGGTGCATATTGTAGGGATGGGACAGCATCTCGTGACAGGAGGGATAGTTGGAGTCATCGACATTATAATGATAGGTCCTCACAACGTTATGGACGTGATAATCACGGACCGTCAAGAAACAGACAACAACAAGAGAGACAACCTCCGTGGCACCAGGATCGGTACCAACAATACCATCAAAATGGTATTGCGCAGAATAATTGGAATACTACAGGTATTGCTGGATCACATGGACATCAAGGATCACATCCACCTGTATCACACGTTCCAGTTCCAGGACAGCATGCGCCGGGTTTATCACCACAACTTGGACCGCCAGGAGTATCCGGGCACGTTAATATGCATGTTCCTCCAGTGCCGCCCGGCCAAATTGGTCAGCAGGTTCAACATAATCAGAGTCAATCAGGACATTTGGGAAATTTGGGACAACAAGGACAACATGATCTTGAGAGGCAATCTGCACAAATTGCTCAGCCAGGCGCACCTGGAACGCACCCAGTACTTCCTCCGTACGAACAATCATATCAAGAACCTGCCCCATTTCAAGGACAATTACCCCCTCAGATACCTGCTTGGGATCAGAGTATTAACTATCATCCACAACCTCCGGGTCATCATTACCCAGAACCATATTATCCGCATGCATACGATCATTATCAAGCTCAATATAACCCTTACATGAATGGCGCTGACAGTATAGGGTATAATCATCCTGTGGAAAATAAGCACACGATACCGCCACAACCTCCTCAGCCTCCTCAACCACCAAATCCATCAAATTCTAGCACTCATACAAATAATTTGCAACCGACCACTCAATTACGATCACCAATATCTCCGCATACGGCCTACCCACAAATACCTATCCAATCGATACAGCCAACTCAAGTATTGCAACAACCATCAGTAGGATCGAGATCAGTGAAGTCTCATGTGTCCCCGATTGAAGTTACTCCGGTGACCGTTAAAAAGTGTGCCGAATTGTATGAAAACTTGGGTCAAGTAGGAGAAGGCACTTACGGGTATATAAATACCGTATAATTTAAATTTAAATGTTCATTTCAATTATTTATTCTTACTCATATTTATACTTGCACTTCCATTAATGTTTATAGTAAAGTTTACAAGGCAAGGAATCGTGAGACAAAAGAAATAGTAGCATTGAAAAAGATACGTATGGATCCAGAGAAGGAAAAGGAAGCTGGGGTAAGCTGATGAAAATTTTTTTTTGAGACTATATTTTTGTTTATATACTTAATGTTTATCATTTTAGCAGTTCCCTCTCACAGCAATACGTGAGATTAAGCTTTTACAACAATGCAAACACGGAAATATCGTGCAACTAAAAGAGATAATGGTCTTCCAAGGTGGTAAATTAAGTGCTTGTTTTGTTTTAAGATGGTTTAATACAAAACTAACTAATGTGAATTCTCAAATAATCAAACCTTTATCTATTATAGGCTATGTGTACATGGTCTTTGAATATATGGCTCACGACCTAACGGGTGTTCTCGCGAACCCAAAAGTCGAATACAAACCACGGCACGTGAAGTGCCTTATGAAACAAATTTTGGAAGGTTTGGCCCACCTTCATGAAAACGGTATTTTACACCGCGACATAAAAGGTAAATTTCTTCACGTTCTGGACATAATTATCGAATAATTATTTACGCGTATATGTTTAGGATCAAACATTTTATTAAACAATCGTGGTGAAGTAAAATTGGCAGATTTTGGACTTGCCCGCCAATTTGACATTAAATTTAAACGTGATTACACTAATCGTGTAATAACATTATGGTATCGACCCTCAGAACTATGTCTTGGAGCAACAGAGTACGGTTGGGAGGTTGATATGTGGAGCGTAGGGTAATTAATATATAAATCTTTTAAGGATAAAAAATTTCTAAATTTACGATCATACCTGAAAATCATATTACTTTTTCTTAAGATGCATTATGATGGAATTAATAACGGGTAAACCGTTGTTCCAAGGTAAAGACGAGTTTTCGCAACTCGAAAGCATCTTCAGCTTGATGGGTGTTCCAAACAAAAATGAGTGGCCCGAAATAGCAAATTTGGCGTGGTACGCAATGGTCAAGCGAAACGGACCAAAGGTGTCCAAATTCCGTGAACAATACGGGCAGTAAGTGCTATGTTAGAATTTGTATTATTTTATTACTTTACGATAATTATATTCCAAATTCTTATAATTTTTCTATAGCATGTTATCTTCAGGTGGTCTCGAATTAGTTGAGGCTTTACTTTCTATAAACCCAACAAAGAGGCCATCAGCACGTGAAGCATTGAATTATGCTTATTTCAAGGTCGAAGTTCCACTTGCTTGTTCACCTGCCGAGTGAGTACACGCTTTAATACATCTATTATATTATGTATGACCTTCCTTTATTTATATATTTATTTTATATAGACTCCCCGAAATATCGGGGGATTGGCATGAATATGAATCAAAACAAAAAAGCAAGAAAGCCAATCCATAGATAGTGAAACTCACAACTAATATTGCTTTTATAATCCGCATTTCTGGACGGGTATGTTCATGTTGTCCAGCCTACGTAAAAAAAATTAAATTATTTCTAAATTTTAACTCTCTGTTTTTCCTGTCATTTTTTAATCAGTATCCGCCAATTTGCCATTGTCCTTTTTGAACTACTTACTCTCTTCGGAATTAGTAATAGTATTAACTATGGATGAATATCTCAGGCTGATGTACTTATTAGTACTCAAAATAATATAATGTGATGTGATAATAATATTAATAATTATAAGAACGATTAAAGTATCTCTTGTATAATATATAATGCAATCAAAAGTGAGAAAGAGTACCGTGGATACTTAAATCTTGTCATAAAGCTACATAAAAGTATATATATCTTGCATTCATTCAAAATCTTTGCGGTTATTATTATAGGGAGGGTATTATAGATAATTGTTAAGGAATTGGTGGTGTATTATTCATTAATTGCGTTTGCATCAAATATAGTCTCGAAAGTTTACAATGTTATCGCAAAATAGAATTGAGTAAAGATTAGCCGAGAAAAGGTATAAAGAAAGACGAAATCTGAGTACATTGATTGTATTCTTTATTAGATTATATATACATGTTTAGATTAATATTAATTTTGTAAATAGTTAATAGTGTAAATATAAATATATAAATTAATTGTTAGATAAAAGTAATTATTCTTAATAAAATCAATTTCTATTGTAATTTTTTAACAGTTAGGATATACTAGCTAATAAACCATTTTGTGATCTGTAAAGCAATCAAATTATATTTATTAGTATAATCATTTAAGTCATTTTAATCAAATTTAAATAGAATAAAGATCTAATTTCAAGATCATTGATGAACCGAACTTTTAATTCTACATCCTTTTTCAGTGCGTGCATACAAAATTTTTTTAATCATTTCTTATTATTTTAAGTAACAAATTAAATACTTTCCTTTTGACCAAGTAGAAATTATTTTAATTTCTAATAATGAAAAGGTAAAAAATTAATAATTTTTTAATTGTTCATTAAAAAAGATTGTTTTTTTTTGGGAATCAGAAAATAGACAATCGACATGATATTATATTCCGTCCGCCCGTCTAATTTTCATCATATTAAGAATTAGCTAATTAATTAAAAAAGAAAGTTTACCAATTGATTCCAAGAACTATGTCTGCCTTGATTGACTCTGTATTTCAAAAAAAAAAAAAAACGGATTACCATAATAATAAATGAACAAAAGCTCTCAATTTTTCGTCTCTTTTTGATCAGACAAGGCTGAAACTATTTATTTCAACATACTAATTTTATTCTGAGTGTAGGATAAGATTTATATCATCACGTAAAATTTTGAATATGTACCAAATAATAATAAAAAACTTACCTATGTCAATAACTTGAAAAAATATTTCTTAAAAAGTTTTTTTTCCCGATCAAAAAATAGGATTGTGTTAAAAATCGGTAAAATCATGTGATTAGCCGCGGAAATGTGAACTTGACTTTCACGTGTCGTATGGAGCACGTTTGTCGCATGTGTACCAATGACTAAGATCAATTACGGTTAAAGCAAGGCAACATAGTACAATCTTTCAATTCTCTTTTACGTAAATTTGCATTTTTCTCTTGTTAATATACTTACTTCAAATTATGGCTAGTCGGTTTCCTTTAACCCGTTTTTCTGTTACAGCTGCAACAGCAACTCGTAATAGAGTTGCTCATATTACTCGTCGTAACTTTGCTGCAGAAGCTGTTCCGGAAGGTTTTGTTGCTAAACGCAAGGGTGTTGAGGAACATGCAAAATGTAAATTTAGAAAAGTAAAAATATTTATACCGATTTATTTATAAAATGTTAAATTTTTATCAAATTTATTTTAGCTAGCTCCGATCTTTGGAAGAAAATTTCGTTGTACGTTTGTCCCATAGCTTTGATTGCTAGTTCTGCTAATGCTCTCATGATCATGAAACAACATGCTCAACACCATCATGAAGCTGAAGATCACCCTCCTTTTGCTTATCAAAAACTTAGAACTAAGGTATTTAATAATAGTCATTTAATCATATATTTTATTCAAATAATATTAAAATTTTGTATATATTTATTAGCCTTTTTGTTGGGGAGATGGAGATCATACTCTTTTTCACAATACTGCTGTCAATGGACCATAGACGATTCGTATTGAATAAATTTTGATAGTTGAGATATTTTATATATTTTGCTTTCATTTTGACTCTTATATTATAAAGATCCGTTCAATTCTTGATAAAATTTGCTAATAAAACTATTATTTAACGGAATTAAATTATATTTACGCAACTATCTGAAATCTAAACTATAATACATTTAAAGAAGTATTATCGAGAACAATTCTACAATTAAAAATATTAATAATTAATTGAAAAGCAAATAATTTATTAATTACAAAAAAATAGGGTTATATACATATTAAAAAAAATAAAATAAAATAAAAAAAGAAGCAAACCTTCCGTTGTTTATTAATTTTCAATTTCATTAACGTCGAAAGTTTTTCTTGCAGTTTTAATATCTTTTTCCATAAATAATAATTCTTCGACACGTGCAAGTTTCTTTGAATCATTTCTTAAAATAAATTTAAAATCTTCAACAGTAACCTTGCGATCTTTAGCTACTTTTGATGCTTTCAAACACTGAATTCACAAAAAGCACATAATTAGTAAAAATAAAAATAAGAATAATTTCTAAGAAAATTTTAATACCATTTCAGTAATGTAATCATTTACAAGTTCCTCCATTACGTTTACCGTATCAGGTGCTGGGTCAGGTTCATCTCCAAACCCATACATTAATAAGCGTACTAAAAAAAAATAAAAAGATCTGCTAAAACTAAATCTTCAACAGCTAATTTTATAATTCTGAAAATTATACTTACAATCTTTCGTAAACACACCCTTATTGCCTTTAGGCGGTCGTCCCCTTTGCTTGTATTCAGCCATAATAACGATTTGTTAAACTAAAGGTGTTGCAATCTATTTAAATTTTATTCTAACTTAAATTTTATTCTAACTTTCACTAGCTTCGTGACGAATTTCAGGTTAATAAATACCATTTTTTAGTTTATCACGTGATTATGAAAATCATTTGCCCACTAATCATCTTGAAAAAGATCATGGTTCGTCTGAAACATAAAAATAAAAAATCTTGAAAAGATCAGTGAAAATCTATCTTTCAAGTTATTTTATACAAGTTTATACAAGTAATATCAGGAAGAAAAGCTTTTTTGCTGATTTATTATGATCTTTATATCTTATAGTAGCAATACCAGCATAAAATCTAAGCTTTATTACTACAGTAGAGCAATTTTGGGGTTCTAACCCGAAATTTTCACACATTGAACATGTATAGAAACATTTTTTTAATTCACAACTAACTTCAATTTCAACAAGTTATCTCTTGCAGAGGCATCTAAGATAATTGCTCAAATGTGACAAGAAGATCAATTTTATTAGATTTATTAGAATAGATAATATTAGAACTTCGTACACATTCAATTATTCATTTTTTTTTATAAAAAATAAACTATAATAAGAAGCTTTAGCCTTCTGAAATCATTCTACTGCTTCACAACTTTAACTGTAAAAGAAAATATTTTTTAATTCACAGCTTTAACTTGGGATGAAAATATTTTTTTTCTTCACAACTTCTGTCAGTGAGAAAAGCTATAGCCTTCAAAATATATTTTACTTCTCAACTTTAAGCTTAGGCGAATATATTTTTTCATCACAACAACTGCATGTTAATCCTTCATATTGCTGATATTAGTTTCCAATATTGCCAATACATTAGTATTTGATACATATATTTTGATGAGCTTAAAAAAGAATCAGAATCTAAAAAAAAAGTCGCAGATTTCAGATTAAATGCATTCAGATAGCTAAAAAGGAGCCAAAAATTAAGTATTGCCCTTCTTTCTTGAATGGATTAGAGCTTGATATCTTCTTTCAAAAATATTGAATCGCATCAGCATTGGTTTCATAGCACTAGGATATTTAAAAAATTCTAAGACATTATTAATCGTAATCAGCAATAAGATGCATATATCAAGATAATAGAATCTTCCTTCTCAAGGTATGGTATAATCAAAACCCAGAAATTGTTATTTCAGAAATTCTATCTTATTTTAAAGAATTAGAAAGCAGTGTGCAGATCTCAAAAAATGGAATTCTGATGAAAATTTACTACAAAAAGAGAATCTATCTGAAGAGGATAGCAAAGGTTCTAACTACAAAGAATTTGAATTATATAAATTATCATTAAAAAAAGATCTATCAAATGAATAATTTGAGCAAAGATGAAAGGCACTTGTAGTCCATACCAATAACTACTCAGTTAGCTTCACGTATATTCCTCTAAGTTCTACCCATCATCTATTGCTATAATCAATTCAATAAGTTCATATCATCAGATTAAGAATCAAAAGTTTCTTATCAGCCACCCTTATAATTGTGTCAACATACTATTGGTTTTATATAATCCTGTTTTTTCTAATTTCAAAAGATATTATAATGACAAAAACTATTTATAGATAAAAAAACTTTATCAATAAACCTTCAAGATTATAAAACTTATGGCAGATTTTTATAAGAGTTCCATACTTCTATAAAAATATTTGTGAATTATTTAATAAGAATAGAACTTCAAATGTTAAAAGTTTAACATTAAATTTATACAATACTGTAAAAAATGAAATTGGTATTAATAAATTTGATCCAACCATTCAAGCAGCTACTTTATATATGAAGGTTTATGTCCAACAGATTTTTAACTTTAGTTTATTCTTAAATTTAATTTAATTATCTAGTTTAATTATTTCACAAAATATAGTTTATTAATCAGGAAATTTTTCTAGACAAACTTATTGGTAATATTTTTTAAGAAATTAGTTTGTATTTACAGTCAGGATTCAATAATGTAGACAGAAGAATAAAAAATTACTTAAAGGGTGCAAGATACCATACTTTATAATATATTTGGTTGGACCTTAGATGTGTATTAGAAGCTGTTTATTTCAAAAAGCCAATTATTGAACCTCTAATAGCTTTTGAACCTCTTATCTTTACCAATGATCAAACTCACATCAAGAAAATTGTATGACTTTTTAATGCTTTGATCTACTTCTAGATCTTCTTCTCTTTAAATTAAGACCTTTTGTTTTCTGGTAAAAATGGATGATATAAAAAATAAAAAATTATTTATTAAAAAAAATCATATTAATAATACCAAATATCCATTTGTTTTTTTTTTCCTACACATTTCATTCTTCTCTTTTTCATTCTTCACCTTTTCTCTCTCTTCATTTTTCCTTTTTTCTTATTTTTGTTCTTTCCCTTTCCTTTCTTTTCTAGTTAAAATGGGTGATTTAAATTATTTATTTAAAAAACATAATCAACAATACCAAATCCATTTGTTTTTGTTTTTATTTTTGTTTTTTCTACATACCTTTTTCTTTTAATTTTATTAATATATAAGTAGGTCTCTCCTTGTTTTTCAATAAATCACGATAATATTATTAACTTTTTAATTTTCATAAAATTAATTTCATGAATTTATCATGATAATATAATTAACTTTTATAAAATTAAACATTATAAATTTCTATAGTAACTTTTCTAAGCTTTTTTTATCTCTCTTCCACTTTTTCTTTTTTATTTTTCACTTTTTTTCATTCTTCATTTTTTCATTCTTCCCTTTTTCTTTTTTTTTGTCTTCTTTTTTTTCTCCTGCATTTAGAAAATGATAATTTGAAGAATTATTATAATTTACTACCATATACTATAATAAGTAATAGAGATTCAGGTTTACCCTACTCTTGCCAAGTTAATATTATTAGAGAGTTCTTTTGCAGAGAGAAACTTTTTAATGTAGAAAACTGAGACAAAAGAAGGTGATTACTAAATATACATATATCCATTTTTAATGAATCCTGATATTAATTAGCTGATTGGAACTCAAGATAAAGTGCCATTAAAAAAGAAATATAATATATATTGGCTGGATTTCTTGAAAAAGACTTATAGATCTAATTGAAAATTTTATAGATCCACTTAAATAATTATATTTATAAAGACTAATCATTTAAGTGTTATAGTTTAAACTTATTGTTTATTTTATCTTACGATTGAAAAATAATAAATTTCTTTATTATATTTATATTTATGCATTTTTTATTTCATGAAGAGAAATTTATTAAATCTATTTTGTGATATCAAGACACCTTTATTTCATTAATAAAGTGTAAAATATTGTCTTTTTGAAAATAATATTTGAAAATAATAAAGTTTTACTTTTAATCTGTATACGCATATATATAGTACAGTCAACTCTTCTTATAACAAATTTTGATATAACGAATTTTACAATATAACGGATCTTCAGTATGGTACAGATTTTAACATATGAAAAAAATCTCTTTATACCGAATTTTACTAATTAAATGCCGTATACCGTTTAATAAAGTAAATTTTATAAACCGTATATGAAAAATGCCCCTTTTAACAATGAATTTTCTTTTATAACGAATTTTTTTTCAATATAACAAAGATATTTTGTGTAACTTGCGTTTTGATACAATTATTATACGACAATATACCATAATATACAAAAATTTTCCAGGTTATACCAGATTTTCCCATCATATTAACGAATATTCCTATAACGAAGGCCTGATCAACCCGGACGCCAACTTCGTTATATTAAGAGTTGACTGTATATAGGTATTAGAATAATAAAAAAGTTTTGAAAAAAATATCAGTTTGCTAAGTCTTTTTTATATATATGGGCTATGTTCTAGACTTTATATTTATTTTTATTATCATATTTATAAAAAATTTTCATATACACACATGCATTTAAAATTTAAATGAATCTTTATTATGTTTTTATAATATAAAGAAGCTGGTTGACTAAATAAAATAAAATGGATAGTAGATATTTAAAGGAAGGAATTTGCCTATCCCTAGATAGTAAAAAGCAGAAGTATTAGTATTATTAGATAAAGTATTATCTTTTCTTAATATTTATTATAAAATTCAATACAGAAATTTATATAAGGTAACATAATATTAAAAAATTGGTTTTCATTTTATGAATTCAAATTTTAAGGTTAGTGATTGGTATTTTATTTAAAAATATTATATATTTATAAAATAAAATGGTAGTTCCAAATTGTTTAATATAAAATTTTCTCAGTAAATTTTCACATTTTTTAAACCTAATTTTATTGTTCTTTTGATAAAAATAATAGAGTTTAATCAGATATTTCAGTTTATTAATAATATAATTTTTGAATATTTACATTAATGTAATTTACTAAATATTTAATTTTTTTTATTATAGCTTAATTACATTACATTTTCTTGCTAAAAAAACTCCTTTTGATTTCTTAAAGTTTGGTTCAATTTAATGAATTTTTATTCATTTTGTTGACTCGCAAGTTACGCAAGAATATAAAGAATTCAATGATATTGTGAAGTATAAAAAATTAATGTTCAAGCAACTTTGTTATCTATATAAATGATAGTAAGTTTCTTTTTAAAGTTAAGTTTTATGTGCAAATTATATATTTATTAATTAAACTATATACATAAATTACCGCTTATTCTGCTGTACCTTCAATGAATCTTACTTTATTGTGTTCTTTTTTATTAATTGGGCTATATGATCTATTTGGTTATTATAATCTTACTATCTTTTTAACGTTTATAGCAATCATATCACCACCTTATACTTTATACTTAATGCTCCTATTATGGCCTTTATTAGTCTCATACAGTATATATTAATCTTTACTACATAATTTTCTTTAATTACAGATTTTTTAGCATAAACAGATGTCCTGTATCTTAAAACTAGCTGGTTTTATTATGAAATAAGAGAAGCTAGTTCTATAAATATTCAATTATGCTTTTCAGACCCTTTTTCTATAACTAATAAACAATACCCTTTTTTTTACAATTCTTTTAGTATTTCATAAATATATGAATCTCTTCAAATAAAAAATATTCACTTTTCTTTGCAATTTACTATTGATGATAGTAAATGTCTCTCTAATATTAAACAAATTTCTTTGGCTCATTTTAATAGAATATATTGAGTTGATATTATCTATTAATTTTTTTAGTAAGTATACATTAATCCATCTATTTTACATCTCAAAATGAATTACTTGGTTAATAATAAATAGCTTATACCCTTATTACCTGCTGGACTTCTTAGATTTTTCCAAATATAACAAGATTTTATAAATAGTAACTTATCAAATTAATAATACAGTCAAACCTTGATATAACGAACCCTTGATATAGTGAATTTTTTAAACAACTATAATAAATTTCCCTTCACTATAACAAATTAACCAATCAAATCTCTTAAAATCTTTACTATAGTCTTATAGCAAAGTTGAGGTCTGGACCTGAGTTCGTTATAATAAGGGTTGACTGTAATATGACACTTTTTTGGAAGAAACTTAATTACTTCTTTAGTATTGTATGAACTCATTCTCCTTCACTAGCAACCAGTTTCTTCATCTTCCTTCTCTTAAAAAGATTTTACTTCATATTCATGATAATTGCAATTCAAATAATATTCTGGGTATTTATTTAATAATTTATCTATTAAACAGTCTAAATATATTATGAAACATGCATTCTGTTTAATTAAAATTTTCTTATATGACACTATTATTTTTTTTTATGTTTCTAATAAACTCGTCTTTTATCTGTTTTAACGTTATTGCAACTCTGACCTTTCACATTACCTAGTATTTAATAGTTATTTCTTTATCATTTTATTCTTTATACTAATAGTTCAATGTCTAACTTTAGTCTGAATACTATCAATATGGGTATCACTTAATGATAAATTAATGATGATAATTTCATTTTAATATATCATATAATGTTATAGCTGTTTTCTTTTTAGCAGAATTATTTGCAGTAATTTTCATCTTACAAAATATCCTTATTATTTTGGAGATCTAGTACTATCTAAATCTATCAAGTTTGTTTAATATAAAATTAAAGCTCATTTATCTATTCATCATAGAAATTACAATTCTTTTTTTTCTTCTAATCTTTTAAAACTTATATCTCTCAATTATTTAGAATACTATAATGATCTACTGATTAATATAGATATAAAAAAATTCATCTCAATATAATAAGATATTTATTTCTTAAGTTTAACATAAATGTCAAAATTCTTAACTATTTTTTAAATATCTATTGACTTGCTATTATGGTATTTATCAAGTTTTTGCTATATCCCTATATGACTATCGATCTTTTCAAAGGATTTATTCTATATATTCTGTTATTTTTAGTTGTGAAAATATATAACTCTTCTTTTAAAGGCTTTTTCTTTATATATAGATACTTTACTGCTAGAGTTTTGATATTTTACACAAAATATTTTCTGATCTAACAATATATTCTACAGCTCATATTACTCAATCTCGTCTTCCTATTTAGCCTATAGTTTTCTCCTTATAATGGCTGCAAAAAAGAAACCAACAAAGTATTATACTGAAATAAACAAAAAAAGATATTTACAAAAGGATTCATATTATCTTTATCAAAAAAAAAAAATACAGTAACCTATAAAAGATATCAGCCATTCCAAATTAATTTTTAGTTTACATCTTTCCCCTTCTCTATTTTTAAAAATTTTAAAATAATTTAAACATATATATTCACATATATTTAAAATAGCTCCTCTCTTTTCTGAAATTGAATATATCAAATATTTTTGATTTTACTGAAAACTTCCAGAAATTTTAATATGTTTAAGTATTATGTTTGTTTAAATTATTCTCTTCCTCCTTCTCAAATTTTTCAGCCAGAAAAAATATTAAACTAATTATTAGTTTGGAATAGCCTGATTAAGACTAATAGACCGGATCTGTATTTAATTAAACAAAAATATTAAAAATTAGAAAATCTACATTTTTGAATTGTTCAATAATGCAAAAAATCTGAAATATAAAATATCTATGAGAAATTTCAGTTTTCTCTGATAAAGTTAAAATTGAGACATACATCAATATTTTATTATTAAAGTTAATTTAATTTTATTTTCTGTACAACTAGTCATATATATGATTTTTATTTTAGATTAAATAGTTATCTCTAACATACTAAAAAAATTCTATCATATATATTATATGTGATTTAGCTTACTTATAAAGTTTGGCATATAAAACCAAAGTGGAGTTGGCTAGGTTGGCTTGGTTTACAGTTTTTTGATTTAAACTACATTGTATATAGTTTCTTGTAGTTTATACTAAACCTTTATTTACTCTACAGAACTGATATCATCAATTGAACCATACATTAGTATTAATTTCATAAGTATAGGTATAATATTTGTAAAGAAATTACATTTTTCATAGTAATACTAACTTCAAATTTTTATTTTTCTATTTGCTAATTTCAGAATATAACTTATCATTTTGGTCAAATAAGTTCAATATCCTTTATTAATTGAAAATTATTTAGCAAAATTAAATTACTTATATATCAATTTATAAGTATAAGTATAATACTTGTAGAAAAAATTATTACCCCTGGTGTATTTCACCTTTAGTGAGCAGTAATATCATCTTTATTAAAATAATTAACTATTAGTAATGATTTAAAACTAGAGGTTTTTATTCTTATCAAAATGTGAATAAACTTTGCATTATGCATTTAATTAATAATTGGAACTTTTACAAAATTTGGCATTTGTAATAAATTGTAATAATTTGTATATTTAACCAGTTGAGTAAACCATATATTAATTTATCAATTATTACTAGGATGACTTCAATATCTTTAGTAATATGTTTATCTTTTCCATAAAATATAATATCAATAATCATAAGAAATCAATAAAGGAGTTTAAATATTTATATACTATTATTAAAGTTATATACCATGAATTAGTAACATATTTTAACAATAAATAAATAAATTAATAAAATATATTTCTTACCTTCATAGCCCATTCAGGATGAATTGTACCAACCATTTCAATAGAATTAATGACTTGACGAATTTCATCTAAATCTTCATTAGTAAGACGTATATTTTGAGTATTAAAATTTTCTTCCAAATATTTTATTCTTTTGGTGCCAGGAATAATAATAATATTATCTCTCTAATTAATAATAATTAAATCAATTTAGTATTAAAAAAATTCATATTTTGGTAAAAAAAAAAAAAAGATACTAACTTGAGCCAAAGTCCAAGCTAAACAAAGTTGACTTGGAGTAAGACCTTTCTTGGTAGAAAGTTCTTGTAATTTATATACGAGTTCTAAATTCTTTTTAAAATTTTCACCCTGAAAACGCGGAATTTTTCTCCTCAAATCGTTTGGTTCAAGATCATCAAAAGACTTAATCGTACCCTTACAAAAATATTATGTATTTGTTTAGATATAAAATATATTATTTTATTATAAGAACAAAAATAGTTTTTAATTACGCTTAAGAATCCACGTCCGAGAGTACCGAATGCCACGATGGTAACACCTAATTCACGACAAGCTTCCATAATTCCATTATTTTCAATATTAATAAACCAAGGACCATATTCAACCTAATTGATATGTTTCAAATGTTAAATAATATAATAATTAAATATAATTGATTTAATTTAAATTTACCTGAATTGCAGAAATAGGATGAACCTTATATGCTCTTCTAAGAGTTTCAGCAGAACATTCAGAAATTCCAAGGTATTTAACTTTACCTTCTTTAACAAGTTCTGCCATGGCTTTAACAGTCTCTTCAATAGGCCTAAATAATTTTTTTCATTACATTAAAATAAAAACTAAAAATTCCTAAAAAGAATTTTTTGATTTTTTTTAGAAATTTACGTATTCGGATCCACACGATGTTGATAATAAAGATCAATATAATCCACTCCTAATCTTTTTAAAGATCTTTCACAAGCTTGTCGAACATATTCACGTTTTCCTGATACTTCGTAAGATTGATCGGGTTTACGAATATAACCAAATTTTGTACAAATAAATATTTTGTCACGATGTTCTTTAAGAAATTGCGAAAGTAATCTTTCGTTATGACCATCAATTCCATAGATATCCTAAATAATTTTGTTAAAAATTTACTGAAAATTATGGGAGGTTACATTAATTACATAGTATATATGCATGTATTAATACTTGCAGAAGTATCCCAAAAAGTGCAGCCTATTTCAATTGCACGATTTAAAACTTTTAAACTTTCGGTTGAATCAGATGTTCCATAAATTGCGCTAGTTTCCTTTCATTTTTTTGGAAAGATTAAATAAGATTAAAACTTGGTAAATGGATATAAAGATTATTAAATTTTATACCATGCATCCTAAACCGATAGCTGGAATCTTAACACCAGTTTTACCAATTTCACGAAGTTGGACCATTTTATACGTATTATGTAAAAATATTTTCCTTTTTTTTTAATTCAATGAAAGTTTTTTTTTTAATAAATTCCCGTAATAAAATTTATTTGCTATAAAAAAGGGGCGAAACTTTTATATTGCTCAAGGCGGTGAATTGTTAATCCGAAATTTTATTATTTTATATTATATGATTTACGGACGAGTCCCGAGACCGTTCGGGCATGTGATTTTGTGTTCCGGATATTCCGAACCGTAATCTTTTAAATTCAAAACTGCTAAGCTGTCTGGACATTGGATGGAATTGCGAAGTATATGATAAAATATAGGTACAATATCGCTATCATATACGATTTGGTAATACTATTATAGCATGGTTGTTTACTTACACCCTGTAAAAAAGTCGATCCGTTTTTTATATTCCATCCTTTTTCCGTAAAAGGCTCATATTTCCGGAATTAGTAATCTTATATCACGGAATTTATCGAATTATTTACATTTTCCGTGAATGGATCCGTGAAAGGCGGAGTTTTTACAGAAATAACGGATAAAATTTTTTATAGGGACAATTATGAACTAAATATTAAAATAAAAAATTATAGTTGTAATATACCGAAAGTTTAATGTAGACCAATTGATTTTGAAGATTAGAAAGATATTCTGTATTTAGTTACGTTACGACCAAAAATAAAAGGATTCTTAGTGAAAGGAATCAAGTAATTTATAACTCACGTATTATATTGAAATGTATAGCTTTTAATAAAAACAATTTCAAATATCGCTGCTATGATGAAATCACTACCAGTGATAATTATAATTAGATAATAGAAATAGTTATTTCACGGGAAACCGGTAAATAATTGATCATCACGGATAAGATCAAGGCTGATCTATGTAATAACTGGTTTATACCACGGAGACTAACGTATACAATTTTAAACCAATTTTAAACTGATGAAACTTTTTTAGCTTATCCTTTTTAAATAAACATCATCCATAAAAATATCAATAAGAAAATCACGGAAAACGTGGTATAATTTTAAATAAGCATTCAAAAGTTATTGCATATATATATATGTTGTGCGTCAGATGCTAGCCCATTATCGGCCCAATATTATAATGCCTTAAGTGGGTTAGCCAGCATTACTAGGCCAGCCGTTCATCGGTATCATATATATTTATTAAAAATTAGGTAAGTTCTAAAGTTGCATTCTATAATATAAGCTTCAAATAAATAGTAAATAGTGAAGTTTATATTTGAAGGAACCTTTGGTACTTTTTTTATAACTTATGAGTACACAACTGATATCTGTGAAATTATAATACTTCAAAGATATAATATATATAAATTAAATAAAGAACTGTAATAATAAGATCAGTTTCATTATTCTATTATACATGCTATTAAAATCATAATAATATATTTATATTATTAATATTGATTAACATAAATTAATTAATGTAAAAACTATTATATAATATTTATATTATTATATAGCTATAAAGTAATAAACTTTTTCTTTTTTTATATTCTTATTAACTAGAAATCAATTAACAATATTACTTTATTATTATAAAAACTAGTAATTTAAATATTTAATTAACTTGATATATAATGAAATTTTATAATATTATATACAATTAAACTATCAATATTGGTTTAATTCAAATGGTTTAAGTTAATATTTATTGTAGCTTAATTTATTATATAAACTTAGCTTTGCTGTTTTTGCATAGTTTTTCAGACTAAATTTAAGTTATACCCAAGTTTGGTTTAATAAACTAGCTTATATATATGAAATGCTAAATTAAAAAGATTTAAGAACTGAAAAGATTACTTTATATTCCAATTCAAAAAATATTTTTTTACTTGCCTTTTTGTACTTCTTAAAGAATGTATTTGCTTTTTAAAATTATAGCATTTTCAAAAGATTATTATTTAAATTTTTATGGAAATAATTTTCATTACATTTAATTAGATAATCTGAAATATTTTATTTTAATAGCTTTCTTTTAAATATTTGTATATCTGTTTGATATAAGTCTTAGATTCAGTACTAAATAGGTATCAGAAAAATATATTATTGTAATACCAGATAACTTTGTGTGACAGCATGTGATCTGTTAGGTGACTTAAGTCATGCAATTTCCGGCATATTTATTAATTTTAAATTCAATAAGGCTTCAGTTTAAAAAAAATGTTGCTTATTATGGTCAAAATTTAAACTTATGTGATTTATCCGAAAAGGTGGGGTTAAAATTGTAATTGTTCCCAACCTTTTTTTGCCATGTAGGATTATCAACTTTTCTGCGTATTAATTTTAAATTCACGTGTAAATTATTAATGATATTACTAAAAATTCGCTACAATATCTTTTACTGATGCTAATGATATATTCTATCGATATGAAGTCCCTAAGACACAAAAAAATAAATTTGGTATTGATGTTAATGTATAAGGAGTTAATATCTGAAAATAATTAATTTTGTGTTTGTATTAGGAGAACCCTGAGTGGATGATTCCTTTCGACCATATGATCAATATAAATCTGTCAATTATTTCCAAAAAAAATAGCATGGACCCATGGGTGCAGGGCACATAATGTATACCAAATTTATGCATGCCCCTATCTGCTATGAACTATCACCCACGCCCTGTCATATCTTATAAAATTCACGTGATTTATGTTTATGTGATATTATGTAAAATATTATTACTATTATTTATTGAAAATTTATTCCGGTTCCTGTCTATATTATATAAAAATTATTTATTGAAAATATCCATCAGCGACGCATTTATAAAATATCGAATATTCTTGCATTTCTTTCAGGTTTATTTCAAAATTTGATAAATAGAATAAATAAAGTTCTTGAAATCTATTAAAAATATGTAAATAAAAATATATATATGGTATATTCTTGATAAGAAAAACTGGAATCAAATCCGGATCTACCAAAAATATTTATGATCGATGCTTATAAATTGTTCCGAGTTCTTTCTCTCTCTCTTTTTTTTTTTTTATTCTTTTTATCCTTTATGATTTTTATTTTGGGTTTGTTTATAAACATTATCTTTGTTTAAATGTTATTGTAAAAAACCATAACGGAATTATTAAATAATTTTACTTGCTGATAAACTTGAATTGTACAAGTTTTATTTTAGTAATTGAAAATCACATGTCACCAAACTCGCGTAATATTTTTAGTAAATGATATTTTTTTTTTGGCGTGACAAAGATTTTATCAAAAGATGAAATAATAGATGAAATCATCATGCTTCATCGTACTTCATCGATACTATATAATTTCTTTGTAATAATAATAAAACATCATAATCAAGGAAAAAATCAACGTTAGAATCGATGTTGTTTCATTGGTTTCATCGGTATTGAAATCAAAGCATATGGTCAGATTATTCAATATATTAAAGAAAAATTATAGGTTTAGTTAAAATATTTTTATTTTTTGTTATTATTATTTATTTATGTATCGACAAGTTGCATACTATGACCTTCTAAATTAAAATTTTTGTGGTTGACCACTAGGACTGTTTACTATGAGGCCCGTTGTTCAATATAAGCAGGGATAAGCACAATGACCTTATACATGTAACTTGTAAGATATTTAAAATATTTATGAAAATACGTAAGATAGTAATTGCATATCTAAAATGAAAATAAACCATGATAATTATATCATTAATAGTTTTAAATTTTCACAAATATAATTGTGATGTAAATCTAATCTAAAAGTAGGTTATTATTTGGAGTCCCGGTAACAATTGTCAATTAATGTGTAATAATAACAATCTGTTGAAAATTTACAAGATAGGAAATTGTGATAAATTCCGAAAAGAAATTCTTTTTGTTACGAATAACAACATAACAAATATTGACTAATACTTTTGATGTCGGTATGATTTGTATCTCATATTTTCGGGAAAACACTAATTTTCCGTTTTGATATCATATTGATATATATTGATATAATATAAATACAAACTTCATCCCTTTTTTTTTGTTTTTTGAAAGAAAGTTTAAAACTTTTTAGTATGTAATATAATCTAAAACCTAAATCAATAAACCTCTTTCTTTTCTTATTGAAACGTCGAAAATTAGACTTTTTAAGCCAATAATATCATTGCATTTCAAGCAAGTTTCAAAAAGAAAGTTTCGGGAATTTAATGGTAATATTTCTAAGTTTAGATATTTTAGGGGTGGGAAATTAATCTGAAACAAAAAAAAAAAAAATTTCCTGTTTCTTAATAGTTATATATTTGTATTCATTCAGATAAAAAGGATAATTCAAAAGTTTATAATAACGAAAAAATCTTCGGCGAGGACTGTGGGGTTTTTATTCATTTATGCATAAGTGCATTGTATTAATTTAACAAAGGTAATTTAAAATTCCTGTACGCGATAATGCATATATTTTCTTTTATATATAAATTGAATTTTTCCGCCCTTGGAAATAGATATAGTATCAAAAAAAAAAAAAAAAAATGTTTTCAAATTTTATGTCATTTTTTCAATGTGCAGCAAAGAATTTAAAACGTTCCTCTTCTATATCCTCCTCCTCTTGTTGTAGACAACAATATAAACGTAATATGATTTCAGGAACAAATATGTCAAAGTTATCCGCAGCATTCCGGCCTTCTGCGCCAAATGATAGAACATTTAAATCTGTTAGTAAAGCTAATGAATACTTTGCTAAAAAAGAATATAAATTAGCTATAGGTAATTATAAAAAATGATTTTTCTCATTACGAAAGATTTGTTAAATTAATTTTAAACTTTTTAATTTTTAGATGAATATACAAAAGCATTAACATTAGCACAACCAAGTTTAGATAAAAAAACCGCAACAGCATTTTCAGCATTAATATTTTCAAATAGAAGTGCAAGTTATTATCAATGTAATAAATGGGTTGAAGCTGTTAAAGATGCAGATCAAGTGATTCGTATAAAACCTGAATGGCCAAAAGTAAATTCTTAATGATATATTATTCTTTATATTTGAGTTTTTTTTTAAACGATTATCCATTTTTAGGGATATTTTCGAAGAGCCGAAGCAAATTTAAAACTTGGAAAATATGATGAGGCTTTAGAAGATTATTATACAGCACAAAGAAAGGACCCTCAAAATCCACAAATAACATTACGAATTGCCAAAGCTTTAATATTAAAAGATAATCAAGATATGAGTAGGTTATTTACTACTATAACATGAACTCGTATTCCTAAGATTTGACCTAATTTTCAAAAATTTTTTTTTTTTTATTAATAAAGAACTAGAAATTTATGCATTAGAACCTGGAAAAGATATATGTTTGCATACAAAGACAAATCCTATACAAAATAAAATATTTGATTTTGCAATCGATATGAAAAATATAATTTATATCATAGCAGATCTTGAAACACGTAAATGTGTAGTTATAGATGCAGTAAGCAGACTTTAATATGTTTAATATGTTTGATGTGTTTTATGAAAAATTATATAATTTTAACGTTTAATTAATTCATTCATCTTTTTTAACTTAGTGTTGGGATGTTGATGGAATATTGAGATTTATTAAAAAAAAAAAATTAGACCTTGTTGGAGCTATTGTAACACATTATCATTTTGATCATGTAGGAGGTAAATAAAATATTTTAATTCCTATTTATCAAAGCGAAATTTTAAATAAATATTTTATTATATGATTTTAGGTATACCACCATCTCCATATGATCAATTTCGTATAAAAGTATCAGGAATATATAGTTTAATGCGTCGTGTACCAAAGTTATCAGTATATATAAATCCAGAAGATATTCCACATGTATTAAAATCAAATCCTGGAATGTCAGAGTTGAAAAGACGTATAATTTCAACACCAAATAAATTTACATTAAAATTAGGTAATTTAACAAATTTACAATTTATACATGTACCTGGACACACAGAGGGTAGTCAAATTATACTTGTCAATGAAACAAGATTATTCACTGGTGATACATTAATGGTTGGGTGTGTAGGTAGAATAGATTTACCTGGTGGAGATATTAAAGAAATGAAAAAAACTTTAAAAGAAAGATTAAGTGATTTGGAGGATGGTACTGTTGTATATCCTGGTCATAATTATGGTGGAGAATGGACTACAATTGGTATGGAAAGAGACAAAGGTATTATTGGAAAATTTAAAAGAAAGTAGAAAACAAAACATTTGGTTATATATTATAGAATAAGAGTGGACTTTTTTTGCATTTATTAAAATAATTCTTTCTTCAATTGTATTTATTATCAAAAACCAAAAAAAAAAAAAAATAGCATAATTATATAAAAGTATATACATAGTAATTATTAGCATTATTAATTTATTTTTTAATTTCTCCTTTATATTTTAAATATTCTTGTATTATATCAACAATATTTTATTAATAATACATAGAAGTATATTTTACATAATAATAAAATATACATGCATTATACAATCCAATCCATGATTAAGTAATCTCTATGAATTATTATTTTATAACAGTTCTCTTTTTTCTTTTATAAATATTAAAAAGATTTTTATTATAAATGTTAGAAATTGAATTCATTTGGATTGTCTTATAATCTTAATAGAAAAAAAAGACATGATACTAAATATCGTAAAAAAAAAAATACTGACATACTTTTTTGATTAAAAATATTTTTTAAAATCATTAGATAAATATTTTATAATTAGTTGTTTGAGCATGTTTGACGTACTGATACAATTATAACTAGGATTACTGTATACAGTCAGAACTCGATCTCCGTTTCATTAAAAAACACTATATCGAAATTCAAAAATCGGTTTATCGTGAAATTCGTTATATCGCATAGTCGTTATATCGAGCTCTGACTGTATAGTACTAATTTATTAATAATATATTTATGAAATTCAAATATCAAATATAAATTAGATCTGACTCGCCCACCAAATCATTTAGGGCACACTTCCTAAACTTGCGTTTCCCATTTTTTTACAGTCATGCTTTACCTAAGAAGTTTCTAACTATAACTTGAGGTGAATGGGTGAAGGATTTACCTTTACAGCTAATTTCAAAAAGGTCGGGACATTTAGCAAATTTTAAAGAACTCGGAAATATTCGGTAAAGCTCAAAAATAAGATAAAATAAATTATACCACCATTCTCGGAACAGTACTCTAAAATTAGCGTATAAATATCAAGCTTTATCGAATATTTCCGAGTTCTTTAAAATTTGCTAAATGTCCCGACTCCCGACCCAGCTGTAACAGTTTTTCCAGTATTTGTCCGCAAATATTTGTCACGAGATTAATTTCTTGATGCCCAGCCGAACGTCATAATGCCGGTCAATTTTGGTGGGGAGTGTTCATTCTTCCGAGGGCCAGAATTACATAATTCCAATTGCTGTCAGTGAATCTCCTTATCAACTATTGGTCAACCTGTTTGATATTTACGAATTTAGAATATTGTACATTTTATTTTAATTTTGAAAAATGAATATGTTCAATTTTGCATATGCAATATTCCTAACTAATAGTTTATTGAAAAATGCTCTTTCCAACTTAATCAACGTCAATAACGCGAATTACATATATTACATTAACGAAATTATATTACAACAAAGGTAAATTATATTACAATAGCGCCCAAATTGTATTTCAATATAATGAACGCATATTAAAAAAAAAAAAAAATTAAAAAAAAAATCGTAAATTCGTTACATAGTCCCATCCTAAATTCAAGGAGAAACGCATATATGCAAAAGACCCTTTTAAAAAAATTCTCGCTTCGCACGTTCAAAAATTTTTTTTTTATTTTATTAAACTTGTGATCGCCTCGGTTATAATGCAGTTTCATGTTAGTCATAAATCCGGAATTGCAATGAATTTGAATGCATCATAGCAATATCAAATTTGGTATCTTCCATGTTATCAAGATCCTTCGTGGCATCATCATTTATCGAACTTATAAATGATTTGTTTAATCCGAGCGTATTTAAATTTTCAATATCGCTCATCTTAGTATCTGATTCATAATCATTACTCTCAAGCTGTGCTATTTGAGTTACTTTCTTTCGAGTTTTCATTCGATAATGAATATCAAGTGTATAATCATTAACATCTCTTGAAAACTTTTCTTCGGTTGGATTCATACGTTCGGTACTTTCTTCCCAATCTGTATAAAGTCGACCTGCAAGATCTTCCATGTCTACAGTATATTCTTCCTGAGGAAAGTTCTTTGGAATATATATGTATTCCCCTATATTCAATGTTTTTTTCAACCTTTCATCATCTTCGCCCATTCCCAATTTCTTAAATACGTCGTCCCCTTCTTCTATTCTAACATACATATCTCCAGTAAACTGAATTTGATCGTGTTCAATCCTATAAATAGTAACGATTCTAAAAAATTCCCTTTCCTGAGACGATAGTTTATCATCTTCTATGGTCAACCTGATTAAATCATTCGTACGAATAACTTCAGTTCCAAACACCACTTCGCAATAATGTGGATATTTCTTTGATTCTTTTATTCTCTTTTTTTGTTCCTTGTCTTTGATCGACGTTATATGATGATTGTCTACTTTGAATTTATACTTCTTATTCGTCACGAATGATTTCTGGCAAGTAGTAGCAATGTTAATTGCTTTATTAAAAGGATCATTTATATATGAATTGTTACAATAACTTGTAATAGTTGGTTCAACTTCACGCACAATCCATGGAATCAACGATGACTCGGGGTAATATCTTATTCTATCCAAGGCCAAAAGTTGTACTTCATATATTGTCTCATTTATTTGTGAATGATCTGATGATATTTCTCCCTGTTCACTAATATTCATCACATATCCTGGCCAATTATAATACTCGGCGATATCTCTTTTATTGAACGACTCATCAGAAGTTGGAATCATCAGATTTACATTAGGACCGACCACCCAGACAATTTCTCTGGGACGATACATTGGACCAAAAAGATGTGACAATGTTTCACGGTCACGATCAATTTCTTTATCTTGAGTAGTAGTAGTAATAGATTTTTTATTTCTATTCCTTTTATTACAATATTTACATATACAACTTCCATTTTTCCCTAAATATAACCACCGAAAATGTGGTATAAACTCATTTTTTGATCTAAAACGACTTCCTCTGGGTAATCCTGATCAAATTTTAATTTCGATAAGTTTTTTTAATAATTAAATAAAAAAAAGAAAAAAAAATTATATATAAAAAGATTTACCAAATAAGTATATATCAGTTCTCTCAATTAATCCTTTATTATTATTTTGAACATTATGCACGGTAGACATAGGTAACGATTCACGATCAATTTGTGATGATGCAGGAAGTTTCGCATAGAAAAAAAGCTTATATCCAGGGGGGAAATCCTGTAAGATAAAAGATTCTATATTGATCAAGTAAAGGACAGTAAGGATAGTTGGATAGGTTAAATCACAGTTTAGTTTAATCGAAAAAAACAAAAAATTCGAAAAATTTGAAAATTTTGAAAATTTTTTTTAATTCATACCATTAGTCTTTTCGATATCAGAAATAACATCTCCAAGGGTTTCCAACCATTGTCTGTAAACTGGACAGTCTTTATCAACTTCATAAAAGAAAAGCGCATGGTTTCCATTTCTCATGCGAAGGTCAGTATTTGGCCATGTTGATGAATCACCATCTGAAGTTGTAACCTGAATAGAAGTACGTTCAACTTCGTAGTCGTTCATTTCCGTATTAAAAGAAGAAAAAAAATCAAAAAAAAAATTTTTTTCTTATGAGAAAGAAAGAATTGATCAGATTATAAATATTTACACGGTATTTGATTAATTTAGCTGATCCGCATTTCGCATCCTGGTACTTGTATAAATAAGGTATCATCTCATATGAATAATGAGAATTTACGTGAACAAGTATGATGAGTTGTTCAACCTTGTTTGACTTTATAGGAATTTAAAATATAAGTAAAACTCGTGTAAAATGTGTAATCGTGGTTTTAGAAAACGCGAATTAAAAGTGATAAATATATTGTATTATGTAAAAAGTAAAGTAAAGTAAAGTAAGGTGTGGCAATTTTAATGACGCGAGACAAGTTGACATCATGATGTCACCTATGTTACCTATGTTTATAATGATAATCCAGAAAATCTTTATGTAATTGATTAATGAAAATGGATAATAATTAAACCAAATTCCAAAAAAGGAAATCAATGTTTATAACAAATATACTATGTAAAAAAAAATATGTTTAATATATTATAAAATAATAATTTTTTTTATTAATTTTTTTTTATAAACAAGTATTACGACTCGATATAACAATGTATCCGGATTAATGAAAAAAGGTTATACCGTATACCGATATTTATACGATTTCAAGATCGTGAAAAAATAGAATTTTATCGTTATATCAAATTTTTAAAAACTATTCGAATGTAAATTACTAATAACTATTCGAATGTAAATTATTATGATCACAAAAATTACAAATATATAAAAACATTAACTACAATAGGGCAAAAATTATAAATAATCTAAAAATTAATTCATTAAATTATAATATCATTCTAATTTCTATTTGGTCCACCTCCTTGTTGTGCATAATTATTATATCGAGGTGTTCTATTATGTTCTTGTTGATATCTTGAGGGAACTCCTCGTGATCTAGGATTTGATGTTGTTGATGATACTGAAGGTGCAGGAGAATAAGAACGAGCCGGTGAAGGTGCTCGATATAAATCATGTTCATTATATTTATTTAATGTAGATCTGTTGTTATTTTCACCTTGAGATCCACCATATTCTGAATATTTATCATCATCACCATCACTTCTTTCTGAAGGTGCGTAATTAGTATTATTTAATACAGCTCGTGCAACTAAATTATTTTCATGACCGCGCCTTGATGGTGGCGTTTGTGATCTATTAGGAAGACCGTAAGGATGATATCCTCCGGACCCATAAGATGTTGAATAAGATGAATAAGATGATACATTGGTCATTCCAGACATTACAGATGAAACACTATTACGACGCGTCAAAGCTGGATTCGGTTGTTGTCCATTTGGTGGACCATAAGGTTGTACTCTTCCATATCCTGGAGTACCAGGTCTGGGTGGAGTTCCAGTTCTATATATTGGAGGAGTTCCAGTTCTTGGTGGAGTCCCTGTTCTTGGAGGATAAACTGGAGTACCAGTCCTTGAAGGGACATTAACATTTGGTGAACCTGGTCTAGAAATGTATGGTGGTGGGACTCCCACATGTGTATAGGCTGGTGCTGGAGGATCGTCAACGACCACAGGAAGTGTAGGTTCTTTTGGAGGTATAACACCTTTCTTATTTTTCAAATTACTGGGATTACCCTTGGCTAATGCGGCTGCTTCTTTATTTTGTGCGATACGTTTCCTAGATCTAATTTTAATTAATTCCGCGATTCTATAAATTGATTAATAAATGTATTTAATTAAAATGTTATATACATAAAAAAAAAAAAAAAGGATTTGATCATACATACCTTTTATCTACTTTGTGACAACAATATTCTTTAAGATTTCCTCTAATATGACATAAAAGAGGAATATACAAAACAAACGCTATGCAAAGCATAGAAAATGACAGAATAAAAACGATGAGTGTAAAGGCCATTAAAGCTACAGCAAATTGTTGAACTACATTATCTCCATAAGCTTTAATATCCCAATATCTTCTTGTATGATTGGATTGAACGATTGAATAAAGTGTAACAGCATTAACAGCTTGACGTGGTAATTCAGCAAATATAAGACGTTTCCATCCTAAAAGATAAGGAGAGAAATTAAAAAAAAAATTCCCTTTTAACATGTTAAAATAAATTAATTATAAATTAAATACCTTTAAATGAAAAAAATACAAAAAAAGCCACATCATCAACTAATTTTGTCGATTCTTGAATTTGACAAAAGAAACAATAATGTGTGTAACTTCTTAATGTATAATATCTTGTCGCAACAAGACTTGTAAATGTATAAGAAATATCTCTTGAAGCAACAATTGGTTTAGCCTTCTTAATATCCCAAAGCAAAATAATAAATGACATTAAAATAGCTCCAACAAAAATCCATTTTGAAATATAAATTGGAATTTTTGGTTTTACGGATGATCCCCACTTATCAAATATTAACAGAATTCCCGCCGTCCATAAGTCAGCAATGTACACCAGTATCGTTTTTAAGACCACAACAAAGACTAAACAATATTTAAATTTTCTTGCAAATGAACGCTCGTAAAATTCATCTATATCTACAAAGTCAAATTTATGATCTTGAACGACCTTCCTTTCATTTCGCCATTGTGATTTTTTACAACAACACATTTTTTTTATAAATTTTTTTTTATGATATCGGATGGGATGGTATGGTGATTGATTATTTCGAATAAAAGGGTTAGGGAATAATGGTATATTTTTGAAATGTTATAATTTTTTTTTTCGTTTGTTCTTTAATTATTTGCCAAAAAAAAAAAACCAGAAAAAAAAAAGGATAAAAAATAAAATATCATTCAACAGAAAAACTAGCACTTATTAAGTAAAAGAATGCAAAGTAAGTCTATTTATACGTAGAAGTCTGAACCTTTTTTTTTTTCTATTAAAAGTCACAAGAAGTTCTGAAAAAGAACAAAAGATCAAACGAAATTTGCGTAAAAAAAATTATTAAAAAACAAATTAAAGAGAGTTAATGATGGTGAGATAGAAGAAAAAAAGAGAGGAAGGTATATAAAAAAAAAAAGGAAGAAAAAAGAACGAAAGGTATTTTTTAAAGGAAATTAATTAATAAATAGAAATTAAAAAAACATGCAAAAGGTTTTCTCTTTTTGGTCTTTGTGGGCACACAAAGATTTCCATATTAATATACAAATAATTTAGACCAAAATAAGTGGTTCGAATTATGCGTTATGTATATGTTTTATTAGTGTAACCTTCGGTTTTAATGTATAAAATCATGTGATTCTTTCGTTTAATTATATAGATTAATTGTTTCAACTTTGTTGTTCAAATTTTAACTCTGACGATTTATTGTGGCTCATTTGAAACTCATTGTATACCAATATTGTAAACAAACAATATTTTTTTTTTCTTAAAAGGATGGAACCATCTCAATCACGGAAATAATTTTCAGTGATTCCATTTGGGCTAATTTCGGTTTCGGAACAAACAAATTTCGCTTGAACATTTATAGCTAATATTAAGTGGTTTTGCCTGGCCAAAGTTTCAAAAGGACTTTAACCGTTTTAGTTTGAATGGTTGATCTAAAACACCTTCAACAATTTTATTGGATGTCAAAAAAATTGTGATCCAATCATTTTGGACCTTTGAGGCTGTGCTGATTGATACATTTTTGGTTATTGACATTAATTGAATAATGATCGAACTTTCTTTTTTACAAATATTTATTTCTTAATTAATAACTTACTAAATAAGTTATCGCTTGTAACATATATTTTAAGTAGTTCCGCTTTTACATGTACAATCAATTTTCATATTTCTAGTTTAGTTCCAATCTTTTATGAACGCATATCTCTATAATTGCATTTATTTTTGAAAATTATGTATGGGATCCTTGGAGATGATGCTCATCCTATTGTTATGATATACGTTAGCTGAGTACGAATTATTGCATTTCATGAGAAATATATTTGACAAAGGGATGTAATAGACAGCTTTCACCCGTTAATAAAACCTGTTAATTAAGATGGTCTTGAATATTTAGAAATTTAAATATTTACGGGTTAACTTTTGGGGAGTTTCCGATAAAGTCCGGTAATTGTTTTTTAATTTAATTCTCTTTAGAAAATGAAAATGAGAACAAAACCAGTTACTAAAAAAAAATAAAATCATGCGTGGAAACGAATAAATAACTTGAAAATATCGTCTAAAAATTTATTCTTTATGATAGAAATTATGGGATGACTTGATGACTTGGTGGTCAATTTATAGTGATCATACAATCTTTTTTTTTTTTAGAGCATTGAAGTTTTAAGAAAAATAAGTTTATGTAGTTATATTTATTCATAAATTCATAGAATAGGAGTATAAAAGGAAAAGAAAATTTTTCTTTGACCGGAATTCCAAAAAAGGACAGGACTTACGAAATCCCGGCGACCAGACCAGAATCCGACTCACAATTATAATAAGGTGACCAATAGGAATTAATGGTACTAATAACGATTGATGTCTCATAAAAATATCGGCTATTAAAATCCCGCATATTCCTAATCGACTGAACAATAGATTTTGCGAAGTATGATTAATAAATATTAATAAAAATATAATTTTTAAAAATAAAAACATCGATTTTTGCGAAAATCATATTACAGGTACCGCCCGTTATAACGAACACTCTTCGGGTCATTAATAAATTTTTTCTAATTGTCGTTATAATGTGATTTATTATGTTTTATATAACGACATAAAGGAACCCAAAAAATGATATGTCTTATACAATTATATGTCGTTATAACGAGATGTCGGGCGTCACTTGTATATATAAAAATATTTAATTTTTTGGTTAATTACGGCTAATAATAAAAAATATTTTCTTAATGAAGAATTAATAATACTCTCCTTGTTTTTGATATATTGTATCACTTAAATTACTGTCTTCTGAAAATAGAAGGTCATATTTTATATACAAATAAAATCTTGTGGAATTTAATAAAAAATTAAAACTATTTGAAATCTATAAAAGTTAAATTTTTGAAAAGGATTTGCTAAAAATAAACATCCGCACACATATGGTTTATTTATGACACATCATTTTTACTAACAATAAATTGCCAAGAAACATTGGATTATTTTGTCAATACCGATAAAATTGTGAACAACTAAACCAATCGTATACATCTTCTAAATTAATTACCTCCTAAATTAATTATCAATACTTTTACTTTTTTTAAAATATAAATTAAAAAATAAATTCCCTTTCTATTTTTTGTGTAAAATATTATTAGAAAAATCTTTTCATTCCAATAAGATAAAAATACAATAATATAAAAAATACAATAATGTTATATATACATACCGATCCATGTTCGAGAAAATATGCCAAGATCATATGTTCAAGCATGTGATCAATGTCAAAGAAGAGGAAAATTTCTTAATTCTCGTTCATATTTTGGATTTTCATTTACCAACTGTCTAATAGTTATACTTGCTCTCACGTTTTTCAATATTACGTGATATTCAACTTAGTTTAAGTATTTGTGAACGTACTGAAATTACCACAATGTTATGAAAAAGTGTTGGGATGAAGACCCATTAAAAAGACCATCTTCTGAAGAAAGTCCCCAGAAGAAGACTATGGACACATACTGGTTAGAACGAGATTTTGGTGGCGGTGGATGGATCCATAGTGTCGCTTTTTCACCTAGCGGTGAAGCTTTAGCTTTCGCAGGTCATGACTCTGAAATTAGTATTGCTTATCCTGGGGTGCTATTAAAAACATTAGGTTAACTGGTTTACCGTATCTAAGTTTACTCTGGACATCTGAAGAAAAAATAATTGCAGCTGGCTATGATTGTGCACCTGTGTTATTTGAAAAAGCTAACAAAGAATGAAAATAATCAAGAATAATTGATGCTGGAAAAAAAAAGTCATGGGCGAGTCAACTGCCTTTAATAGATTTCACGATTGGGACTCAAAAGGTCGTGGTGGTATTGAAGATTCTGAATTGAATACTATTCATCAAAATACTTCAATTCGACATTATGCAGGGAACATGTGAAAACGTAACATTTGGGATTTAGAAAGTTTGAAACCCAATTTAGAAACTTAAAAGTAGATTCATAATTTTTTTCTAATTTTGGGTGTATAATCCGAGTTTTTAATTAATCAAATACCATATTTTGCGGATAGTAAGCACCCCGAAAATAAGCACATCTGGCCAAAATTATGGCGACTTTGGCCAGAATTATGAGGATCTTGACCAGAATTAGGTGCAAAAAGGGGGGCTTATATACCGCAAAATTCGGTTTTATTCTAAGAATTTTTTAAGTTACGTTGGTTTTCTAATAGTTGTAGGAATTGATTTTGGAAAGGCCAGGTAATTATAATAAAATTTTCTTTAATTAATTTAATTAATGTTTACAATTACATTCTAAATCTTAATTCAAAATTACTACGGAATTTTTGTTCGCTCAACAACCAATAGTTTGAACTACTCTATTCAACTAATAGTTCAGCAATACATCAAATTACAAACTTTAATGGTTTGGGCCAGCATATTTTCTTTCAAGATTCGGCTTTCTTTCTGTCATCAATTAATGTTATTCCAAATAGGACATACGCTAGCGCTACCAAAAAATCAATTACGTATTCGTGTAATTGAATTTTATAGATGGGATCCTTCACCTCACGAAGTTATTCGTATTGAATATGATCCAAATCGTTCTTCTCATTTGGCTTTGTTACGAAATACAATCAATGAGACATATTCTTATGTTATTGCTCCATATAATCTTCAACCTGGTACTATTCGTAGCAGCCATGCTAATCTTCTCTGTATCGTTCCAATTTTAATAAGTGTCGCTATTATAAGATCATTTCGTCAATCTCCAAATAGTGAAAGTGTTCAAACTTTACAAGATTTTGAGATAACAAAGTTATACCTATAGAAAAAGGTAATTGTATGCCATTAAAATTAATTCCGGTTGGGACTACAATAAATTGTATTGGATTAAAACCTGATGGTCCTGCAATATTATGTCGTTCGGCTGGAGTTTCTGCTCAATTGGTTCGTACAGGTGAGAAAGGTTATGCACAAGTAAAATTAAAAAGTGGTGAAGTTAGGTTGATACATGTGGATTGTTGTGCCACGATTGGAACTATTTCAAATCTTGATCAACAACATGAAAAGCAGGTAGAAGTAGATGGTTATGTGTTAGACCAACTGTTAGAGGTGTTGCAATGAATGCTGTTGATCATCCTCATGGTGGTGGAAGAGGTAAAAGTAAAGGAAATAGATATCCTGTAAGTCTTTGGGGTGTTTTAGCTGGTTTTAGCTAAGGGTGGTAAAACCGTGGTAAACCAGAAAGAAACCAAATAAATGGGTTATTAAACCTAGACAGAGAAGATAAAATAAAATATCGATTTTTTACAAGTTATATGATTGAATTGTTATTATGATTAATAAAATCAAATTGCATTTATCTCAAATAAATGCGATTTCATACTCATCATTAAATTTTTTAATAGGCTTTTTTTAAAAAATTCGATGTCGGACAAAATCCCGACATCCATTTTCCCGACAGGACGTTTGCCCGACACCGTTGGCCTACATTAGTTTTAATGCTGGTCAAAGTTGTCGGGAAAATGTCCTGTCGGGAAATCGTCTGTCGAGATAGGAGTTAAATTATGGAGATACGGATCTACTGCTCTACGCAAGAAAAAGTAGAGAAGCGAAGTTAATAAGCACTGTCAACGAAGCAGACAAGTATTTAAAAAGATTTAAAAGTTTAGTAAATTACAAAAAAAGGTTTGATGTTAAAAAGAATTAATTAAATTACATTCTGTATATGTTATTTATATAAATATTATAAAATACATAAAGAAGAAGGAAGAAGAAAAAAAAAAAGAATATTTATAATTTTTTTTATATTTAAAAAAAATTTATGTAAAATTCCATTTCATAATTTACAGAATGTATAAATTATAAAGATGTTTGTAAATAAAACTCTATATTAACAATGTCTTTTGATTAAAGTGAAAACCAATATGGTAAACAAGAACCCATGTAAATCTATAAAAATAATTAATTAATATGAAATAAAATATCATTTATTTGATCAAGAATAAAAAAAAAAATATTAAAATAAATTTTTACCAAATGCTTTTTCAGGATTACAATGACATTTTCCCTCTTCATGAACATCTTTCTCAATGGAATGGGACAATGTTCAAAAGGATCATGTCTGTACGATGATATATCATTAAAAAAAATGTATTTGATTTTTTTCTAGGAATAAAGCGAGTGCAATTGTATAAACTGGTGCATCTCCCCATTTAATATAATAAATTTTTTTTTTTAAAAAAAAAAGGAGAAAAAAATTTTCTTTGACGGTAAGAAAAATTGTATTACCTTTCATAAAAAAACCCTCCAGCTTTATCTAAAAATTCAAAAAATTTAATATCATCTTATCATTTGTTTCTATATCGATGATTATCCGTAAAGAAAGTTTGCAAAGTCCGCAACCTTCTCAACCAGCCATTCAACCAATCGTTTGACCTCCGCAACCAGCTTATAATTTGTAAAAGATTCTCCCGTTGAAATCGGTTTTAACGAAGATAATGTAGCGTCATGGAGTGAACCAATCGAAGTCCCTTTTGGAGTTTCCTCGACTCTATTTATAGCTCCATTATCTCCCGTTTTCCATTTCCATATGTTAATCTTTACCAAGAACTCGAGGGTATTTACATGACTCCCTTAAAACATCTTGTCGATAGAGAGCGCAGGCAATCTCCTTATCACTGATCCTCTATAATTATTCGTGTCGATCAACTGAGGTTAGAGATCGAATTGCTAGATATTTTATGTTTTTTCAGTTAAAAGATCTGCTTCGAAATATACTACAGTATATTCATACCCAGTCTAAAGACAAAATTGATCCGTGAACGAAAATATGACGACACCATCTCCGTCATTTTAAAAAAGAACGGGACAATATTCTTAACTATAGACAAAACAAGGATATTATTACCTTGGGGGGAATTTTTGAATATATAATACACCACCTCATGAATTAGTGCCAAGTGAAGCCAAGTGAAACACCATATCATAAATTAGTTATAAAAGTCAAAGCGGACTGATATATCTTAAGAGTATAAAATACAACTGGATAATATAAAATAAAATTTTTGAATTTGAGCGTCAAGAATTGAGGGTTTCTTTTGGCACTATTGATGATTGCTGTTTAACATGCAAGAGTTCTCACTTCAATTATGTGAAAAAATATATCAGATAAAACAAATGGATATTTGTATAGATAATTTTTATAAAGAATTGAAACCTTGATAACAACAAATCAGTTAACCTCATGTATAAAAAAGTTCTGGGTTTAAATTTATTCATTAGCAGAGTTTATGGATTATTATATTGACATCCAGCAAAGTTTATGGAATATTATATTGACATTCAACAAAGTATATGGATTATTATATTGACATTCAACAAAACAAAGTTTATGGAATATTATATTGACATTCAACAAAACAAAGTTTATGGATTATTATATTGACATTCAACAAAGTATATGGAATATTATATTGACATTCAACAAAGTTTATGGAATATTATATTGATATTCAACAAAGTTTATTGGAATATCATATTGACATTATGTATTAAAGAATCACTACTACTAGGCTTGATAATAATGCCTTACTCAATTATCTTTGACGAATGCACAAGGATATTAAGGATATTTAAAAAAGGAATGTTTCGATCACATATCTTGAGTTAAAATATGAAAAGCCATTTTCACTGTATTTTTCATATAAAAAGCATTAGAATTATGATCTAAAGCTTGCAAACAGAGACTGACATTATGTATAAAGAATCATTAGACTACTGTCATTATACCCGTGAACAGCTTGGAAGATCAACTTGCATCCACACATGAAACTCGTATAGTACGCCTGAACAGTCTTGATAATGTCTTTCCTATTATCCTTGACGATGCATATCTTGAGCTAAAATATGTAAAGTCATTTTCATTCATTGTATTTTTCATATAAAAAGCATTACTTTTATTGAAAAAAAAAAATGTAGAAGTTAAACCTTTTAAAGTTTTCCGTTTGTTTTGTCCTTCGAAACTTCTTTATTAAACGAAACATCATTACTTGGAGGTTCGAACGTAGGTTGGATCACTCATAATTTTGGTATACTTATAGTTTAGTTTACGCAAATTAAACCTATTTGTTTTCTTTTTTTTGCTCACAAAAATTAGATATACAGTAGATATTACATAATTCCTACCTCCTTCTTGGACACATTCATTTTGAACGCCACAACGCCACAATAAAGTTCAAAAAAATTGAAATTGCGATTGATAAGAAAAATTAATAATTTTTTCTTGATACAGCTTAATATAATTTGTTTCATTCATTCAATAATTTTTTTTGTTCATATTATGATGGTTACCGCAAAGTCATAAGCCAAGGATTAGTATGTATAGGCAGTGCTGAAATTCATGAGCAATTGAACATGATACATTACAATTAAAGAAATAGATAATGAAACGCACAGTTGAGATGCATGCACATTAGGAGCATTATTCAAGACAAAAAAAAACCATCGACAAAAATATATATTTATTGTGAAAGCATGGAGTTGGCGTAATTTTTAACATCACATCATCACATGTTAGAAGCACTAATCAAACTACCAGATAAGTTTACTGTAAAACATGGGGTCGGCTATCACATGTCGTGAGCAATTCAACATATGGATTAGGGTCGGCATAGATTTTCATAGTAGGGAACTTACGGGCGGGTTATAATGAGGATAATTATCTAGGTAACTTAGCGTAGGACTATAATTATATTAAAAAACTTATCGAAATTGAGAACATACATTTTGTATACTCATTTTTAGTTATAATTGAGGAACACACATGTAATTAATGATATTATATTTAAATAAATCCTAAATTTAAACTTCAAACTTAGTTATTTTAACTTACTCTTTATATAACTAAATTTTTGTTAATTTATGAGTGTTACTTTTTTTAAATTTTGCGAGTGTATAATTTTGCGAGTGTTTAATTTACGAGTGTTTAATTTTACGAGTGTTTTAATTTTACGAGGGTTTAATTTTTAATTTTACGAGAGTGTTACTTTAATTTCACGAGTGTTACTTTAATTTTGCGAGAGTGTTACTTTAATTTTACGAGCGTATTATTATGAGCGTGTTACTTATTATTCAAATTTCAAAATATTACGTATTCATAATATCAAAACATTTAATTATTAATATTTTGTCAAATAGATAATGTTTGTAATATAAATTTTTTTTAAATATTTTGTAAATAATTATATAATTTTTAAATATTATGTTATCTGTTATACATTACATAAAAAAAAAAGGTTATTCAAGCACGTAAAGTACGTAAAGATCGTAACGATTCGGACAATTAAAAAAAATTCTTGTAACAATGTTAATAATCATTTAGTAATACGAATTTATTCGTTTGTAAACCAAAATACGTAATTCGGTAAACCGAACAATTGTAATTTTAACAATATCAGATATTAATAATAATCATTAATCAATGGTTTCTCAATGGTCAGACAAAGAGAAATAACTAGGTAACTCGGAATCTCGGATAATTAAATTTCTATATAATTTAATCAATGTTTTGGTCATACGAAAAATGATGAAAAAAATTTATTCGTTGTTGAATTTAATCGATTATAATTAGCACGTAACATCGTAACTAGGTAACTCGAAACAATTAATTTCTTGTAATTTTATAACCTATCGATCGTGACGATTTAACACGTGATTTGACCAATATTTTCACGATCATATTGGTCGTACGAAAAGGGGGGATAGAACAACGACTGATATTTGTTAGTGAAATATGTCAAAAAAATTCAAACCGATAACGTAATGATTTGTAATATGACTTTAAAAAAATAATTTACTGATTTTATTTAATGAAATACATTAATTTTTTTTTTCTATCTAAAAAATCTAAAATATAAATATAAATAATATAAATAATATAAATAATAATATTATTCTAAGAATCTTCTAAAATTGTAAAAAAGAATTTTGTATTTAATAACTCTAAAATTCTATATATCAAATATATATTTTTCAAATATTCAAGAAGTAACACCCCAAAGAAGTTGCGATGACCAAGATTAATGATATAATGAGTGTAACAACGAAACGTTTTCCGACCTTTTTCCATGATTCTAAAATAAATAAAAAAAAAAAATTAAAATTAAAAAATAAATATACAAGTTTGTTACACCAACTTACGTGAATTTGGCTGAAGCAATAAAAGTTGTAGTTGTATTTGTCGTTCAAGATTATTATTTTGAATTTCATTTTTTTCTTTATTACTAGAACCATCAGATAGATTATCTAATAATTTCGAACATCTTTGAATAGATCTTAAATTCATTTCTCTTCTATCAACAAAAAGACTTTTATCTTTTTCATCATTATTAAATAATTTTAAATTTCTTTGATTAAATTCTATTGAAATATCAAAATCTAAATTATTTTTGTTCATGACATCATTTATTTCTTTATAATTTGGATACATTAATTCAAAAACTTTTTCAGAACATAAAGAGATTTTCTCAAAAATTTGTTTTTCATCATCAGTTATAATATTCCATCTTTCCAAATAATTAATCATGCAAGAAGAAGAATCCAAATGTTTCGAATACATTGGACAAGTTTCATAATAACAAGGTTCTAAATTCTTAATAAAAATCTCTTGAACGGAATCAGGTTTATAATAATAACCGAGACCATGACATTTAAATTGAGGAATAATAAGTTCATAAAGATTAGAATGTAATAAAATTGATTCTTCAATTTTCTTTCGAATATCAGATGAGATAATAGAATTGATAATTTCATCTAATTTATCTTTATTGAGAAGAACATGTTCCTCGGTGCAACCTTGTACGTGAGATTCAAAGGATATCCTGTATAAACGAGTAAAAAATTCTGTAATTCGTTGATCTTTCTCTCGGTCGGTATGTTTAAAAAATTTATATTGTCTTTTATTATTATTATTATTATTTTCCAAATCTTTTCTTGGACATAATGAGAATTTGATTTGAATATCGGAAGAAGAATCTTGTTGAGGCGAAGTAATAGTGGTCATCTTTTTTAAGAAATAGACAAATATTTTTTTTTTTTTTTTTTTTTTTTTT